GTCTTTATCAGACGGCCTGTCTACGGATCGTCCCACCGAAACCAGTCGAATACTCTCAGTGTTGGTAGCCAGTGCCAGCATTGATCGATCTGGGCCGACATATGCAAGGTCAATAATGTCGTCGTCGTTACCTGATATACGCCTTATGACTTGCAGGGGATCAAGCGAAGATCCAGGCTTGAAATCCGACAAAGATTCAAGTGAATGAAGTCTCAAGGTTTGATCAGCATGCACTGTCATTGCGAATGGCATCCCGGGAGTGTACTGGATTGCCACGATGGCCTCAAACTCGGCAGCAGCTTCTTGCTCTTGGGTTACCTCTCCTCCCCGGTTACAATCCCAGACACGCAGCACTCCATTTTCCCCTCCTACTAGAGCGAGGCCACTGTCAGCAACAAAGGCAGCCGCTTCCACGCTCTCAAGGACAGGAATGATTCTGCGAGTTTTAAAGGTGCGGACATCCCATACGATGACTGTCTTGTCTCGGCCAGCTGAGAGCAATGCATTCTCTGCAGGCGAGTACGATAAACTCCGTACAACCGAGACATGAGAATCAAGCGATGCTATAGATTTCCGCTTGTTCAAATCCCAGACCCGTACTTTGCCCTCCTCACTGCCCGAGGCAAGTCGAAATCCTCCAACCGACGCGACAGGGGCGACATCTTCCATGTCTTCATCATCAGAATCATCCGACTTGCTCTTAGATTTCCTTTTCTTCGAAGCGGACTTGTTTTCGCTATCCAGAAATGGCACCTGGAAGAAGCACAAAGCAGATATGACACCAGCATGTCCATGGAAAGTGTGCGTAACATAACCACCTCGAATGTCCCAGACCTTAATTGAGCCGTCAGAAGCACCGGTTGCCAGAAGTGTGCCAGTCTGATCGATAGCGGTTGTGACAACGGGTGCAGTATGGGATTTGAGGCTTCTAACAAGCTTCGCGTCGAGGGCCCGTGAAGAATCTTCGAAGGGAGACAACGAGTAAATGCGCATAGACATTGACCGCGAGCAAACGACCACATGTGAGGCAGATGGCGTGACTATATATGGTTAGATATGCTCCACCTGAATGTATTGAAATGTAACAGGAAGAGCGCTAGAATGGAGAATGGGCAACTCACTAGCCAAGCTGGTGATAATCTCTCCATCCTATAGTTCTTGTTAGAAACTTGCGACAATACCGCACATGAACATATAGGGGCAAGACCCACGCCTTCCAAGCTTGCGAGCTGATCGCCAGTCTCAAGATCTACAATGAGAGCATCCTCGCCCACACAAGTTACAAGCAAACGTCCACTGGCATCTAGCGCAGTACTTCCTCCGGTGTATATGGGACGCAAAGTCCGAGACGCCTCGAAGGTCGTCTTAACGACAGCTTTAGACATTTTCGCGCGCGGATCTCTGAAATAGTGTCGCCGTTCGATTTATCGCGACATCATATATCCAAGATAAACCGTATAGTATAGGTGGGTTGAATCGCTTCAATGTAGTCGAAAGTACTGTCACTCCGAAACTTTTGTTCTTTTTTTGAGGCGTTTGTCTTGTTTGTCTCAACAAAGGCCGATCACAGCGGGGCCGTGCTTTAGGCGCCACAGGCGCCACAGGCGCCCACGTGAATAACATGAATATCCATCCGATAACATCATCTTGAATATCAATATCTTATTCTCCGTTCCTTCCAGAAAATGATCTAGAAAGGTATATAAAAAGTCTGCTTATTATTATACGTCATGGGGCGACAGGCGTACTTAAACAGATTGGCTTTGGTAGGCTCCCAGTTCTCTATCCGTTGCTATCCTCTTGGCTTGTGTTAGCTCTATATAACTTCATCAAAAACGCTTCTGTTCATTGCTTCTATCAAATACCGGTCCTCAGACCTCTGCGCGTGACATTTACAAAATTATGTACTGTTAGGGTGTCAAACATAAAGCACTGTCTGCTTGTATCATCGCCATACCTCTCTATAGTGCCACATGATCATACCATATTCTGCTATCTTATTGTGTGTTTATAATTTTTAAGCTCCTGATGGTTGACCGTTAATGTCCAGGGCCGTTCTCCATATGAAGCTCCTGAACACCCTGTAGATCCAACGGCGGACCTGGGCAACCCAACCCAACAGAGGGTATCTCCTAGGTATGCGGATGGGTATGCTCAACACTATGATGAGAGGGGACATCCCATCAATCCTGAGTCCAAGTCATTCGGGAGAGAGCTCCGGAGAGCTAAGAATGACATCCTCTCAACGATGGGTATCGTTGTTAGTGAGGACGGCAATGCGAGTGGCCTCAGTGAGCAGGAGAAAATCGATATGATAGCTGCCGAGAATGATTATGGACTGGTTATGGCTACTCTAGATCAAATTTCGGTATTCTTAGGCTCGTGGTGGACATCATCACTTACAGGCCGGATACAGGTAAGTTTAATCTGGTGAGATGTGAGATTTACATTATCCAGAGAGTTGATCCATGTCTTCTTCTGCAGACATTCAGAAGTTACACTCATATTCCCCTGATGGGTATTATAGCCCATGAACGTGCTTCATATGGCATATTGGGGTTTTACTTTGCGGGGATTCCAGCATGGGCTCTTTCGACGTGCTTATCAATTTGCCGACACCATCCTCTGGAGCGCTTAATTTCCTCATTGCAAGACAGATTTCCTGGCAATGACGTACTTTCGAAACTTGTGCGATCATCTTTCACAATTCTGCATTCTGCGTAAGTGGGTTCCAGAGGCTTCGGATGGTGTCTAAAAGAAACTAATAGTTGTATAGGTCTCGGGGGACATTGCTTGTCCTAGCTATACAATCTTATGTGTATTCACTCTTACAATCGCTTCACCTCGTTCACCCGTATAGCTTCCCAGGAATCCGGTTTCTGGCGCCTTTTGGAGAACTTACTACTGTGTTATTTCCACCATTACCTACAGCCTTCACTTTGCAGTGCCTGGGCGATTTCTGTTTGAGCTTCCTGAAAGCCCCTCCACTTCTCGTCTACCTTTACGTATATCTTCGCCCAGTCATAGAAATAAGGCTTTACCGGTTAATTCGCCGACGACTACCAAAGCCAACCCTTGCAGATGAACTGTCCATCAAAGTGGCCTTCGAGAATGACCTCATCGATTGGATGGCCCCGACCCTTGGGCGTAGATCAGAAGAAGAGAACCGTCGCAACAACCTTTCTTTACTTGAAGATCTCATGTGCGAATTAAAGTTTCTTCAGGGTTGGGTGCTATCGTGGTTTGGCTTTAAGATGCAGCGAACCTCAGCAGCTCCCGAGCAAGCTGCGGAGTCCCGCCGCAGGCGAGAGTGGCTTGAATCTCTCCCTATGAGCGTTGAACAACTGCAAAACGAACGACAAAACCGAACTCGCCGCTTACAACAAGCAGTACCTCCAGCTCCAGAGGAGGTGGTTCAGGCTCATGAGGCCGCACGCTCTGGTCAACCCAGTACACCTGTTACTGCCCCATTACCCGATTCCGGATTTGACTTCAGCGGTGACCGTGTGCTATCGAATGAAGAAGATCCGATTCATCAGTCGCCAGCACAGATGAGTACTGGGGGTCTTTCAGAGATGGTTCCACTAGGTCGTACAAGTAATATTACTCCCGCTACCGATGGTTCACCTCCCGGAAATAACGAGGCGCATGGTGAAAACGATGCTCACGAAGACCAGCGGAACTCGCGCTCGAACACCCTTTTCTCTCGACAATCATCACCCGAAACGTCTTCACCATCTTCTCCTCACGTTCGTGCTTCTCTAATTCATCAGAACTCTGATATCATCACTATGCAGCTGGAACTCTTGGGCAACCGTAATGCCCATAATCAGGGCCAGTTGCGTCCTCGGCCTGGTAATGACATTGACTTTCCGACATCTAATGGCGAGACAGGTCATCGTCGCTCTATAACGGAGCTCCTGGACACAATTCTGACCCATCAAAATCAAAGCCTCTCAACGATTGTCCATTCGGATGCCGTGGACAGTGATGGTCTCTCAAACATGACGCCAGGTGCATCTCCTGAAAATGGGGAAGATGTGCTAGGACTAGTGTCTCAAGATCAGCAACACGCGGGAGAAACAGGTGATTTTACCGCTGAATCTCCTGTTGAAGGACCCTCGTCAAGCCTTGCCAACATCTTGCCAGAAAGTGTGGAAGAGCCACCCAGGCAGGAAGACACTCGTAATCATCCTTCCGAAGCGGAGCCAACTGGGGAGAATGATTTCGATTCAGGGATATACCCCCGTATCTCCGATCAAGATGCGCGCGAAGGTCCTTCGGAGCACACAGATGCTTCGACTGCCCACCGGATAACAATTCTATCGTCTCATCCTGTTGATTCTCTTGCCTCTCACCTCGCATCTATGATTACAACCGTACTTTTCATTCCTCTCGAATCTCTTTACCTTCGCTCTCTTGCTTCATCCTATCTGTCATCTACTGCATCCTCCGCTGCTAATGTCCGCGCCTTAGGCGCTTGGGGTGGTGGCGGCTCTCGGTCTGATACGCTTGCATACATGGGTAAATTGGCTCTTATGGTGGGAATGCACGCTGCTGTAAACGCTGCTGTGTGGGGAGTGATTTCAGGCACAGCAATTAGGATCGGTAGAAGATTCTGCGGATGGGGGACACTATGAGTAATTTGTTGAAATTCCCATTATAGATACCCACCTCTTCGTATTAGTTCGGTCAGTTGAATCATGTAAAATTATAACAGAACGTAATACTGAAGTCTATGATTGCAAAGCTGAAAGGCCCTACCGGATTTTATTTTTACATTACTTCATTCCATATATTGTGGAAAAGACAAATTATCCAAAGATACCTTTTTCTTTCTTACCATCGCCATTACCTTAATTATACAAATGGTACTATGACACCGAGCTGGGAACGAACTAGCATACATACATATCACATATTAAGAACTGACACTAGTACCTAGTACCGACTCTGTTGGCGTTGGAATATATTTGAAGTGGATTATGCTGTCTTAGCATTTATTTTGTTGAGTTCTTCCCCTTCCGATTGTTCATACCCGGGACCTTTCGCCGTTCCCAGACCATAAGATATCCTTCCCGGGTGAATAGGGTTTCAGTTTCCGCCTTCTTGACGAACAGATCTTGGATCTCAAGCCACTCCGGCCCTTGTTGTTCACCAGCGCGTTCGCTATGTTGTCGATTATTCTCTGCAGACATAGCCTTGTCGTGAAGCTGGACCATCCAGGACACCTTCTCGCTGCCCGCACCAGCGCCAGTCGATGATGCCCCAGATGCTGCATTAACACCCTTATCTGCGGCTGCCTCGTCGGTGGCACCAGGAACAGCTACAGTCGGGTCCAGTATAATGTTGGCGACGAGGTCGTAGAGAATGGGTTCGCCCGGAGGCCAAATGTCCGGGTTCGGTTCTACGTAGGGCGACATGTCCAGAGAGCGGGGTGACGGGAAGGTGACAATTGTCGGGTTACGTTCAGATACAAATCTGTTTTTGCTGAATCGCTTGATATGGAATAATAGGTAAGGTGGAAGAGGATGAAGGAGACGGTGGCGGACTCGATGAGCCAGCTTCTCTGAAGCAGTGATGCCGTTGTATTTGTTTAGGAGTGTTGTCAGAGGAACATGGGGAATGATGGATTCCCGATTGGCGGATTGGAAGAGAGGAGTAGGAGGCAAATCTAGCGTGAGGATAAGAAATGGGGTGGTTTGGCTTTTAATGTCGCCCGATTCCGTAAAAACTAGGCGAGCGTTTTGGGTATCTGAGTGAGCGGTGATTGCTTGGCTTTCAATCCTCAAGTGACCTTGGAAAGCGGCCTGGACCACACTGGTGGGTGTCTTGGATGGCTTCTTAGACCCTCCAAGAGAAAGATGCAAGTTGTTTAGGAACCAAGACAGAAACTCTACCGGGTCAGACTGCTGGGTCAGTGTAAAGCGCTTTGATGAACGAAGAGCAATCTCCTGTAGCAACTCGTGCGGTGACACGTGGGATCGAAAGGCCTTTGGATTCCATAGTTTTCGCACCAGCGTGCTGAAACGTAGAGCTAATTGGGGCGTGCCGGGTGTTGGGAACTCATGTAGCAGAAAGTAGTTGCGAATTGGGAAAACGTGCGCCAAAAGTTGCACAACTACGTTCAGGTAGTCGTTGGCTTTGATGTTGTTCATACCAACAAAACCTATGTAATGGGTTTAGTAACACTCTAACGGGAAGTATTTCATGGTTATAAGCATACCTGGTCTATAACGATTTCCAGCGAGATCGAACGCATCGTGGACCTCTTTGTCCAGCTTGGAGACCTCTTCCTTGCTATAGTGCGGGTCCACCACGTACTTGATGTCATCCAAACTCTTATTCTTCACTTCATAGCCCTCCGGAAGGACATACACCTTCTTAGTTCCCATATTGATGAAAACATGGTGGCCAACTTCAAGCGCATGAAAGTAGGCATGTGACTTCGGGCCCCTGCCTTGAAAGTATTTGCCGCAGACGAGACACGCATATACATTGATATTCGAAAGGGTAACCGAGCACAGTTTTTCGAAGTCAAAGTCGAGGATTTCGCGATTAATCGTATCAAGATAAAGATCGCTGTAGCCCTCCATAGGTGCACTCTGGCGTTTGGGAGCCGCAATCACAGGCCTGTCGTCGTCGGCGTCATCGAAATCGGACTCAGCACTAATATCTACCGCCGCTTCTTCCAGTTCTTCTCGCTCCTGGTCTGCAGCAGCTAGAATATCATTCCCTTTACGCTCGTCCTCCTCTCTCTCTTGGCCGCCCGCCCGTCGTAATGGAAGGGCTCCATGGCGCGGATCACCTTCCTCGAAATCGTCCTCCACACGCGCCTTTTTAATGGCGGGAGAGCCTGCGGCAGTATCTCCCTCCAGCGACAACTCAGCTTGTCTCTTGGACATCATGGCTCTGTGTAAAGGTGAATTAGAGAACGAAGATTCTGGCTCCGCGGGACTGAAAGCTGCGAAGGCGCGATGAGGCCGCGGAGTGCAAACATAGCAAACATCTGGTACATACAGCGTCATACATGATACAGTGAGCAAACCTGTGTGGAGCATTGTGACTACGACCGAAGAAGCAAACGTCCAAAGGGTCATTTCTCTTAGTCTCTACCTATAGTAAATTGTGGGCGAGACTAAATTTTGGTCAAAGTCATGAAAAATACCCTGCCATGCAACCGATCGTCTGAAAACCAAGTCCCATAAACCGAAAACAAAAGACACAAATGGTATGATATACAACACCGCATTAAGCACTCTTGACGATCTTGTCATTATCAAATTCTACTTCTCTCACGCCATCTTTGGTCACGACCTTTACCAAAACCTGGAGAAAGCCAGTTAGCCAATATTGTACCACTTATATAGGAATCTCCTCTTGCAACGTACCCCCTTGTAGTCAATCGGCAATCTACGCTTTAGCTCGTCTGTGCACATCTCTAGAAGCTTTAAGCCTTCTTCGAGGGAAATATCAGGATGGTGGTGTTTATCGAGTGTTGAGAGACAATAGTATCTGAAGCATCTCAGTTCCGTGCTCCTCCACAGCGGCCGATCTGGCAGTAAAGAGCTGGTCTTCAAAACTTACTGGGCATAACCATGAGCAGCATATGGCACTGGTGCCAAAGAAGCCAGATAGTCTATCCAGTACAGGTGAGGCTTCTGGGTAATTCCATCGACACCAGCGAGCAACAGATTGACCGTGTATGGACTCCGAGATCGCAGACTGCGCGCCAGTTCTCCCCGGACAAAGTTGGCAACGGCATTCGGTCCGAGTTCGGTATCATTCCGCATCGTATATAGTTGAATGTTCGCTTGAATATACTCCGCAAATTGTACTGTATTGGGAATAAGTTAGCTGCGCCATGCTTACACCCCTCCATCTCCACATCTGTAATCTCACGAACCGGTATCTCCTGCCTCTCCAGAGAAAGCCATCAGACTGTGTTTGTTGAGCTGTCGTGTCTTATCATCTTCGGCTTTAAGAATAGTTGGACCCCTCATGGCGGCTTTGGACGCTGCCACCAGGACAAAGTCCTTGCCGGTGATACCCAGTAGAACCTCCCTAGAAGCTTCAATCAGCGGAGGGAATTCTCATCAATATACGGAGATTCGCATACATTTTCAAGCTTCAAGCGTATGTCGAGCAGATATAGAGGTAAGGAAAAGTGCAAGAAGGGAGGAAGATGGAAGGAAAGTAAGAGATTCAAGATGATGAATCAATCAAGCATTACACGCCGCGCGGAGCTTGATTGCCTGGAGCTGTGCTTGCGAGCCTGAGGCGGAGAGCTGCCCGGCTGAGTAAGCAATTAGGCGTTACGTTGTTGCGCTTTCCACCTGCACGGGCCACCGGCAGAAAAAAAGTGAAAGTAAGTTGCGCATCAAAAAGAGTTCCGAACAGCCCTGTCGCTTCCACCCGTCCCAATCGATTGTGCATAGCGCCAGAGGTCTTGTTGCGCGGAACTCCAGCTAGTTATACCAGGCTATGTCGTCCTTTTTCACACTACCCGCTTCCCAGCGGAAGCGCAAGAGGGAAGACCGTGCCGGAGCCCCCGCGTCGAAGAAACGAGGTGTTGATGCAGATGGAGATTTAGGCGCCAAGGGTAGCAGAAGGACTAAGGAACGGGAGCAATCAATCTCGGGCAGTGACCTGGATGAGGATGATGCTGAGAGCATTGTATCTGGAATTTCAGGAGAGGACAGTGATTCGGAATCCGACGAAGGAGAGACGGCCGCAGACCGGAGGTTAAAGCTTGCTGAGAGATATCTGGATAATGTTCGGGAAGAAGTAGACGAATATGGTTTCGACGCAGCAGAGATTGATCGAGATTTAATTGCTGAGAGGTTAAAGGAGGATGTGGTATGTGCCATCAGTTTTCGCTACCCGTGAGATCAGCCAACAGCTGATTTCTAGCGCAGGACGAGTTCAAAGGACGCACTTATCGACAGATAGCCTCAGACCTGTCTTTATCCGCAGCCTCGCACTCATTCTTCCGGGCAGATACCCAGTCGACGACTTCCATTGCCGTTCATGCACCCTATGTTTATACGGTGTCGAAAGATAAAACGTTAATCAAATGGGAGCTTGCTACCCCCAGTCACGCAACCACAGATCCTTCAGCAAATGGACAGAATAGCTCATCGAAACGCCCTGCAAGACCACAACGGAAGAAACCTAAGCAGGTGAGGTTTACGCGGGGCTTGCAAAAGATTGCGGAAAGTGATGAGGAGCATGGCCACATCAAGAATATCTTGTCTGTGGCCGTATCGCCCTCTGGAAAGTTTGTTGCCACTGGCGGAGAGGATCGGAAATTGATAATCTGGGATGCGGAGACATTGACCCCCTTGAAGACGTTTACACAGCACCGCGATTCAGTCAGTGGGCTTGCCTTTGCTCGTCATATCTCTACCATGAGCTCCGGCGAGCAACTATTCTCTGGTTCGTTCGATCGGACCATCAAAACATGGTCCTTGAGCACCGCAGGTCATGCATATGTCGAGACATTGTTCGGCCATCAAGACCATATTTCTTCTCTCGCTGCAATGGCAATCGATCAGTGTGTCAGTGTCGGAGCCCGCGATCGCACCGCCAGGTTGTGGAAGGTCGTAGACGAATCTCAACTGATCTTCCGTGGAGGATCTTCCAAGCATTCCTACCAAGAAAACAACATTGACTGTGTGGCACCTTTGCCCCCAAATCACTTTGTTACCGGCTCAGATTCTGGCGCGATCTCCCTTTGGTCCATCCACAAAAAGAAACCCCTTCACACAATAACCCTCGCCCACGGTCTAGACCCTCTACCTCCGCTCGATGAGCTATCTTCAGAAGTCGACCCCAAGATAGCCGCTTCAAATGCCCGTCACATGCGGCGCAACCCTCGCTGGATCACTGCGCTGGCAACGCTCCCAGGCACCGACATCGTGCTTAGCGGCAGCTGGGATGGATGGATTCGCGCATGGAAAATCTCGGAAGACAAGAAAACGATCATCCCACTGGGCCCCATTGGCGGAGCCTCATCGGAACCGGATACCCCATCTCAACAACTGAAACAGTCCCTAGCCTTCGACAATTCAGTCGACTCAGACCAGATGGCCGTCAACGGGTCTCGAGAGCAAAAATTGGAGGAGATTAAAGAAGAGGCCGAACCACTTGTCAAGGGCGTCATCAACGATATCGCAGTTTTTGAACGCCGTGCAGAGACCAGCAAGCCCGGTCAATCCAAGCCCAAATCCAAGTCCACCGAACCAGAGCCCCGAGGTCTCTGTATTGTCGCAGCAGTGGGCAAGGAACATCGCTTTGGCCGCTGGAAAGGCTTCGCGAACAATTACCACGAGGGATCTACACCCGATGGCCGTAATGGTGCTGTGGTATTCGAAGTCCCTTTCATAAACGGTAACCCTCAATCGAAGTGAGGCGTTATCATGAAACAGGATGAGGTTATTGTCACATGGCGTATGTATCCACTTTTTTTCTCTACATTGTATTCTATTCCCGGGACGGTGGTTTTTACATATCTCTTAGAGGAAGAAAAAAGTTCTCTGCATTGGAAGCTGTCCCTTTGGCTGAAGGGCGTTGGGCCTGATACGCGCGGATGATTGTATATAGGCGTACTGCAATAATTTTGAACAGGTTATGCTTCGAAAATTAAGCACCGTTAAAGGATCCAGTATATCACCGATAGTCGATCTTTAAAAGGAAAAATTGAAAATAAATAAATATATGATAAAATAAAGGAAATGAAAAGATAAAAATAATAATAATAATACTAATAATAATAATAATCCCGACACTTGCGTAAAGCGTGCCCTGAGATGCAAAGTGAACAATAAGATATTCGGAGATCCATAGTATAATATTTTGAGTAAGCTATCAGCCACAGTTAGCGTGAAGCTACTAAAGTAGGCCCTGAGAGGCATATTTGTCTTAATAGAAAATCACATCATGTTTGGTCCCATGATGTACTAGTAATAATGCCTAAAGCGCAGACTAGTAGTGATGTTGATACATACATGCTAAAGTTGGCACAGGAAAAGAAGCCCGCTAAGATAAGAAGGAAAAAAGACTGATTAACCAATGCACAAGGTAGCCAGAAAGGAATCACGCAGAAAGTAGCTGGGGTATAGAATGTGTGTGGTCTTTTGTTTTAAAAAAAAAAAATCTTCTTTGGAGCCAAATAGTGGATGGTTGAGCGAAAAGTCTTCTCCTTGCCAGTACCAGTCTCATATACCTTTTGGGACCTAATATTTCAAACCCTTCAAGTGTAATTATAACAGCTAGGCTTGGTCGGGCGTGATCGAGGATCCTGACCAGAGATATCCTTAATTTAATAAAGTCCAGTACACGGATGTCCAACTCTGCAACACACGCCCTGGTGTGGCCGCATTAATGCAGCCTGTTCCGTTCTCTGCCCTACTCCGAGTCTTATCTTCCCTTGAAAAAGCTGTAGGCAACGATTCCTATAAAATCCGCCTTAAATTGATCCGGGACTATCGTCAAATCGTATCTGATGTAAGGTTAAAAAATGTCAACGAGCGACACGCCGACAATTCCTTCGGAATGGTCGAACTGGGCCCTCATCAGAATCATCGTCCAGTGTGATTGCATTCGAAACGGAAGTTCCTGCTGTGTTTGTACTTTGACTACGCGATGCCTGCCGGCGCATCGCGTAGGGGTTCACGTTCGGAGCTTGCCGAATTCGACTCGCGAAAACAGAGAAGCCTGAAGCCCCACTAGGAGCTGGAAACTGACGGCGCCGATTCCCCGTTACAGGGGGCCGGATAGGCTCATCATCTTCATCATCTTCATCATCTTCATCATCTTCATCATCTTCATCATCTTCATCATCTTCATCCTCTTCACTATCTGGGATCTCGAAGCCACTCAAAGAATCATCGGTACGGTCGTCGGCTTGAGACATTGTTACCTCTGAGCTCAACCGGACATTATATCGATCAGGCGAGTATCGGATTTCAGGACCCCCGACTACCGTAGATCTGTCCGAGTCTGAGTCATGATCCTGCTCGTTATGTTCATCGTCGTCAATAAACGAGTCCATGTCTGTGTCGTCCGAGTAGTCGTCAGTCGATTCTTCGGTTTGATGAGCAGTTGAAGACGCTTCATCGTAGCGGCTATTACGCGCAAAGACAGGGCGGTGTGAGTGAGGCGGGGGAGAGTGGTGATGATAATGGCGAATGATGCTGTATAGATGATGGGGAAGATCTTCAGCTCTCCCCTCAATAGGAACCCCATCATAGAAACCGTTCCAATCGACATCATCTAATTCGCCGAATCCATCTTCGAGTTCGTCATCCATGTAATCTGTCATCTCAGAATTCTCCTCCGAATCGGTTGAAAGTGAACCGGTTGAATCGGTTAAATCTGATGTATCTGTCACCGACTCTTCATCTTGTCGATATCCACATTGTGCGCAATTCGAGTCTTCTTCCAGCTCCCATGAACAGCGCGGGCAGCGAACGACATTGTCCTCCAGGTCAACGATGGGCTGCGCAGTTGGTGTTTTTTTGTTAAATGTACCCCGGAATAATCCGCCTTCTTTGGGATGTGTGTTCTTCTTATCGTTCTCTAACTTTTCAGCTTCCTCGCGCTGATGGCGCGTGTGCTCGGCCGTCGTCTCCCCTTTTTCTAAGAGCTCTGCACGACTCGTAAATAGTTGGACGACCGCACGGACCTATAGCGCATTAGACACAAGGGGCATTCAATAAGGGTTATATGGGCTTTCAAATTATTTACCAGGTATGCAGGGGCAGGTGGTGTTTTGACCGGAGCTCGGCAATCGGGGCATGTTTTATTCTTCCTCCCGCCAGCAAACCATGACGTTAAACACTAAAGTTCAAAGGGTTAGCACTCTACCAAGAGGGTCATACACACGAGGGCCACAAACACTATAGCAGAATGTGTGTCCACAGGCAAGGGTGAAGGGTTCGTACAGTGGCCTTATGCAAATGCCACATTGTAAGAGTGAGCGGATATCATCGACATGTCCCTGTAATGTTTCGGAAAGCTGGATAAGAAGCAATTTAGTGCCATTTCCTTCAGAATATTTACTATTATGGCTCACCCCCGGGACATCATCTCCAAGAGCCGCGTTTGTGTTGTTGGAACCCTTTTCAGACGCGGCTCCGCCGAGAGTTAACTTGGACATTTGCGCAAAATTGTCGGAAACGATCAGGAGGGGCAGCCCAAAAGCTTTGTTCTCCTTTTTTTTTTAGAATCGATCGGCAGGTTTCTCGTGGAGAAGAACTGGCTGGTGTATTGGGAGAGAGAGGCGTGTCACGACAAGTAGTGGCGAGATATATGGACTCGTTCTTTAAATGAGGGAGGGTGTAGCTGGCATGACGGGGGGGACTTCGAGTTCACTTCTGAACTGAGAATGATAAGATGAGGTGGGCGATAAGAGACGGATGTAAGAACGGCTCCTCTGAAGTCGTTTGAGTGTTTATTTACAGTAAACTGGGAATTAAAGCAAAGCGAAACGAAGAAGGAAAACAAGAAGCCATCACGATTGGTCTGCAGGAGTGCATGCCTTACCTTTTTTCTTTTCTTTTCGGAAGCTTTTGCGCAAACCGAACAAACACTCGAGACGCTGGGTCTAAAGTCCGATCGAATTCCCCACCGGAATGAAACTAAAGTTTACTTTAGTCCCCCACTAGTAAATTGAAGCCGATCAATCATATCGTTCTTCACTTCACTCCTCACAGCCAACAAACCCTCCAACATCGTCCATCCCGTTACCTCTAGCTACGTGTTACGCGCTTATATAGTCACCAGAAGATTGCAGCATAAGACTGCTGTTACCACTCCCCCTCATACCATCGGTAGAGCGCAACGGAGTACCGAAGGGACAGTCGAGGAATTAAATCGTTTTCTCTTTTTCTCCGCTAACTCCTCGCTACTCCGAGGGTGAAACTCCGTAAACTATAGTTCGAACGTATCAAATACTAGTATACCCACGGCACCTTGAATGAAAGAGGAGATGGGGGGAGAAGAATGAACAATAATTAAATAATTACAAAAGGAATCAAATAAGCGATCCAGAGCCCTTGTAAGTACTCCGTTGTCTATGGGAACATGATGGGTCTTCCTCATCCCCCACAATAACCGCTGGCACAAACTCAGCGCGACAACATCAACGTTGATTACCAATTCAATAACACATCGTCTTCTAAGCCACTGCACTTCCTCCACTTTCTAGTTTTTTCGGGGTGGTTCTTGTCACCGACAACGTGAGATCATACTCAGTCTTAGCGCTAAGAATATTAGATGCGCGTAATGGTGCCATATCATGCAAGCCCAGCGCTTCAGCCATAATCATGTCTTTGTTTTGTCCGCCTCTTGGTCTTGTCTCCGTAGCCTGCTCCGCTAGGTTAGCTAGCTATATCTTGATTAGAAAGCTCTCAGTTGATAGACACATCATCCGATAACAAACGAATCAGAGATTGAAACATCTAGGGTACAACCGGCGCTCAATATCGTCCATAGTACGTATCATACCACAAATCAATTACAGTCAGTATAGTTATTCTAGTATATTTCAGTAGCAGGGTTTTGAATATGATCGGTTGTCTTTGTACAAGTAAAAGAAGTATACTCCGTACGTACTCCGTATTTTGGAATTACTTGAAATGGATAGCATGACTAAAAAGATCCCTGTGCCAAGACCTTCAACTGTGGAGCCAAACTTCTCTAGGAACAAACCTACATACTCCCAGAGGTTCCCGACGTTATCACCCAGACTATCCAAACGCTGTCGCCGATATCCATCACAGACAATTGACTACTTTTGGTCTCACAATCATGTCTTCCACATCAGACCAACAACCAGAGTCGTCCGGACAAGGTCATCCTAACTCCTGGTCAAACACGGAGCGGAGATTCACTAAGTAGGTTGCCCAGCTGTCTCCTACATCATCAACGCCCGAAGTACATCCTACCGATGTATCTTATGTCAAAATCTTTGCATCATCATTATTATTATCGTCATAATTATGGCTTTCAACGGTGGTCCTGTTTCATGAACTTTTGAAGTCAACCCGCTCATATTCTCTTGAATCAGCACGTGTCATAAATCCTGATGCTTGATTTTTGGTGCTTAGACTTTCCTTTCTGATCTATTTGAACTTTTTTTTTCTCAACCACTTTTTTTTATCTATTCTCCACAAACTTGCTAACGGCATGCTCCATATTCCAGCAAGAGTGCAAGCGAGTACTATGATCCATGCCAAGATTTCGCTGATCGGAGTTTGAAATGTATGAAGCGGAACAATTTCGACAGGGAAATGTGCCACGATTACTTTCAGTGAGTATTTAACCCTTCTATGCCGGTAGAGTCCAGTGATATGGATCTAGAGGGTCTCTTGGCCTCCTATCGGCGAGCTAGTAGCCTGAATCATTCACATGTTTACCACCACATTTTTACTTTATCCTATAGCTGACTTGAATATGTGGCAGGGCTTACCGTGACTGCAAAAAACAATGGGTACGTATCTATGTATCTCTCAAACTAATTTGCGTTGATATGTCCTATCTACATCCAACCCTCGATGGCTCGATAACCTAGTCCTGCCATCTCAGTAGAACTCTGATTTAGTCCTACTTAGCTGACAATATTGCAGTTGACACAGAAAAAGCTTTCTGGCTAGTCCTCCCAGAGCTATATTAGCAAATGGTGCACGTTTCCTTGAAGTTAATCTTCACAATATCTGTATCATAGAGTCACCGGGATGCCAGACGATCAATATTCCCGGTAACTAATAGGGTTTCCTTTTGGTCTAGATCAGCATCTCACTGCACATCTCAGAGCCAGGCTGTCCTGATAAAAGATACTGGTAAGAGACCGGGCAATTGCATGTTTCGAGCAAAAACATACTATTCGTTGGCACATAAGCTTCTTCACCTATTGATACAGCTTACCTTCTTAACGTGGACGTTTATCTATTCTTTTTTCCCACTTACTTCTGCCCAGCAGAAGGGGGGCATGAAAGTTCCGACTGTCGTGACAAGGGCTTTTTGGCGCACGTCCTCAAGTCTGTATCCTATTCACTACGTTGTATGTTACCGATTCTAGAAAGAAGGGTCTTTCCGCTCTATATTTGTACCATATAAATGCTTAAGCGATCACTTCTTGCAAGTCTTTAACAACACATGTTAGGATCTTATGTTATCAACGTTAAGGTTGGTGTATATAGCCTTCTAAATCCGTGAAGTATGTTGAGGGCAAACTCAGGTTGCTGCCCACAGCACTAACTTCATTTGCACATCATTTTGTTTCTCATTTTCCATTCAATTTAATTTAATTTTTTTCTTATTTTATTTAATCAATTATTATTATATTTTTCCTCTTTCTTTCTTCCTTTGGATAAATGCAGCGCTTAAGGTGGTAGATAATAAGTAATTTATACACTCAGCATTGGCACCCACTATATTATTGATCACCGCCTTCCAGTTCATGCCTGCCGGGGGCCAAACTATTTTCAACTGTTTGTTCCTAAGAATTTCTTCCCCTCATTATCCCGCCGTCCTATCTTCCCCGCACATCGTGTGCTGTGCTTGGTTGCGCAGCATACGAACGCCGATCCCTTGTTGCAAAATAGGAATCCACATCCCACCGCTATCAGGGTTGATATAGAGTTAGATCTGTTCTTCTCTCGCTCGCCATGTCCACCAATGACGCCGTTTTCTACCGGCGAAACAAACAGATTCAAGATGCCATTGACGGGCAGAATCTGAAGCAGGCCCTGCAGCTGATTGACAAGCGCATGAAGAAGGGAGAAGATACAAAATTTTTGAAGGTTAGTCCCCTGTGAGGCCATTTATAATAATACATTCTGGACCCTATCGTCTAAATATCCCTGGTGCTGCGTATGCCCTTGAGGTTGCAATCACCCAGAGCGACCACGTCAGTACATGTTGCTAATTAAATTGCAAACGCCCCGCATAGGCATGGAAAGCTCATATACTATATCGTCATGTGGACGAAACCCACCGCCAACGTGGTATAGCGGAGACCCTTGATTTGTGCAAAGCCGAGCCACCAGCTACCGATCTCGATACTCTCGACATTCTTTATCAGACCCTGAAACGAATGGGCGACCAGGCGGAGACTATGAGGACTCTGTGGGAAAGAGCTTCGAAGGCGAAACCACAAGATTTGGATCTACAGATGAGATGGTTTACATATGCGTTTGAAGGTGACGACTGGAAGTCAGCACAAAAGGTCGGTAACCTATTGAGTCCCGGGTGTCGCACTAAATCGAATCTAATTCTTTGAGAATGGATGGCAGGCCGCTATGACTCTCCAAAATAATTTCCCCAAGACACGGAAATACTATCTTTGGGCTATTTTCCTCAGTCATCTGGTCGCCACCGATCAAGCCAGTTCGGAAACTGACCGTAAACTTTTTGGGACTCTGGCTTATCGCATGGTTTCCAAAGCTGCTGACAGTGTTCCTTCTGACCCAGTATGTCCTATGTGATCTTGATCCTAGTCTTTGCAACTGGTTGTTGTGATGCTTACATCTACGATAGAAAGAGTTGCTGAGCCCTCCTAGAGCCATACAAGGCCCAGAGGAGCTATTGCTACTTGTTAAAATCTTCGAGTCTCAAGGACGTCATGATGAAATTGTAAAAATCCTTGACAGCGAGAATCTTGGACTAAGCTCGCGAGTCATTCAGAATGACTGGTCCTTCATTGGGGTGAAGCTCTCCAGCTTGGAAAAGGCGGAGATGTGGACACAAGGCTTATCTTACGCGAAAGAGTTACTTGCAATCCCTAGTAATGAAGCTGAGAAGAAGGCTCTCCAAGAGCGTGATGACTGGGCAGTTTGGAAACTACTTGTTATTTCAACCCGGAACATCAATACACAAGAGTAAGTCACTCCATCATTAGAAGAAGAATGAGGAAGAGGCAGCACCCGAAATGTGCATGCTAACCATCTTCGAAGAGCCACTACCGAAACCCTAAAGTTTATTGACAATTTCCTTGATGCCGTGCCCAAATCTCGCAATGCACAACTAGCTCGCCTAGACTTGATTCATTCGGGTGTTGTCGCCGGCACTTTGAAGACGGAGGATCTAGTGTCTACTTGCCAGAAATATTTTGATAGTAACAAGAACAAGCTTTACTGCTTTAGCGACCTGCAGCTTTACTTGACAGCACTAGACAAGGAAGCTGTGTCCAAATTCGTGGAGTATGCCTCCAAATGTCGAGAGGAAAATGTACGTTCCAGACAATGTCCGTGCTTTTCGTTTCCAGGCTAACACACTCATGAAGGTGAATAACGACCCTTTCAAGGGTGTGACGACGATCAATGCTCTTAAACTTGAATACTGCTTCATACTGTCAAGTAACGCGGCCAACGTCTCTAAATCACAAGTCGAGGACTTCATCTCGCGCTGCCTCCACATCTATCGTGAAGCAGATCGTCCAGAACGGAGCTCAGCCCCATCCACGATTGAAAGTCAACCTAGTGATGATTTGTGTTTGCTAGCTGCCATGAGCTTGATACGCTTCAGCGGAACATGGATTTCTGGTAGCCAGGATCAAATCCCAGACACCATCCTCATCCGCGCCGCTGCTATTCTGGAGCGTCTTTTGTTTGATTCTCCTCATAATTATCAAGCGTTGTTGCTCCTTGTGCGTATCTACTTGCGCCTCGGCGCCGGATCACTCGCTCTCAAGGCCTTCAGCAAGCTCTCTGTCAAGCAAATGCAGTTCGAAACGGTTGCCCACAACCTCTTCACCCGCCTAGCAACGATCCATCCACACTCGGCGCCTCCAATTGAGGGTGCAGAATACAAGGACTTCGACCCACAGTCTGCTTTTGTTCAGGCCTTGAATTTTTATCGAACGGCCGAGGTCACGACAGTCAGGCACCGGTCGAATGGATTGGATTTGGGTAGTTACGTAAATATAGAAGGCACCATAGAGCTTCAGAGGCGCTTAAAGTATAGTGTCTGTCGCAGGATGTGGGCATTGGACGTCAGGCGGATGCAAAGACTGGCTGGAGGAGATCCGATGGGTCGATATGACGAAGTCGGTAGGTGCAAGAAAACTTCATACAATGAACTGTCCGCTCACAATTACTCTACAGCAAGGGATTCATCTCCCTTGACAGACCAGCGTGTATTCGATGCATTCATGAACTGTGAACCCACCAACCAGCCAACTTTCGAGGAACGGATGCGCCTGGGACCACTTCCTCGGGTACGTTTGTCCCTAACCAGTGTTGTGGCCGCAGGGCAAGGCTAATAATGAACAGGAACAATGGGTGACTTCTGCGAGGGTAACAGATCAGTTATTTAGCACCCTCAAAGGCATGGCTCTTCAGAAGCCAGTGTCTGTTGAACCCAATCCGCCCAGTCTCGAAGATATCGTAGGGTCGGAAGCAACTACTGAGATGACCTCATCAGAGATTGAGAGCGTCAAGATCAATCTGAGCCTTCTCAAGGTGGTCTCATTCTTGAATGGCTCGAAGTCCGTCGCCTCTGAAGAGGTCGACAGCTGCTTAACCCAGGTGGAAGAATGGTTGCGTTCCAAGACAAAAGATCTTGACTTGAACGGTCAAAAGATCTCCCTGCTTGTATCCAAAAGTGCAGTTTCCTTGCAGCGGCATGAATCATCTGCCCCAACCTGGAGGTCCTTCCACGACTTGTACCTGATCGTTGAGTCGCTCAAGGCGCTCTCGCTCATAACATCCATTGCATCGAAGAAAACCTCCAAGGCTGCGAAACTCCCCAAGGATCGTATACAAAGATTAGCCGAATCCACGCGTCAAGTCTACGAAAGCATTCGGGCAAATGCTCGTGCGCTAAAATCAGCTATCTCTGAGCCGGGAGTTCTCGGATCTTTGATTGACCTAGTGGTGGGCGGCTCTGGCGATGGCGAGGATGGTACGCAACTTCGGGCAGAATTGGATACGACATTCGATATGGCTGCGCTGGAGATGTTCTGCGGCGAGTTAATGGAAAGCTGGGAAGAAGGGCTCGATGGTCTGCTACGCGTGTCGCTGTGACAGTAGGCCAGGATATGATTGTGTTGGGTCATTGACTGTGTATGATGTCTACGTTACCGAATGACGGTGTACACTGCAATATCAACTATATTATACTTACATATTTATAGAAACTCCTACATAGATGGGTGGTATATCCATTCACACCGTCTTTACGGGACGAGAAGTCTAGAGGCATCCAAAAAGATGCAATTACTACCGCTACAAGGTAGGACACATAGCCAGTAGAATGGAATGAATACGAGGGGATCCTTTTCCTGGCACGAGGCTGAGGTGTGGAATGTTGATCCCCTTCTGCAAGGGTACCAACAAGTACTACGTTCTCTATCCCTTGGTTCCTCGCCACGCCTTCCCCAGTCAGCCTGGTGCTTGTCCCACTACTACCATGGCATTCACACATACTCTCCAGCTGTTCAACGGCACGGGTTTCTTACTGGGTTGTACCACTACTACCAATAGGAGCATTCCTCTCCTGCGGTTTGGCGATTTCCAAGAAACATAAGCAAAGCCCCCTTGCCAACGGTGACATCTTACTGCATGACTCCATTGAAGAGGACATTTCATTGAGTCAGGGTTGCTGCAAGTAAGCGGCGGTAGTCTCCTTGCTTCCAGGTCAGATAATGTCCCCCACACTATCACGGCTGCTTCTACTCTTACTGTGCCGACGTCCAATTATCTACACTGCTAAAACTCGGCACAAATATTTGATCAACATGTGTGACTGACTTCATATCCATGTCCGGGTTCTCTTCTTTTCCCTTTCCTTTCCTCTTCTTTCTTTCGTCCTTGGGGCACAGGCGACAGGTCTAAATGTCTAATTTAGGCCCGTAACTTGCTGTCATAATTAACTCGGTTTATTATTCATGAAAGCCCAAACTCAGATATGAACCCTACATATGATCACAAACATTCGCCGCAACGGTGGGATGTCATTACAGAGGTATTGTGCCTCTCAATCAGTACCTTTTGTGTCGGTATGCGCATGTACACAAAGCTATTAATCACCAGAGCTCCAGGTTGGGAAGACTGTATGTATACCAAGGCAAGGTTTCAGATAAATTGGTATTCACTAACTGTTACCTGTAGTTACTTGTTTCTTTGCCTGGGTATGCGTCTCAATACGATATCTACGAACTCTTGCTCTCGGAGAATCACCTACTTATAGGCGACGTAGTTAGGATTAATAGTCTATGCTGTGATGACTTTTGAGACAGGCAAGCATGGCAGTGGCCTCCACCGGTGGGACGTATCTCCATCAGATCTCCGTGAGTTCTTGAAGGTAAGTAGTCATCTTACAACAATAAGGACCCAGCGTATTGATAACCATTAGCTAGCAAATACATGCCAAATCATATATGGGCCGATCATATTCATCACCAAATTATCCATACTCCTTCTATTTCTCCGGGTATTCGCACCATCTTTCAAAGGTATCACCTACTTATTGATTCAGCTACTCATTTGGCTCAACTTCCTGTTCTACTTTGCCGACACAATTCTCAAGATCTTCGAATGCACACCGCGATCCAAGATCTGGGATGAGCATGTGCCAGGGCACTGCATCAATATCAACAGTCCCATCCTAGCTGCTTCGATCTTCAACGTAGTGTCCGATTGTCTGATTCTCTTGCTGCCAATTGTCTGTGTATGGCGCCTGCAAATGACCTTCAAGAAGAAGATATGTACATCTGTCGTCTTCGTTGCGGGTATTTTGTAAGACCCTCTTCCCATCATTGAACTCACTTCAAATGACTGACAGGGCGAGTGCTTATGAGCAAACAGCGGCTGCATATCGAGTGTCATGCGCCTTGTAGTCAGTATCCCAAATAGCACCGCTACTGACAACACATTTGTCTGGTTTCCAGAATTCTTATGGACGTAAGTGTAAATTGAGGCTACATCCCCTACTCATCACTAATATCGATAATAGTGCCGCCGAAATTACTTCAGGAATCATAGCAAGTTGTTTGCCGGCATTACCTACTTTCCTGCAACACTTCCTCCGGAAAACAAGATGCTTCTTCTCGGAGCCAGTCATGACTGGTACCGGCTCTAGTATTACGACTTCAAAGAAAACAGTAGATGCAAAGCCTTTTCCAGTTCAACACCGACAGAATATTAGCCTTACGGATTTACTTCCGGGAAATAACTTGGAGATGCTAAGCCGTGGCAATCGCAGCGGGAAGACATATGAAACGACTTGCTATACTAGTGTCGAAGCCAGCCCGGTAGAAAAGGGCCGAGAGGACCATTCCAAGGAGGGAGACAGCTCAAATCGAGGGATATTGAAGACCGTCGAGGTGGATGTGGAATCAGGGCCAGAGAAAACTGATCAGAGACAATAGCTACGTAGAGAATTAATGTGAAAATAGCGAAATGGACCATGGATTAATCAAGACGATCAAGTAACTACCTATAGAGAACTGAGAGGATGTAACCCTTATCGGAGCCTGATAAGGATGGTGATAACACCTCAGGCACCGACACCCGTTCATAGAGCCGGGCGAAAGAGGACGCTAACCCAGACCAGTAAAAAGCCCTAAGCAAAGCCCTAACACTCGCTACGCACTGCCGTCTGAGCCAACCAAAACCGTGCAAAGTCCATCGCGATTCTATCCGCACCGAGACGCCCATCGACTTCGACACTCCCTCACCAACCACGTCGCCAAACCAGTCCAACCGTCGAGATGGCCCAGGAACGCTCCGGAATTGTGGTCGGTCTGAACAAGGGCCATGTGGGTTTCCCTATCCGTGCTATATTTGATTTTGAACGGGTCTCAGTTGTCGAGTGGATGTTGAATGGCTGGATATTGCTGGGAAGCGGGGGGAAAGTTCGATATTACAAGTCCGAAGTGCGAGACAGGAAAAGAGAGGAAAATCGGGAAGATCAAGCGACATGGCAAATTTTTACGTGATTCGGGAGAATACAGCATCCAGCAACCACTCGACATCTGAGAAAGACCGACAACATGCGGAGGAAGACAAGAAAACAAGACTAACGGGTATCCTTCGTTATAGAAAACCACCCCCCTCAACACCCCCAAGACCCGTGTCAGCCGCACCAAGGGCCAGTCCTCTCGCCGCACTGCCTTCGTTCGTGACATCGCTCGTGAGGTTGTCGGTCTTGCCCCCTATGAGCGTCGTATCATCGAACTCCTGAGAAACACTCAGGACAAGCGTGCTCGTAAGCTCGCCAAGAAGAGGGTACGTTCGATTCCGTTATCAAGCTTTCAATTCGGCAGATATCGCTGGGGCCGCTCTGGTTTTGGTCGGATAGTCTCGGAAGTTATCATCGGTTGATCCTGGGGTCGATTATGGTTTACTATCGAAATTATACTGGGGTCCAGAGCGGATGGGAACCGGCGCAATCTTCAAATTATCTTCCAGAGCAAAAAGGCTAACGTTCAATTACAGCTCGGTACCTTCGGCCGTGGCAAGAGAAAGGTTGAGGACATGCAGCGCGTCATCGCCGAGTCCCGTCGTGTTACTGGTCACTAAATTCGTTCCCATTCAATCCAATAAAGCTTTCTCCTATTAGCCAAAGAAAAGAATGAGATAACGAAACGATGAAGTGAGTCTTGGTGGCCGATCACATGGAGTGTGGGGGAGGTTCTGTCCATACTGGGAGGGGGGAAATGACAACCCGACCTACCTTCTTTGCTTCTATCTCTCCTGGGATATAGGAATGGGGGCAAGGGATATGATTCCATAGGCGTGGACAGTTGGACAAAAAAACATAAATGGATCTCTGATTCTAATGCAATACCACTGGGACTTGGTTTCTTTCACCTTCAATCTTCTTCGGCATATTCTTTAGACCAGCTTGTGTAGGTCTATCTCTGGCCTAACGACCACCGATCGGTCACTGTGTGTGATGCCGCTAGTAGTATCTGGCTGGATTATCCTGTAGATTGCTGTTCAAGGATGTAGCCGAACATGATTTATATTTCTTTCCAGAACTCGATGGTGACGCTGTCTATGCGTCCTAATTTACGTTTGACTACAGGACATCAGGACATTATCACATTACTCATAATTATAAGTTGAAAGATGTAACATGACGGTAACACTTACGGCATGTACCAGCATATCTCTTATCTATTTCTTCCCGGGCAGTTTCAACCACTTGGGTAGGCTTCCTGGTTTGCGCCCGCTTGACTTCTCACTTTGACGATCAGACCCAGATTTCGGCTGCGCCGTATCCTCAGAGGTATCCATGACATCCGCTGGTTGTTCAACCTTAAGTTCTTTCGCTTGTGTCCGTAGCTCTGGTCTCAGGAGGTCTCTTCGGCTTTGCCGAGCAGCTTGGGAAGCAGTTGCGTCCCAAGAGAAATTGACAAGGGTCCGGCCTACCATACCGAGGTCCTTGATCAGTAGAGTTTGATCGGAGTCCGGGACCACATTATGTAGTTTCTTTCCACTCTGGCCACCACCGGGGAAAGTTGTGATGATAAATTTTTCTCCAGCGAAAGGTCCCGCCAAGCAATTCCTTACAAAACTGTAGAGTGATTTGCCCGTATCTTGTTGCCCGAATTTTGCCACAATCTGACTCTGGTCCGGCAGTCGGACTTTGACGTCCACCTCCTTGACAGCTGCAAGCTTTTCCTCTTCTGCTGCGGCTTTAGCGGCAATCTCTGCATCAGATAGGAGGCGTTTGTTCTGGGATGCCGCGTTGAGCCGACGTTGGTGCGCCTGCGCATGATCTACCGAGGGAACGTAGTCACTTTCATTATAGGCGGTCTTTGCAGACTGTGGCGTATCGCTAGACGGAGGGGCGAAAACCGCTACTTGTCGAGAGGAAACAGTCGTTGCAGGTTCGGAAGGTTCAGCAGAAGCAGGTGGAGGGATTTGATTTTGTGGTTTTTCAGGGGAAACAGGTGCAGGGGGCGATGCATCTGATGTAGATTTTGGCGGCTCATGTTCTTGTTGGCTGGGTCCATCTACTGTCTGCTTCTGGTCTGCTAGAGTAGACGACTCCTGTGACTGGGGGGTCGTGTCGTCAGATGACTTGAAGTATTCTTGGATCTTGCTCATAGCAACTTCTAATGGGTCCTCTGTCCGACGAAAGCTCAGCCTCAATAAGACGTTTCCGCTGTTGAACCCTAGTTGGGCTAGCGACTTCTGTAAATCGGTGAATGTGGACAGCTCCCGTTCCAAAATTTGGATCACCGGCGTCTCGTAGAACAAGCGCCCTGATCCATTATCTCCGTTTCCAATAACGGGAGCCCCTCGCGCTGTAAGGTTCCGAATCGATGCATTTCCAGCAACTCCAGCTTCAAATTTACGCAATATGAACCATAATGACGTTGTGCTTGGGAATTTGTCCAAGAGACGGCCGTTGGGCGCCCCACGGGCTTCTGATTCCGGTAGCTGAAGTGCGACAGTGACAACGGATGGCGACCGTGAGAGTTGGACCAGCTCCAGCTTTGCGCCAGAAATGAGCCCGGAGAGACGGAAAGATAGCGACAGGTCGACCTGTTTACCTTTGTATCTTGGAACGGAGTTAGTCCCTTTGACTGAAAGCTTCGTATTGGGTGATGGAAGCAAATGCTTACTTCAGTCCATATTGACTAGCATCTACGCCTAGTTTTACACAAGCCTCTTGTAAAACATCAGTCAGATATTTTCCTGGTGTTGTCTTAATTGTAGCCCTTCGAGCTGTCGAGTCGAGGACTACGACATGAGCGCTCATAGTTAAGTATGTTTATTTTAATATTGCCGGGTTGGTGTCAGAGTTGAGGGCGAATGTGAGCGTCGTCGCTTTCCAGTTTTCTTGTCTGTTTTATACTTGAAATAAAGGTTTAAACAGCAAGTAGATCAAGGCGAGAGAAAAGAATAGAAGTACACCGAAGGAGTTTGATGTTCGGAGATTAGGGTAATAGACAAGGTGTAGTAAATGCGGGAAGATCAGTAGGCAGCGGGCGCATCGTCATCGGCAGAAAGCTCGGCGGCTCCACGCGTGCTGGCAGCAGTGAGCTTCAACTCAACCATTCATCAGTCCTCTCTTTCACCACCTCACGCTTCACCCCAACCCTCGGCCCTCCACATCCTCTTGCTTCTCACTCATCGAATCCTTTCACTTCTCTAATTTCGATTTTGTTTTTATTTACTCTATCAAATTAATCATGGTATGTCTTCTGTACCACCCTTCTTTCCCTGATTGAGCAAGCTGACAATATACCTCTAGAGTTCGCCCTTCGATATCAGTATGTCATCTTCCTCGTCTCCCGTCTGACTCGAGTTTAACATATTAATCTTTCTCTCTGCAGATGGTGGTGCCTGCGTCGCCATGGTAGGCAAGGACTGTGTTGCAATTGCCTGCGATCTCCGACTCGGCATGCAGGCCCTGACCGTCTCCAATAACTTCCCCAAGATCTTCAACTACAGCCCATCGACCTTCCTCGGCCTGACTGGCCTGGCGACCGACGTCTCGACCGTCTCAGATCTCTTCCGCTACAAGGTTAACATGTACCGCCTGCGTGAGGAACGGAACATTGCACCCCAGACCTTGGCCAACCTGGTCAGTTCATCACTGTACGAGAGGAGATTTGGACCTTTCTTCGTCAGTCCCGTCGTTGCGGGCATAAACAGCACAACTGGCAAGCCATTTATCTGTGGCTTTGATAGTATCGGATGTATCGACTTTGCAAAGGATTTCATTGTCAGCGGGACAGCTAGTGACCAGCTGTTTGGTACCTGTGAGAGTTTATGGGAGCCGGATCTGGTATGTCTTGCGTGTGTGGGATTCTGATTTTGATTAGAGGTGATACTGACGGTATAGGCCCCCGAGGACTTGTTCGAAACCATTTCCCAGGCTCTCCTCAGTGCTGTTGACAGAGACGCACTCTCCGGTTGGGGTGCCCAGGTGTACATCATAGAGAAAGATAAGGTGACTAAGCGGCTACTCAAGGGAAGACAAGATTAGAATAGTTATGTTGGCGCTTTTTCGTTATGTTATTCAGGTCTTTAATTTCATGCTCCATTGCCACGATTGCAATATTTCCTGGTTGAGAACAGCTTTCGGCGTCTAAGGTCTCCACTTAACGTTACATATTATCGATTAAGGTGAGGCGAAGCACAGTGAGGACATATGGAGGACGAGAATACAGGGAATTAGAAGTTAAATCTCTGCATACCGAAACACCCTCCTAGTTCTGTTGCGTTATGTCTGAACCTCTATCATCTACAACCTAACCCCTATTAGGGCTCCATTCAATCTGCATTCGACAAGTGGATGGTCAGTACCCATCCTTCCCAGATACAGCTCCGTACGCCTGCCCATTCCTTCCCAGGAAATTTCTCAGGTCGGTTGCCAGGAGCTCTGGCACCTCCCACGCTGCAAAATGGCCACCACAGTCATATTGCTTAGCTCTAACGACAGAACCGGCCAGGCCGGTCCACGACATAGGCACTCGGATCAGCTCTTTCTTGAATTGAGCCACTGCAAGTTTGACGTTACCAGGAATGGGTTTCGAGATAGCATCGACCGTGGACATTCCAGGTACAGCGGACGAAGAGTCGTTTCGTGCCGCCTCGTAGTAGATCCGGACGGATGCCGCGGGCCCCGCTACCGAAAAGCAGTAGATGCTCACCCAAGTGAGAATCTCATCATCCGTCCACGGGTAGCTATCAGTCCATGAGTGTAGTTTGTCGTAGATCCAAGCGAGCAACGCCACAGGGCTGTCATGAAGAGCGTAGCCTAACGTTTGCGGACGAGTCTCTTGCTGACGCATGTAAGCATTCCCTTGCGTTAGATAGTCCGAAGTAGCGGACAAGTGTGCCTTGTCACCTGATGAGAAGGGAATGGTGAGGAGGGATCGAAGAAAGACTAAAGGACTCCGCCATGGATAAGGCGGAGCCACCGGTAGAAAGTTCAGGTGAACGGCCTTGATGTGGTCAGAGTAGCGGTTGGCCATGACACGAGCGATGATACTGCCCCAATCACCGCCTTGTACAACTATAGAGAGATTAGTATTGAATCGGCCTGGTGGGGGAGCGATACAGCAGACCGTAATCTTTGTAGCCCAAAGCCAGCATCACATTGTGCATTGCTTCCGCATATTGAACCAGGCCAAACCCTTTCTACAGGACATTAGATTACTCTTGCAAATGCACTTATAACTTCGGTATATCTTCAAACCTTGTTTACTCCAGATGAGAAGCCAAAGTTCGGTAATGAGGGAGCGACCAAATGGAATGCTGGGTGATTCTCGTCTCCTTGGGTCAGCAATGGAATAAGCTTCGTTGCTTCCAAAAAGCTTCCAGGCCCTACAAGACTCCGGTCAGCTCCGCGATGACTTTATTGGGATCAGGTATCAGCCAGGCCTACAGCCGTGTATGAATAGCAAAGGAACAGCGTTTGGATTTTGGTTGGTGTGGTGCAGGCAATGAATATTCAAGCCTCCGAATCCGTTGACGGTTATAGGAACGAGGAACTGATTCAAGCTCTCGTTCAGTCCTTGTTCCTTTTGGCGCCAGTTGAAGCCGTCGCGCCAGTAGGTTACCAGCCTTCTCATCTCACCCAGAGGCACCCCCATGTCCCAGTCCGCATTGTCCAGTTCATCCGGGAAAGTTGCCGTTGCTAACTTCTGCTGAAGATGATGAAGTTGAGCATCTGGAACGGAGATTTCGAAGGGTCTAGCCATTGTGTTCTTGTCCAGAGTTTGCAATCACTTTGTTACTGAGAGTTGAGAAGGCATCTATGTCGGTCGGTCGACGATGTCATGTAATGAACGTACATACGACAGTATCACAACCTCGGTCCATGTGAAGCATCATCCATGGATGATGGAGCATTTGGTGTGGTGGTCGATTCTTTAGGGTTATACCACGTATTATAATGATAATTTGTTTCTCCGTTGTACTGTTTTCTTTCCAGGTGGATAGCCTGGTAACCCGGCAAACTATGGAACTACGCTCATTGGAATCAATATGCGTGAGGGTTAAGTTGATGTTCTATAAATATATTTCCGTACCAGCAAACGATACATACCCATGTCAATCAAAATGCGCCATGCGGCCGCTATTTATTTCTTATTTCAGGTTCCCTGAAGAAACAGACCTTTTTAGAAAAAGGAAAAGAAAAGGATGATTACACAAGCAGGCAGAACATATAGAAACCACTATAGGCTTGTAACTCCTCCCAAAGGGACATTCTAGACTCCAAATGAATCATTGTCACTCGCCGTGTGGATTTAAGCCTCCCCGCGTCTAGACCGGGCGATCGGTCCCAAATTGGTCCCATACGAAATGGAGACGATTTCTGTTTCTTTCAATTCCCCCCTCCTCCTGCACCTGACCGACTTTACCCTTTTCTCTCCATTCCTCCCACTTCTTCCTCATCTTGGCCTGTGGGTGGGACTGTCAAAGTATATCTATTCTATCGTCGGATGGTCCCTCACCCCCGGCTATTATATTGAGAACTGGATTTCTCTCCGCTTGCGTGGTCAAGGTTTTTTGGGTGATTTCTGCCGACCACCTCTGCCCCAGCAATTGGCCAGTGCCCTCAGAGAGAGGAAACAGTGCCATCCATCGACCAAGCAGAATAACCTCCAACAGCTATTAGAACGCTATCAGAAGGGGAAGGACTAAAGGGGCAGATTATAATCCCGTCGTCGATTTGTTTCGATTTAGTTTACCTACTGCTTGAACGACAAACATTTACTCCGTGCTTTCGCTTTCGCTTTCACTCTCTTCGTTTTCGTCCTTTTTTTCGCAGTCGTTTAAGTCCGACAGATCTATATCGCCAGGATAATTTGTCGCACAAATTCTTCTAAGAGCGCCATCCCAGTGCAGAGCGCCGACCATATGGTGTAGCTCGACCGGAGTTACACCTTACCAACATTTGCCAAAGTGGTGTATGTACTCGACAAACCTGTCTAACATCAAGAGCGATTCGATCTTTGATATTTCGAAAACCCTCCATCGTGCCCATGACGAAGGTTGATCACTAACCAAGTCCTCTGCGCCCGTTTCCAGATCGAAAGCCATGCGTTTTGTCCTGCCCAAAGATTCTCCTCGTGATCGGGCAACTAATTTTAAAACCCCAACGTTATTTTGGCGCCCTCCTATACCCTAATAAAGCTTCGCTTTCGGGACTCGCAATATTAGCGACTTTGACGAAGCGTGAAAGCTGTCCCACACCATGTCAGATTCAGTTGAATCCGAATGGTCAAAGACTTTCGTATCGGCCGGCCGATCGAAACCGTTTCTCCCATGCAAGTCTGAATGCCTTTCTGGAGATACCTCAGCTTCAACCTTGCTCAACGATGACCCGCAAGCCGACCCACTAAATCGCACACATCTCGGCGGTCATCAAAGTATGGCGACCGAACGACTGATGAAATTAAAGCAAGAACTCCGAGGCCTGGACTTGGAGTCCTTCTGGAGCCGACTGATGGAACATATTACCTCGATCTGCAACGCTCAATATGGTTTCGTAGCCCGGAGAGTTCGAGATGATGAGATCGTCGGTGATATGGGGGAACATAAACCCCGCCTGTTTGGTACAGCCTTTTATTACAATGATGGACATCAAAACGTGGGAATGCATAGACACCGGTACTTTGCTGGTGGCAACCCTTTGTCTCATATGGACCATGGGAAGCCTTGCTTGATTCCTGAGAAGTTAGGATCCGTCATGTCATTTGACCAAGACCAGCTCCCGTTCGCGGCAGAGGGCTACCTGGCAATTCCGCTCTTCTCAGAAACCCAGTGCCTCGCCCACTTCGGCTTGATGTGGTCGGAGCCAGGATTGCAGAAGCGTAATCTCTCGTGGTCTTTGTTGGAAATGGTTCTGTATTCGCTGGAAGATCTGATTGTCCATCGGATCCGAGAGGATGCGACAAAGACCGACCGGCCTTCCAAAGATATCAAGAATCCACCCAAGGGTCATAAAATCATTGATGATGGGTATTTAAACGCATTATACGGACATCCTGATTTCTCATCTCAGCCCTTGAAGCCCTTTGCTCGGAGCCTGTCTCATGAGTTGCGGACGCCGATGCAGGGGATCGTCGGAATGCTGGACGTCATGCACGCTACTGTACGGGAAGCCATTCAAGGCAAACCGTCTCCAAGGGCAGGTTATGTTTTTCAATCTCTCAAAGAAAGCATTGAAATGGTTCAAGGTTTGTCATGACTGCTCGTTATGCCACTACTCAAAGCTAACCCCATACAGATAGTGCAAGACGGGCTGTTGAAGCCGCTGATAATGTTGTCCATGCCTATGATATGAACATGCAAGTTCCTAAAACACCCCAAGTAGAACGTGATAACGATCTATTCGGCGGGCCTGTTCAGTCACCAATCCCAACGTGCGAAAATCGGCCGAACATCTTTGCTGATGGCACCAACGTTGGAATCAATCCTTACAAACGGCGGCGAAGCAATCCGCCAGAATTCACCGTGGGATCGACGCCGAAGCAAAAGATGCCGCGTGTTACAGCAACGAAAGAACTATCTCCTCGAAGTGAAGATGTCAAGATCGCGGTGCTTGAAAGTGACAAAATTATTCAGGCCACTCCAGCACATCAGATTGAAGCTGTAATGGCCAACATGGTGGACCCCCGTCCATCATTAGCAGTACGACGTTCAGCGCCACATCTTCTGCTGGAAGGCATCAATATCAACCTTAAGAGCCCTGCGCTGCGAGTCACAAAACTCCGTGATTTGCTCCGTTTGGTTATCAACGAATCGCTTCATGTTGGTGGCCGGCCTGATTTTGCGGTGACAAATGGAACCGAATTGGGGGAAAGAATTGAGCTTCGCTCGCGGTCGTCTAATGGGGAGGTGTTTTCTAAAACGATAAACTGGTCGGTAGACACTGCGCTGCCAGATACCCTATTTGTGGATGATCGCGATCTCGCGAAGTTGATATCATGTGTTTTTCTGAATGCGGTTAAATTCACAAATAGCGGTGTGATTACTGTCTCTGCTACTCTAGGCCGCAAAGTCGGCGATGTCTTGATCAGTGTTCGGGATACTGGCTCAGGTATTCCAGAGGCTTTTCTGCCAAATCTCTTCAAACCATTCGCTAGGGAGGATACATCTACGACCCGAAGCAAAGATGGTTTGGGACTGGGGCTTCTTGTAGCGAAAGGTTTGGCTAGGAAAATGGGCGGCGATTTGGTCTGTGTTCGTTCTGCTACCTCGGGTCCTGACCGTGGTACAGAGTTTGAGATTAGAATTCCTATCACTCAACCTGAACCATGCACCAGACCAATTGCACCTGCGACGAAGCTTCTAACCCCTCCTCAGCTCAGTGATCCTTCAAGACTCAGCCAAACGAGCAGCACAACTCCGGATACATTATTACCGCCCGCAATGCGGACCCCTATCCAACAACCGTCTCCCAGTCTCACGGATGAGGCTTCTTCGCGAACACCTACACACTCCCGTTCTGTACCCGATATCAAGTCATTTGGGGGCTCCATAAATGGAGATGCTTATGATAGCAAACTGGGGGAGAAGTATCCGCTGACGTTCCTGGTAGCGGAGGATAACAAGATCAACCGGCGGGTGTTGGTGAACATGCTCAAAAGACTTGGCTACCGGGATGTTTATGAGGCGTGCAATGGTAGAGAGGCTGTGCGGATTATGCAGGATGTTCTGGCGTCACAGCGCCCCGAGGAGGCCACGAATGGCTCTCACGTAGTCGCAAACCAGAGTGCCGGCCCAGAAGATCGCTCAATCCTCAAGCCACCGCCAAAGTACCGTAAGAAGCTCAAGCCAGTGGATGTCATTCTAATGGACCTCTGGATGCCAGAAATGGATGGTTACGAGGCTACCTCAAGGATCCTGCAATTAGTGGACCAATACCACGGCCAAATTCCTCCTAATCCTGGGACCAGCCAGCGTTCCACGGATTCCCATACGGCAAAGCATGTCCGGGCCACACCCCCGACGGTCCTTGCTGTCAGTGCAGATGTCACTGACGATGCCCTGGGACGTGCGTCGAAAGTTGGCATGAAAGGTTATATGACCAAACCCTACAAGTTGACCGACTTGGAACGGTTCATCATGAGTTTCTGCTGCGGTGATGATACAGCAAAACAAACCAATAACTCAATGAAGGCATGAAATAGTTGGGTCGATTAATATTGACCGCCATTTTCTTATATTTACTAATCTCTTAGTTCATTTGAAATTCCCGCTTTATACCACATCATTTTTGGGGTTCTGAATGCGTATACAGACGTTATTGAGAGGGGTGTTTTTTTTACACCAAGTGCTGGTCTGATGTACTTAACGAACGATATACCGTCAACAATAATGATCATGACTTGGAGAGCCAAAGAGACCAGGGAAACCAGAAAAGAAAAGAAAAAAAAACCCACTAAATAAAAGAAGCATAAGAGGCACATAGACACATACACAACAGTCCAATGACAATGGCAATTGGGTTGGTTCCATATTAAATAAATCACTTATGCTCTATCATACTCGCTTGATGAACATACATTGGACAGAGATAAACATAGAACAGGTCATTACATCCATATCTATCAATCGAACTCATTCGCATCATATAATACTAGAAAGGCAGGCATAATAGGCATATTCCAGTCTTCATGTCCCACATTAAACAAGTCATCCCAGCAACAAAACTGAGCCTACGGCCAGAAACTGAGAACGACCATCCAGCCCACAGATACATCCAAAATTGTCATAAAGTTCCATTGATTTGTTTCGGATGAACCAAAGAGATAGACGATCAAGGTGAAATGAACTCAAATGTAACCCCATATACAAGGTACGCCGGACAACAACTGCATCTTCTTTTCCCTCTTATCCCTTTCTCCATACCCTTGTCCCTTATGTCAGCTTCTGCTTGATGAAGAACGAGCGGAGGTGAGACAGTTGCCAGGCGCAGGCAGCGGACAGGACAGCCACTTGAATCAGGGTCCACCGGACAACACGGGAGTTGGTAGCTTCAGACTGGTCACGGAATTCGGCTTCACGTTCCTAGATTGATTGAGGGAAAACAACCAGGGTTAGTATCATATACTTCAGGTACACAGTTGGAGACAATGGAATTGCGTAAGAGACATACCCGCTGGAACACCTGCTCCCTCCGGATATCTTGCAACCGACCGTTGAGATCCTTCACCTTCTGGACGATGTCCTGGATCTTGCCCTTGTCTTCCGTCTCGATCTTGCTGGTCTCTCCGATGGCCATGTCCAGAGTCACCTTGACAGCGCCCGCGGGGGCACCCGACAGCCAGCCACCGGTCGCGGCACTCGTCTCGGCGGTCACGCAAATCCTGTGCTGGCCGGCATCAGCGGCGGAGAAGGTGAAGCGACCAGAGTGGCCATCGCGCTTGGAGACAACCCGGTGGTCGTTGTCGAAGGTCTCGTCGACAGTAATGAGCATCTTCAGGCTGGGATCAACGGAGTACGTGTTCGACTGTTGGTTGATGACCTGAGTGGAGTAGGTTCCTGCCCGTGGATATTAGAAAATTTAAGACACCGTCGAAGCAAGTCCACACGAAACCAATTGGTTGGTGACGTACCGACAACTAATGTGTCCTTGGGAAGCTCCTCGAAGAAGCATTTGGGTTGACGTCCATCGATATAGAAGTAGAGGGCGTTAACAGGCACCGAGAGGCACAGGATGGCGCAGAAGGCCAAGAAGGAGGATAGCCATGAGGTCGAGGATGTCGACGCCATCATGAAGGAGATCCGAATGGCAGGAGTTCTGGAATTCTGGGGAGATCAAGGGGAGGAGAGGTGAAACAGTGAAGAAAGAGGTGGCCGAATGTTGATGCTCAATGTGGCAGCAACGGACGGAAGTCTTGGCGCGAATTGAATTCTCCATTCATTTAATTCATCCATTCATTCACTCTCCTTCTCATACTCTTCCCTCGTTACTTCACTACTTCCTTTCATATCCTTCTTGTTCTTTCCTCTCCTTCATTTCTGTTCCTCGATAGTTTGCTCCAGTTATCAACCAATATCAACAAAATCTTAATTCGTGATCTTCAAGAGCTCCAAGAGTGGTGGTAATCTGCCATGGCCGCCGCCGATGTTCGCGACATGTTGGATTTGCCCGCGGAGGGCCAACCCCGACCGCATAAGAAACAGAAGGTCGTCGAGAAGAGGCCCGGTTGGTGTTCCCCCCCCACAACAACTACGCTCCGGTCTTGTCTAGTTTCTAATATTATAATTCTCAGAGGGTATCACTCGTGAACTTTACGCCTTGCTAGGTGAAAGAGCACCTCCGATCGCCATCAACGAGAACCGATACAAAGGTCGCCCGAAATGGATGAGCAAGCTGAGAGTTCGTCCTTGGTATGTTCTATCTGATTTACAGTGTGGGGATGCGTCCTGACAATGGCTTTTCCTACTAGGCGCATGGCTCCCTTCACCAACGAAGCTCGATCGGATGGACTCGTTCTGCATCACTGGCAGCGACAAGGCGATACCGCAAAACCGGCGCTGGAGGGACCAGAGACAGAAGGCGAAGAACAGAAACAGGATGAAGGGGCCCCGCAAACTCCGGACCAGGAATACCTCTTTGCGAAATATAACGTTAAAGCTCGAGTGCCGAGGCGATACACAGACGAAGAGTACAACCGACATCTGAAGAGCGATGACTGGTCGCGCCAGGAGACAGATTATTTGATGGACTTAGTCGAGGAGTACGATCTACGATGGGTGGTTATTGCCGACCGTTACGACTTCCAGCCACATCCCGTCGATGCAGAAACAAACAGCAGTGCGCTTGTACCAGCTAATCAAGTCCGAACCATGGAGCATATGAAAGCACGGTACTACTTTGTTGCTGCGTCTATGCTTGCCCTAGAACACCCTCCGTCGGAAATGTCCGAGGCCGAATTCGATTTGCACGAGAAGATGATGAAATTCGAACCCGAGCGCGAGCGGGCACGGAAGGAACTTGCCGCTTTGCAGTTACAACGTACGGCTGACGCAGTGCGTGAGGAAGGGGTTCTGCTGGAAGAACTGAAACGTATTACCGCAAACGAGCAAAACTTCATCGCAGAGCGCAGAGAGCTGTATTCCCGCCTTGAGGTTCCCATTAGTGTGGGCAACACCACTATGTACCAGTCTAGCCAGGGCTTGTCTCAGCTGCTTCAGACCCTTCTCCAAGCCGACAAGAGCAAGAAGCGACGCTCCATACTTGGACCCGAGGGTGCCGCACCCAGCCCGGCAGCCCAGACCCCAGCACCGAATGCAAATGCCCGTGACAGCCGTGGCGAAACCCCAAGCAATGCACCAGCAGCACCTACAAACAAGAAAGCTGCAGCCGTGGCGGCAGCAAACAAAGAGGCTCAACAGAACATTAGAACACTCACCGCGTCTGAAGAGACCAGATACGGAGTACAGCATCACGACCGTCTGGCTCCAGGCGTACAGTTCCGCAGTGATCGTGCTCAGAAACTGACGCAGGCCAAGTCCAACGTCCAGACCCAGAAACTGGCCGCTGCACTCGCCGAGCTAGAAGTGCCGCTTCGGCTGGTCATGCCCACGGAGCGGGTATGCAAGGAGTTCGAGAAGCTGATCCACTCGGTGAACTTATTGCTTGACGCCCGCAAAGTGGCAGAAAAGGTGGAGAGTGAGATCCGCGTACTCGAAGCTGCTAAGCAGGAAAGAGAGCGCAAAGCGAAGGAGGCAAAGGAGAAAGAGAAACCCGAAGTAAAGACAGAACAAGACGATAACCCGGCTCCAACAGCAGATGTGGCTACCGAGTCTACCGGTGCTGCCTCTGCTGCTCTACCTTCCACAGAAGGTCAAGCGGAGACGGCAGGTGGTACAGAAAACCAGGAGGTAGAAGCTGGTAGTGGTAATACTGGTGAATCCACAGCGCGAGAAAGCACCTCGCAAAAGCGTTCAGCCAGTGTCCTAAGCAATACCAGTGATAAAAGTACCAAGCGGCAGAAGAAGTGAGTTTTACATGTGTGATCTAATGGCGTTTTGTGTGTGTATCAATATACCTTTGTACGACTACATGAATATCCCCGGGGGATCTTTTGGGTAACTTTTAATGCATTCAAAGTATTTCATTGATTGTTAATCGCTAGTCTCATATCAATGACCTTTTGCTAGGTGACAAGGCACTCAGAGTTCCCGGGCAAATTTGAAATTGAGTTGCAGCCATGTCAGCTCATGTTTTCACAACCCTCAAAAAATCACCCTGGCTAGGGCTCATGGTCAAGATCATCTATTACTATCGCCTTTTTGATTTTCTTCCCAATTTCTGCAATCCATTGAGCATAGAAGACAGACAGTGCTGCTGTTTGTGTTTGTGTCTCTAATCTGGAATAGAATGGACCTCCAGACAATCTTCATATGCATCAGCCAAGTCAGTGTCCGAACTGTTCCGCTCGGTTACTTGCAAGACATCGTCCCTTCTGTCATGATAGCCCGTACTGAGTTTATGGCTCTCTTCCACTCGTGAGATTGCCAAGAGTTCATGTTGCTTAGGATCGGGGAAGATAGGGTTCTCCTCGTCAAGGCTATTGTTGATGGTCTGCTTACGCCCCCGGTTCTTGAGTTTAATAACTCGTGTCTTTTCCCTCCGTAGCCCGGGATTCTGCTTGATAGATATCGGTATCTTTGTTGTGAGTTTTGTCTCAAGGCCGTGAGCTCTGTCCGTTACAGTGCGACCTTTGGCCCAGAGACTTCGAGCACGATGTAGCCCCGTCCGCCCTTTGGACAACTGCTCGTCTACGTCGTTCACTGGAGGGTCCGTATCTCTAGGCGGGGTTAGTGTTCGGTCCAATTCTTGGTCTAAGCCAACTCCACAAAAGTGACTCCAAGGAGGTTTCTGATCCACACGTATATCGGGTTCGTTTTGGCTCTTCCTTGAGAATCCGAGCTTTCCCCATAGCACTGATGTTACTGATGTGTTATTTGGTCCAATGCAGAGGTTATTCGCTCCGGAGGATGTGGTTGCACCGGACCAGTGACGGAGATTCAAACGTTGCATCATGTTGGTAATTTCGAAGACTGACAGTCCTTTCCCCGATCCTGTCTTATTATCCTGCTCTATACAAGGCTTGCCAACAGTGCTTGCAGATCTTTTACCATGGCCCTTCCCAACTGTAGATGCACTGTTCAGATCACATGTCTTTAATGAGCAGGTGTCTTCTGAGGATAGGTTGTCTTCTTTGTCATCTGCTGGTACCAGCGTGTACCCGTAGCCAAGACGACGACCCCCAGACATCCATCCAACGCTGATCTGGCGCGATGGTAAAGCAGCCGTGCCTGCGTTACTCTGAAGGTCAGCTCTAGGAGGAGCAATCGATGGATCTACTTCATATGGTCTAGGAGATTTACTTTGCGAAGCGCATCCGCCAGCATCACAAGGAGTCGCAGCCGTTGGGATGTTTGGACTATCTCCGGCAGTTTCTTCTGATTGACAAGACGGATTCAGGCTAGTGATATCGGCGTAAGGATTTTTCATTGTTTCCCTCACCGAGTCTGGAAGACGGAAAACCTTTGTTTCAAACTGGTATTTGGAGTAACCAGATGAGAAGCTAGTCCTGCGGGAATATGACGACGAATCCTTTGCTCGCAATGTTTCCAGGTTCGTTTCTTGCACACTCTCAGTTGGTGCTTGTGTTGTGTCTACGTTAGTTCGATCGTAGCCTTGATTAGATGCGCTCCTCACCCCTGTGGTTTTGTCGTGCCCAATTCCGTCAAATGATGGCTTTTCAGATAAGGCCCGAGGCGATATGGAGGGAGACGCCAGTCTTTTCGATATATCCATATTACCCAGATGGATCGAATGACTCTCAGATTTCAGCTCCCTCGGGGGCGGCTGTCGCCTCTTTCTGATTGAGAGTTGAGAAGAGGGTCCATATACCGAATCGACAGACGTTGTACACGGCATTGGAGAGATAGGCGTGCGTCCTGGATAACCTAGGAGACGTCCACGGTTGGCTGTAGAGTACCGGCCGGGATTTTCAAAGAACCCTGTAGTATAGGGGCTTCCAACCCTCTTACGCGCACGTTCATGATCCGTACCATGAGTGATAGGTGGCAGCGGGCCCCAGTGTGGATAGTCCCGTGGATGCCATGGCAATTGGGGCCTTTCCAAGTCACTTTGGTCTGAGAATGGACCATCAACCACCAAACTGCTCTCTCCCGCCAGTTCTTCACCTGGGTCATCCAGTTCTGTCTCATAATAGGGCTGTGCAAGAGGTGACACACTCCCCCAAATACTAGGGCTATTGTACGGACTCTCTGACGCATTATTGAGATGCCTTGAGGTATCCATAAATTGTGCATCGCTATCATAACCTCTGGCGCTCATCAGACTGCTGGGAAAGCCATCTGAGGCGATTAGACTCGGTTTGGCATTTGTTGGCTTGGGTGTGAATGGGAGAAATGAGCTTCTGGCCTTCTTGCCAGTGCTTTTGGGCCCTGCGTTGGTTTCTCTGGAGAATCGTCTGCGCAATCTCTCTGCTAGGCCAGAGGAGCCTCTTTGGTGTTCACAACTGCTCCCACTTTCCGTCGATGAAGGTACGCCTGTCACGGTCAGTGCTTACATGCACGGCATTGGCAGTCAAGCATCGATATGTCATCACCTTCCACTTGTTCCTCCGATGGAGTGGGAGACTCTACCCGGGCCAGTTGATAGCAAGACGTGTCGTTTGGTTCCGCTGGGTGCTTCCGGCCCCATCTGAACCAAGGACAGGAGAGTAGACCCATTGTATGGCTACGTAGGTTTGTCGACTAGTAAAGACAGTGGTTCTTCGAATGCGTCGTTGGCTAGATTGAGGAAGCTCGCCGGGAAGCACAGAATGCTTCCGTCCCTTTTGGGTCTCCAACCTGTCAAGGAAGGTGCGCATGGTGAAGTCGACAGTACTAGTTTCCTAAAGTCCAACAGAAATTGGGAAGTCGCGAAAACTTCCATGACAGTACCTTCCAGTGTGCTGTTGGATAGCATGGCATCTATTCCTCCGAGTAAGGACACCAATTGTCCGGAGTATTCTTGCGCTTCGTTGCAATACGTAATGGTTTCCGCCGGAGCTAACAGTTCCCCGTCAATTCCCCGACTACATATAGTCTTTTTCACCAGAGCGAAGGATAACCGTCGAGTTCATATTGTTTTCATTAACGCACACCCACTCCGAGGCGGATGATACTACTAGTATAAGAGTCGCTCCTAGTTTCCTCCTCTTAGATGGCGGTCTATCACATGTGGTTATGGGAGGCACGATCTATGTAGCGGCATGTCGATGCTCTAGAATACACATCTGGTTGAAAATTTATTAGCTGATCAAACATACGAGCATTATTCAAGAGTTTACTATCTGATAGAGATCTCACTTGGGTATTGTGCGAGTCTTTCGGGGTTCTGATCTCACCTCACCTCGGCCATGTGTCAAAGACCGATGATGCTCCCGGTGGGGTTTTGAGTAGTACGTAGTGTACTCATTGGGAGATGAACAAACTGCGTTGATGTATTTTTTTGAGTATAGTGTATTCGGAATTCATATGGATAAATTCAGATCGAGCCAGAATATGAGTTTCCTCTCTCTCTCCTACTTGTCTCCCTTTTTCCAGTAATTGAAACTGTTGGGAATGCCAAAAAAAGAAAAAAAAAAGGTATATGCCGTATGTACCTTATCGGATGAATCACACGTAGTTTAGTATGATACAGGATATATAGTACTTGTATCGTACCAACCAGTCAAGAGTGGCCGATCCCGGAGCGTCCGTGAGCGGGCTAAACTGGAAAAAGATAAGGCCCAGTCCCTTTATCGCAAAACTTGACCCAATCTGGAGACTCTGGTTGGTACCTTCTGTGGTGATCAGTCTGGACGGAGACCTAAAATTACTTAAAATTACGGGTCTGGGAGAGAAATGGGGGCAATCACGCCATCCTGATCTTTCCCCAACTTGTATCAGAACGAGCTTTAGTGGTATTGTCGGCGAGTCGGCGTAACGATACGTTGCCCCTCCATTCAATATTCCGCCCGATTGGTCCATTTACTTGATCTTTTCATGTCATCTTCGTTTCCACGCTGTCTTTCTCTCTTTTCCCCTCCATCCCCATCCCCAGCTCCCATTCTTATTTATTCCTTCTTCTCTCCCTCCTGCTTTTTTCTTTCTCTTCTATTCTCTTTCATCCCTTTCCCCCCTTTTGACCTCTTCCCTCTGCAAGAGACCGTGATTGTCTCTTGTATCTTTTGATCCATTCTTCTTTTTGACAAGAATTCTATCTTGTTTCTCTACCTCATTTTCCCCTCGTACCCTTTATCCCTTAATCCGTACTCACATATCTATCAGGATGGTTCAATCGTATGTCAATTCCCTCCTCTCTCGAATTGGCAACAAACTCTCTGGCTTGGGTAACGCTGACCTCTCTTGTCTATAGCTCCGTCTTGGGTTTCCCTCGTATGGGAAAGCTTCGTGACCTGAAGAAGGCCACTGAGGCGTACTGGGGTGAGAAGATCTCTCGTGATGAGCTCTTGGCCGAGGGAAAGAGACTCCGTCTGGCGCACTGGAAGATCCAGAAGGATGCTGGTGTCGACATCATCCCCAGCAATGACTTCGCCTTCTACGACCAGGTCCTCGACCACATTCAGATGTTCGGTGTAAGTGGTTATTCCCCTCGTTTCTAATATTAATTATCTATCATCATGCCTTGATCCTAACGTTACTTCCCTCAATTAGGTTATCCCCGAGAGATACAGCAAGTACAACCTCCACCCCGTTGACGAGTACTTCGCCATGGGTCGTGGTCTCCAGAAGCCTGCCAAGGATGGCCAGGCCGCCATCGATGTTCCTAGCTTGGTATGTTATACTGGTCCGCCTTGTTCTGGTCAATAAGTCTAATACTGGTGTACAGGAAATGGTTAAGTGGTTTGACTCCAACTACCACTACGTCAAGCCTACTCTTCAGGACAACCAGACTTTCAAGCTTGCTGAGCAGCCCAAGCCTGTTGTTCAGTTCCTTGAGGCCAAGGAGGCCGGCATCGTCACTCGTCCCGTCATCCTGGGACCTGTCTCGTTCCTGACTCTTGCCAAGGCTGACCGTGGTCAGACCATTGACCCCATCTCCAAGGTTGATGACCTCGTCGCCGTCTACGTCGAGCTCCTCCAGAAGCTGAAGGAGGCTGGCGTTGAGGACGTTCAGATTGATGAGCCTGTTCTCGTCTTTGACCTTCCCGCCAAGTCCAAGGATGCGTTCAAGCCTGCCTACGAGAAGCTCGGCGCTCTCGGTGACAAGGCCCCTCGCATCGTCCTCGCCACCTACTTCGGTGACATTGTTCACAACATTGATGTCCTTCCTGCTCTTCACAACCTCTACGGTATCCACATTGACCTTGTCCGCAACCCTGAGCAGCTCGACACCGTCGTTGGCGCTCTTGGCCCCAACCAGGTTCTTTCTGCTGGTGTTGTCGATGGCCGTAACATCTGGAAGACCAACTTCAAGACCGCCATCGAGAAGGTTGAGCTGGCTATTCAGAAGCTTGGCAAGGACCGTGTGATCGTCGCCACTTCCAGCTCCCTCCTCCATGTCCCCCACACTCTTGCAAGCGAGAAGAACCTCGACGCTGAGGTGCGTGACTGGTTCAGCTTCGCTGTCGAGAAGACTGCCGAAGTCGTTGTGATCGCCAAGGCCGTCACCGAGGGCCCTGCTGCCGTCCGTGAGCAGCTCGAGGCCAATGCCAAGTCTGTCCAGAGCCGTGCCTCGTCCAGCCGCACCAACGACCCCAAGGTCAAGGAACGCCAGGCTGCCGTCACCGAGGAGATGCACAACCGCAAGTCTGCCTTCCCCGTCCGTCTTGCTGAGCAGGGCAAGTCTATCAACCTTCCTCTCTTCCCTACCACCACCATTGGATCTTTCCCTCAGACCAAAGAAATCCGTATCCAGCGTAACAAGTTCACCAAGGGTGAAATCACCGCTGAGCAGTACGAGAAGTTCATTGAGCAGGAGATCCAGGATGTCGTTAAGATCCAGGAAGAGCTCGACCTGGATGTCTTTGTTCACGGTGAGCCTGAGCGTAACGACATGGTCCAGTACTTCGGTGAGCGTCTCACCGGTTACGTTTTCACTACCCACGCCTGGGTCCAGAGTTACGGATCTCGTTGCGTGCGTCCTCCTATCGTTGTCGGTGACATCTCCCGTCCTGCCCCCATGACCGTTAAGGAGTCCAAGTACGCCGTCTCCATCTCCAAGAAGCCCATGAAGGGTATGCTCACTGGTCCCATCACCTGTCTCCGGTGGTCTTTCCCTCGTGACGATGTCCACCAGTCCGTCCAGGCTCAGCAGCTTGCTCTTGCCCTTCGCGACGAAGTCGTTGACCTTGAGGCTGCTGGTATCAAGGTCATCCAGGTCGACGAGCCCGCCCTCCGTGAGGGTCTTCCTCTCCGCTCCGGCAAGGAGCGTGAGGACTACCTCAAGTGGGCTGTCCGCTCCTTCCGCCTGGCCACCACCGGTGTTTCCGATGGCACTCAGATTCACTCGCACTTCTGCTACTCTGAGTTCCAGGACTTCTTCCACGCTATTGCCGCTCTGGATGCCGATGTTCTGAGCATTGAGAACAGCAAGTCCGATGCCAAGCTGCTCAAGGTCTTCATTGACGAGGCCTACCCCCGTCACATCGGACCCGGTGTCTACGACATCCACTCTCCTCGTGTTCCCAGCGAGCAGGAGATCAAGGACCGCATCGACGAGATGCTCCAGTACCTCCGTCCTGACCAGCTGTGGGTCAACCCTGACTGCGGTCTCAAGACCCGTCAGTGGCCCGAGACTAAGGCTGCTCTGACCAACATGGTCAACGCGGCCAAGTACTACCGCCAGAAGCACACCAAATAAATGGTGTACCTTATTTAATTATCAACCCATGAAGGGGCGACATTCTCAACCTGTCGCTTCGGGAGAGACGAATACGTTTCGTTTTATGATGAGTTACGATGATGATACCAAAAGTTCAACATAATGGGTTCAGGGTTTCTAGAGATATCCAGGGGGTCAACGGAGTTTTCAACATTCACGATTTCAACATCGGCGTCAGCCAAATATTGACATGATTTCAAGTTCAGCGTTCCCCGATTCTGGGGTGATGATTGTTTCTAATCCTTCATGCTTCCTTCTCTGCGAGAGGTAGCATGAGTGAGATTGTCTCTTGGATTTCGCCGATGATTTCCAAATATTTCAACAATGTGTATAATCATACATACATGGGTGGTTTTCACCTCAAAATCTAATACGAGCTGGTGTCTCAGCCAAGCTTGACTTCACATCGACTTTTTTTTTCTCCGATTCTTTTGTATTGTAGATGCTGTTTGTCATTTGTAGTCACCAAGTAGCGTGATATCGTTGAAGATCTGGGCAGGTAAAATCTCAATATGCTCGGCACAACGCTGATGCGAAGCTTCTATGCAATCCCATTTTGACGTAATTGCATATGTGATACCTAAATAGTAGATAAAGCGAAACGTACAATGACCAGGCGATGATTGGGATAGAGATATTATGATACCACTGGTGAATGAAGTTAGGCTTCTTTGTCTAACCTCCCTATCTAATTGTCCTTCCAGCTAATTAATTTCAATACTTTTTCATCCCTGTTTCCCCTTGACCAGGAAGTAGGATATACGAAAAGTATAGATAGGAATGACAAGGAAAGACGGACAAGGCTATGTTCATCTGTCGGATTTTGATGAACCATATATATACACAAGAATATGTAAGTCTTGCAATAACGAATCCGGCTCGGATTTTTACTTCTCTTTCTACTTTTATCACACCACCTGATAACTGATTGCACCCAACTTTAAAGAAGCTATTACGTAGTATATTCAGTCCTGTATAAGAACCAGCAGTAATCAAATCATAGATCTAAACTACAACCATCCCAAAAAAGGCACTACCGCGCCCCTCCCAGCAACCTTGTCCTTCCCAAACCGGCCCAAATACCACCTCTTCCCCAACCTCGCCTGAGGCACCATCGAAGTCACAACATTCACCACAAAAACGACCGCCGGCAACGGCAACGGCACCCGCAGCCTCTCCGCCAATGCAGCCGCAGGGCGCAACCACGGCACAAGTCTCATATCAGGTCCAACCGCACCAGACGCAGGATACACCGCCGTACCCACGAGGATGAAACCAGTCCACTCGAGCCATTCAAAGACGTAATGCGGGTAGAGGATGAATCGAAAAAGGCCCTTTGCGGGCGGGATGACGTAGACCTTGGAGTACTTGTTCCCGGGATTCTTTGAATGGTCTTTCTGAGTGTACAGTTTGTTTGCTTCTTCGCGGCGGAGTCGGAAGAATGTTCGTTCGGAGATGATGTTCCCTGTCATCCCGACGAAAAAGAGGATGAATCCTATGTAGGGGAGATAATCTGAGATCGCTGGTCTGGTACCATCACCCAGACCACCAAACTCATCCGTTCGATACCCGGTAACAGGGACATGGTACCCCACCAGCCACGCAGCAAGACAAGTCGAATTAATCCAGTTGAACGCTAGACCGCTGACGGCGATAAGAGCATGGATGGGGGACATGCTCGGGGCCGCGAACAGCGGGGAGATGACGGCGCGATTGGCATAGTGGATGAGATACAGCGCGGCGATGATCTGATTCGGGAGCGGTAGGGACGTGAGGTCCGTGTTGAGTTTTGCGACGAGGGCTTTCATCACGTAGATGAGGTTTAGGGGCGCTATGAGTTCCATGGAGGTCCAGGCGAGGCGGCCGGGGACATTGAAGATGGAGGATTTTAGGGATGTTTTACCCATTGGGAACCAGGTGGTTAGCCATAGGACTATTGTGAACTGGGTTGTGTGGGTTAGTTGGGTGTGCCTGTTCATTTGTTTTGTTGGGGGACTTACGCCGGCGAAGTATTGCCAGATGGTGAGGATTTGGGAGTATGTTTCTGGGGTCGGGTGGAGGAGATCCTGGAGGGGCGGGAGGGAATTAAGGGTTAAGATGGTTGGTCCCATTGTTTATTTGTTAATTCGTGGTGAATGAAGGGGGGGTTGGAGTGGAAGAAAAGGAAGAAATTGGTGACTGACTGATGTTGAGGTCACAATATAGATGTCAGGGTTGGCAGTAAATAAACTCGGATGTTTGTTTCGATTGTTGAAAAAGAAAGTCTGTCGATCTTCTCTATAGGGATTAGCGTGGCCCTCCCTATGTTTACTTCCACTGTATGTTTTCCCTCTTAAATCTGCAATCTGAGATTTCCATATCAAACCCAAAGGATGCGAAGATCTTAAGTGGAGCCTTTCCGGGGTATACCTGGTATACTACTAGTACTAGTACTAGTACTACTACTAGTAAGCTCTCGCCTATCTGCGAGGTACCGAAATAGTCGAACTCATCCAACGGGAGATTTTATACGGGCGGCATCTGGTGGTGGCTTGAACATGGATCCCCTGCACCGATTATGCAAGTGATGATCCAGTTTATTTACTGGCCACTTCTATAAATTCATTTCAAAACGAGATCCCCCTGTGGCCTGACGGTAAAACCCAATATAACATAAGTTTTAGTCTGTTCGTCTATGCTAAGCCTCAACATCTAGCGAAGCTACAAGTCGTGAAGGAGCAAGAAAAGAATAACCCACTCCGATCCAAACCATTAACAATAAAAACAAAGCTCGTATCGTGCCAATTTTTAGGAATATCGTGGATGTGGAATCGTTTCCAACAACCGCCAACTCATAAACAAAGGGATATCCCATCAGTCAGCAGACGTGTCCATCGTCTCAGATGCACTTTGCGTCGCTGGTGTTCTGCGCGCTGCCATTCGCTCTGCCTTGAATGCCTCGATCTTGGCTTTAAGTTCAGTATCTGCATCGGACGAGTTAGTAACATGGAGCTGCAAAAGCGACGGCACGGAATACGTACCAGGTGTGACATCCTCCATCTTGAGGGGGACTCGGTTGAACGGATCATGAGGGTCACTCAGAAGATGAGACCGGATGGTGGAGCGATCGATAGACACTCTCGACCCAGGAAGAATCACAGGGTCTTCCATCAGTGTATACATAAGAGGATCTGAAAGATTTGTTAGCAACTGCCATGAACCCTAAGAGCAACTACTCCCAGAACATACCTAAAAACTCGTCGGGGACCTCTCCGAGGTCCTCCTCTGCTTGTTCGTCGGCCTCCTTGGCTTCCCGCACCCGGCGTTGTAGCTGCTCCCACCGCCTGAGCTCCTCAGGAGACTTGAGTGACCACTTCCGCAGGATCTCCGCTGCCTTTTCGAAGTTGGCCGGCTTGTAGGACCGTCCATCCCGAGCAACGGCCACAATGAAATTCTCCTTGCTCATCAAGTTCAGATACACGTCGACAAGCTCGCTCAACAAGGCTCGTGGATTGAACCCGTACTCTTGCAGGTTGTCGACACGGAGACTCGAGCTCTTGGGGCCCACCATCGCATCAAGATTGTAATCAAGCATGTCTGCCAGTCTTTGCACAATTTCCGGCATGGTAAATGAATCGGCCAGAGCTTCGGTGAAGAGCTTAAGCATGGCGACTGTTTCATTGGTCAATTGCATGTAAGACTTCGCATTGCGCTGAGCAGAGGCAAGTTGTTCCTCTTTTTGCTGTCGCACGGTGGGATCCATGCCCGCCCCATTACGCAATTCCGTTTGAGTTTTATGGATGGTAATAAAGGCACCAAACGACTCGTCAAGCACAAAAGTCACATCGTTGAGGAGTAAATTCACAAAGCGCACGAAGAAGTCCAGATTCCGCTTGGCCTGGTTAGAAAGTTTGGCACGGTATAGCGTATTGGGCCAAATGCACTTGATGATCTGGAAGATCTCAAAACGGATGTTGAACTTATCGAAGAATTGGGTATGGGTCCCCGTGTGCTCGGCTTCAATGTAGAACTTCATAAGAGCATGCAGCAAATACTCGTTGGCAAAGGGCATGGAGTTCAGGAGGTCCACCAGCACGCCCCGCGCACCGCCAGGGCGAGGCCATGTTCCTCGGAAAAGAATAGAGACTAGACCGGCCTTCAAATAGGGGTTCTTGATATAGCTAGTGCTTTCCAAAAAGGCTATACAGAGCATTACCAATTCGTCACCTTGCGTTGCGGTAATGATTTGAGGCATGCACCACATGATAAACTTGAAATTGCTCACAATGTCGTCCACAAAGTACTCAGGAAGACACTTCCAAACTTCTTGCTGCTCCGCGGGCAGAGGCAATTGGATGGGCTCTTTGGGGAAGTTCTTGCCAGACACAAGTCTCAGGAGGAAGACAATAACATAGCGCATAAACAGCATGGAACGGGCTTGCCATTGGTCGTCGAACAACACACCTTGAAGACTGTACTTCAAAGCAAGACCCAAATCCAACTTGTCCTTGTACTTCTTTAAGGCCTGCTCAAAGACCCTGAGTTGCATTGGGTTGTTGCTCCACTTGTGCCGCTCTTGCTCGAATTTGTTGATTGTGTTCTCCAGGTGTCGGAGGTCCTTCTCCAGTTGATCCAACTTTGAGGTCAATGATTCGCTACCATAGTGGTGAGCAGCGACTGTGAGGAAGAAGATCTCTGTGATGAAATTAGAGGTTCCATCAACCTTCTTAGCATAGAATGCATCAGACGCATGCTGATCGGCGTTGATTTTGGTCTCATCTTTCATCTCGACTCGTGGGTTCCGATGCAAATATCCTGCATCAATCCTGTCGATCTAATGGCCGAGTCAGCAGGAGATATATCATGTAATTCATTCAGAATGGTCTACCTTGGTAAAGTTGGCATCCATAAAAGGTTCACAAAGCTGGTCCAGACACGTCGTGAGATTGAACATGAAACCATCCGAGGACACAGTATTCGGATCAACCTGCATAGCGCGTCGCTTGTGATTGATGTTCAGAGCTGCGGCGAACCAATCCAAAACTCTCTCACGTGCATCCTTCGATGCACGGATTAGATGGTTTATTATGTCGAAAAGATCCGAACTCAGCATCTGCTGCATCATCCGCTGTGAGCGCTGTGCGTTCAGGATATAGCCCTGGTCCCTCGTCTTGGGGCTCGAGAAATAGGTCATAGTCACTGCACCTTGCAGAGGCGATAGCCGGAACCAGGGCCCGAGTAACGTGTCCTTCTCAAATGTTGCAGCCTGCCGAGATTCATTGAACAAGGATGACTCAGTGATCGCTGCACCCACAACCGCGTGGCGGACAAGGTTTCGTAGGGCCTATAAATGAGGTTGACAAGACACTCAGGTAGAAGGTGGGATGACAGAACATACTGTTACGTAGGGCTTGTAATCGTCATTGATAGTCATGGCCGCAAGATCCTTGCTCATTTCTTCTACCGCCGCGATGAATGCTGGCTTGATGTTCTCATCCTCTTCAAACCTTTTGACAGCCTCACTTAGGAGCTCAAAATCCACCCCCTTATCATCCTCGGGGTCCAAAAGAAGGTAAGGTTTGAGAGGTGACTGTCCGGACGGTTCGATCCTTAGCATATAACCTGTTAGTATCTCACCCTCTACCTAGGTGAAGCGCACTACATACCCAAACATCTCCGGCATTGTAATCGCAAACATGCAATAACTCAAGCAAAGGCGCCGGGCCTCGCATATGACGTTGAACTTCGGGTCATCTTCGCGAGCACGACGGAATCCCTTGTGCAGCCTAGATATCCTCCGCCAGCACGGCAACAAATAATCCAAGGGCTTCTGCTGAGGGGCATTCGAAGCAGCTTCCAGAAGAGCCTGATCTAGGACAGCTGTCTCAATACGAAGGTCGCGACCTTGCTCCTCGAGCTCACTCTTGAGGCCCGAAAGGTAAGTCAATCTTTGTCCGTGGATATCCCTTTGGCGGTCCCCCTTCAACGTCAGCTTGAACACAGCGCTCAGTGTACGATCCTCAAACGCCTCAAGACTCTCTTCTGCCCTCGGCGGCGGTGGGGTGCCGGAAACTGGGGTGACCGATTGTGACCGATCGGGGCCTGTAATGTTCGAGACGGCTGGTGTGATCTTGATCCGCTTCCCTTCGGACTGTAGGTCGGGTCTTGGCGACGCTGCTCTGGAGCTCGCTGCACTGCCGGCGTTGGACTGTGTTCGGGAAAGTACTGGCGTCGAGGGAGATTGGGGCCGACTTGACGACTCTACGCCCTCTGGTCTCGACGATGGGGACGGGTTTCCAAGCTTTGCTAAGCGCTTGTTGCGGATCTACTCAAGTTAGAACCACTCTACCGAGGACCACGGCAAACAGAAAAATTCTAGAAAATCAAGATCCGACCTTATCCGCTTCAGAGAGATTGTCGGACATCTCTGAGTATTAAAGACACGGTGCCCCGTACCTAATGAAAGGCTTGTCAACCAGCGGGGCAGAAAATGCGGAGCAAAATCGATGAGGAGAAAACCAGCGAGAAAAGGATGGGTAAAAATGAATCGATGGTCACCTAATCGTGCCGGGTTCTCAGATCGATGGGTCACACACTGCGGGGAACGAACTGAGAACCAGAGGCCAAGTGAATGAATGTGAAAGATTAGGTACCTCTGGGAGCGAAAGACCTTCTGTTGCAGTCGCTCAGATTCGTCTGCATTAACTAAGCTTGTGTCGGGGTTTTGCCGCCAATCGTTCACCTTCTCCGCTCTGAACTACACCGATTACTGCCCACCGTAATCAGTATAGCTACTACTAATACTACTAAGTCTATTACAATCGCTTAATTTTCTCAGAAATCCATTCATTTCCCCATATACAAGAATTGATGCTCATACCCTTTAAAATAACATATCGTTATAAACTTCACAGCAACATCTCTGATCATGCGACGCCATCAAACTTCTGCACATATATTGACATCTAAGAGGAAAACGAAAAGGCCCCCAAAATACTGGACGGGACAACATTAAGTATGAATGAAATGGATGCGGCTAATAAAACAACGTCACGGTATTTGTTGAAGTAAAAAAAAAATAGATAAATAAAGCAATAGCGAAACAAGTCGTCATGTCTGTTAGTATCTTCCTTTCAACGAGTCTAACTGCCGACAACTCTTAAGCTCCATGGATCTTGCCGCCTTCATTTTCTCTACGTCGGGGAAAAACCAGCCCTGGGCGTCCTGAATCATACGGTCCCGGGCATGTATTTCACTCTCACACGCATACCGAAGCTTGCTGACGTAGTCCACTTCGACCCGTTGGTCTAACTGGCGGAACTTCCGCGCGCTGAAGTCTTCTATATCACCCGGGTTAACAAAATAGTTGACATGGAGTTTCGGCGTTGTCCGTTGCATCGTGTGTGGGGGGACTGCTGCATCAAATCGGTATGAGGGACCTGCGGGAGTGGAGGAGCCGGAGAAGAGAGAAGAAAGCAAAGGGAAGACGAAAAGAAGGATGAGAGGCAAGAACTGTTGAATAACTGCCCAGGCCGAAGGCGCTGGTTCGGGCTGACTGTTCGCTTCGCGCGGCCTCCTGCGAGGCCGAGCACCGCCGAATTGATGGACTCGGAATCCGGGGCCACCTCCCATGTTGAATACAAACTGAGGACCACCTACGTAGCGAGTCAGTAAGAATTTCTGTAATAAAGGGAAACTTAGGTAGTAGTCGTACCAAAGGTATTGAAGCCACCTCCCATACCACCGAAACCGCCACCGAAGAAGCGATTGAACAACTCCTCCGGCGATATTTCCTCTTCGTACATGGTACCACCGGGGTTTGCTGAACGTGGGAAGCCACCGCCAAATCCGCTGAAAGGAGAGGCACCCGAAGGCCCAGAGCTGGGGCCGAATCTGCTGTCCGGATCTCCTCCAAATTTATCATACTTAGCCTTCTTGTCTGAGTCTGATAGGACCTGGAAAGCGCGCGACACCACTATTCCAAACGTTAGCAGCGAAGCACGAAGCGATAATCTAAGCAACAGACAACTCACTCTTGAACGCTTCGTCGGCCCCCTCATACCCATTCTTATCAGGATGTGTCAACAGACTCAACTTCCGATACGCCTTCTTGATCTCGCTGTCCGTGGCCGTCTTCTCTAAAGACAAAATCTCGTAATATGCAGTCGACGAACATTTTCGTATCCGTAGTACGGCTGCTTTTTGATCGGGGGTATATTTGCGGTCTTGATTTCCTTGGCTGTGCTCGCGGGATTTCGCAGAGCCGCCATTGTCTACCCCAGACGCTGTGGCAGACGGCATGGTGGCAAGGCTCTGATTCTGCGCCCGAGCAAAAATATATCCGTTGTCTTTATCGGCCTCTAACTCGACCCTCCTTCCTGCTGTTCCTCGTTTCCTTCCCTAAGAGGATGACGGCGGATCCGAAGGCTGTCGGAGGAGAAAGTGTCCGTGAGGGTTCCGATAAGGATTATTTTTCGCGAAACGACGCTGAGAAAATCCAGTAATGACGTTTTGAAAATTCCGGCGACTGGCTGATTGGACCCCTGCGTTGAGAATGCTGGTTGGTGTAAGTCCGAGGGTAAAGTTGGTCTGTGATTACTGATAGATAAACGTGGTGTCTTTTCGAAGGTTCAGATTTATGTTGACTGATGGCCACTAAGCCGCGGGTGACAAGACGTTAGTCAGGAAAGCCGTATCACTCCATTAGTTACCTATGACCTTCCACAAGCAGCTTCACGATTGGCGACCCCTCAAAGTCACAACCAATTGAACGAATAAATCGTTCTCTTCCCGTCCTTATAAACTACTGATTCGTCGCTACAACTCTTTGAGCTCGATCTCCTAAATCTCCGATCGCAACAATGACCGGTTCGGAATCTGCAGTGGAGAAGACCAAGCAGTCTCTCATGCAAAAAGCTCAAGCATGGGGAGGTGAGCATTCCCTGGACCATTGATCTTTTTTTTTTTTTTTTCGCCGTTTTATCCGTTTTTTTGCAGATCCCATAATTAACGTCATAATTCTACAGAAAATCCTTTCACCCCGACGCTCCTCGCAACCTTCATTACCGCACAGTACATGCGGCCCTTCCAAGCACTTCCGATGCTCTTCCCACCCGTCCTTTTGTTCACAAGCTATGCCAATCTTCAAGGTTTCAAGACCGATAGCGCAGGAATTAGCGCTGCCTGGTCGGGACTTTACCTTTTGCTTGCCGGTCGGCGACGCCAGCCCTTCATGAAGAAATGGGGTGCCCGGGGCATCGTCCGCGGTGTGACCATGGGTCTCTGCTTGGCCAACATGGTTGGTGGCGGACTTGCGTATACTTTGGGGAAAAGGGAAGAAGAGGACGACGATTAAAAGTCGACCTTTGCGCCGTGGTCTCTGGGCTGTACGATAATGCGTGGTTTTTATGCTACTATGACTCTATTAAAACGTAGTGCGGGCGTCGTGGCGGTATGGTGTTTTGGTTGAATCTTATGATGGAAAAGTTATTAGTCGTCTTGGGCGAATATACGTACTCCTAAACGAGGGCGTCATGTATTATATAGATCGTCGACGGGTGGCGCTCATCGGCGCATCTCATTTACTCTACCACGCAACAAAGATCTCATTAAGGTTGTGATATCGTTTACTCCGAGTATGGTTGTTGGGACAGGATGAACTCCCGGACGTTGTCGGGGACCAGCCCTTCCAGATCTTGGGGATTCGACCGGATTGCCTCTCGGGCCAATGTAGAGCTCACTGGTCTCTCATCCGGCCGTCTCCCTTCCACGAGCTGAATCCGCTGAGCCCATTCAGTTTTGCCGCCGTCCTTTTCCATGCCGCCCTGGGCCATGTTGAGTAGGAATTGCTTCTGCTCTTCCGCATCGCCCCACTCGCTACCCGGTCGCATGGTGACCCTCAACCGATGGCGTGTAAGAAAAGGCCCTAAGGGCTGGAGGGTATGTTCTGGCGGATAATACTTGGGGTTGAAGATCCGAATCAACGTATCATAGCCAGTGAGATGAACTTGCTCAAGCGATTCCGGATAAATCCCCGCAGTATCAATTTCCGCGGCTTTATCCACGAAATACGGTTTCTTGGTGAGACCGATATCGATTACTGGAAGACTCTCATCCTCTGAAGCCGAGAAATGTGGCTGTATATATGCCAAGAGGTCTCTCGCGAATAGTTCCATCATAACAAGACGATCCTCGAACAAGGCTGGTTTGGAAGGTTTATCCGCATTCTGGGTCGCAAGTAATAGTAGAAGCCGCGGCGCTTTGCTCGCACTCTCGAAAAGGGCGGTACTAGCTATCCTGCGATGTGCAAGAGTGGGCGGATTGAAGGATGAATCCAACACGTATAGGACATCTGGAATGTGAGCCGGTGGGTGAGATTGACCGGCGGGAATAGAGGTGAGGATTTCAAAGTTCTTGCTCGACGCGATGAAGCGTTTCAAGGTTGAACTATATTGCGCTCGGAGTGTCTGGAGGGCGGGGGTCGTCATACTTTTTTGTGCAGCAGGGTAGTGACAGACTGTTTAAAGTATGGTAACAAGGGCCTTCTTGTCGGGGACGTCAGACACGGCCAAGAGCTTTCTTAAAGTGGAGAAAGTTGAATCCATGGAATAAAGGTTGAGAGAAGTCCCGAAGGCTGGCGCCCCGGTGGATTCTTCCCCGCGGGTGGCTGCAGAGAATTGCATCATACGAAGAAACAACCCCAAACAAACGAAGGAGTTTATAACTTTATACTCCGAACTAGATGCTCCGCAAAACTCAACTCACACATTTTGCGGTGAAGAATTGCATTGTGTGTCCTTTGTGGCTCAGTCACTTTGCGCATGACAAAAGAAGCGGTGGTCAGTAAGTTATTTTCTTCGTCTTGTTATTACGCTCATCATGGCATTATGTAGTCCGTAGCAGCGGGATGATCTTAATCAAGGACCCTGAGGAGGCTGCTTCGGTACTAATGATGGGTCTCTTTATGGAGTAGGTCAAGGAGACTCATCCCAGACCGTGAGAGTATCACCAATTAAGATGAAACCGATCTACCCGTGTCGATGGAAAGTTGTCCACCTGCAGGCCGGAAACAGTGGCGTTCGGGAAGTTATCAGGGAGGATTGAGTCTAGACTGCTTCTTCGCATATAACCTCCCGCTGGCAATTTCCACCGGAGGGGTAAGCTCGAGGTACGAGGAAATTGCCGTGGATCATTTGGTCAATATCAATGTTCTTTAGTTTAGTTAATAATCATGCTTATCTAACGAAGTATAGAGGGTAACTAACAGAAAGGAACAATCACCCACACAGCCCTCACCCTCATCAGTCTGAAACACTGGCCCCGATCATTTCCCGAGACGAAGCACTCCATATGGGGAGTTCTTTTCCGTCCCCAAATCAAGGGGAAACTTTGTTCCCAAATATTGTCATTTGTCAAACGTCCCAAGAAATTCTAGCAAATTTGGTCCTCAGTTTCGTGAGTCCTCCGTACCACTAATGTTGTACGGGATCCGGAGAATACCAAGAAGGGCTGGGTTGGATACCGAGTACAAGCCGAAGTTGTCTGGAACCCTTTGCCGAGATCCACTCGGTGCTGTCGCTCTGATCATCACCCGGGTTCTGATTGTCAAGATCAGTGATGGGATGATCTACACCCGTCCAAGCTCATGTCCAGTTAGTAGTCGTCCTTAGGGCTTACTATATCCATTTTTACGCTGTACCATCTGCCATGATAATACAGTGAGAATAATTGTTTTTTGCATCTTCACCCATATCTTTTCCTCTGTGACTCAGTATTGTTACAGGGCCCAGGTTTCAGCCTCGGCTGAGGTTTGAGGGTTCCCTCCGACTCTCGGTTAGAACGGACTCCTAGGAGACACTCAATAGTTTGATGTTGGTGGGATCCGCCAGGAAAAGTTTGTCAAGGAACATACTCCGGAGAGATGCACCAGAACGGATAAGACTACGATATGAACGGTGAATGGACCCCTATTTTCATGATCAGTAGTAGTAGTAGTAGTAAATTAGGCAGAACATTCTCGGATGAGGCAATAGGGGGCCATAGCAGACTTTTTTCTTCTTTCCCTTTCCTTATTTAGGCGTAGTCGGATACTACCCGACGTCTTATGTTATCACTCTCTAGATAACTAAGTAAGTTGCCCACTTGCGCTAAGACGAGCGTCCCAGAGTTGCTGTGGTGGTTACGGTATATTACCATGACTGGAAGGCCAATCAGGTCCAGTTGGCCACTTGGTGTCCACCCCGGTACCTGACTAGTTATTCGAGATATTTGAACAACTTCACAGCTGCCACCTTTGACTGGGGACCGGGCCACCTATCTAGAGAAGTTTAATAGACGCCGGTGCTCTTTTTTTTGTCGGGATCCTGTGAGACAAGTAATTAAAAGCCATGGACGATGGATGGTCAGATCTGACTTGACTTCCCAACGGTGTGACGTGAAAAATCATCCAATTGGTTAGTGTGTATCGAAGATAAAAAAAAAAAAAAAAAAAAAAAAAAAAAAAAAAAAAAAAAAAAAAAAAAAAAAAAAAAAAAAAAAAAAAAACGAAAGAGAGAGAGAAAGAGTAAAAAGAAAAAAAAAAAGGTACAACCGTGCGACGGTAAATGGAACAGGCACGCGGCGAGATTAAACCATAGCAACAACCAATCACCGGATAGGAATGGGGATATGAAACTGGATCCTCATCTCGGGACAGCCCCACTTTAATCATACATCAAATTACAATTTTATGCGATTGATTTGATCGGTAACGTTGCAACCCTTCACCCCCCCCCGTGCGCATGAGACGATGTAGGGAAAATACTAGTAGTAAGAAAACTTGGCCAGGTTTTTTTTCCCCTGGCGTATTGCGGTTTTACATTAGTTCGGTATATTAACTAACTAATTATTATGGAGTATGGTTGAGTATCTGTGCGATGGTCCCAGTACTCCGTAAGTCCAGACTTTCTCCAACATAAGATGATTCCTTCCCCTCCCTCGCCGTCTTTTTAATTCCCTCTTCCTTTGTTCACTCGGTAGACTGCTCTGTACATTCTCTACATTCGCTCTCTGTGTTAAGAGACCATTCGTTTCACTACCCAGTCATTCTTTTACATTGCGAATAGATTTCGCATCCCACTCTCGTTACTTGACTAGCGCAGTCTCCCTCTGAAGAGAAGGAAACACACAAAAAATCTCAATATCAAAATCCATATCTATCGATATTAAAGACATTGACTGTCATCGTACAACTTCAACAAAATGCAATTGAACAACAAGATCTCCGTCGCTCTGTTGGCCGCTCTGGCTGCTGGTTCTGAGGCCAGCCATGCCCGCAACCACAAGCTCTTCCATGCCAGGAACGTCAACTCGACGGTGTCCACCTCATCGGTGTTTGTCTACCCGACCCCGTTGTTGACCCCCAGCTCTTCCGTGCCTGCCTCGTCTTCTCCTGCTGGTTCTTCCCCCGTTGCTTCTTCGGCTGCCGGATCTTCCTCCATCGCCGCCTCTTCAACCTCGGATGCCAGCTCGTCTGTCATTACCCAGGCTCCCCCTCTCAGCACCGGTGTCCCTGGATCCTCTGGCGCCGGCAATGACAACACTGGATCGGCCACTGATATCACCATCACTTATACCCTCGGTACTGGTACTACTAAGAGTGTTGTCACGACAACTATCCACAAGACCGCCACTAATACCGAGACCATCTACACTGTATGTTCGCCCTATGGAGTTGCTATCTGTCTTACCCAGGAATGTTTGGACTGACCTTCATCACAGAAGAGCCCTGCTGTTCCTTCTGCCGGTAGCGAGGAGCAGACCACTACTCTCCACTCCACGTCTACTTCTACCCTCACCGTTGTAGATGTTCCTACTTCTTCTGCTGCACCTGGCAACGCTGGCAACGACGGTAGCGAGGCTTGTACCGGACAGGCCACCGTCACCGTTACTGCCACTGTCACCGAGACCGTCACTGGGGTATGATTGATTTGTTTGCTACCCCCTAATTTTTCCAGCTGCTAACTAGATTTCTAGGCTCCTAGCGCTACTGCTAAGCCCGGTGATGACTACACCAAGCCCCATGACCAGGACCACCAGGAGAAGCCTGGAAACTCTGGAAAGCCTGGCAAGAACAGCGGTAACAACGACGAGGATGAGAATGACCAGGGCGAGAACAACAACAACAACAACGACGACAACGACGGTGCTGAGAGCACCAAGGCTCCTCTCCCTGTCCCTACCCACACTGGACGTCCTCCGTTCGGCAACGGCACCCTCCCTATTACTACCAGCGGCGTCGCCAAGCCCACTGGCTTCTTGACCAGCAGCAAGCACGCTTTCCCCACCAACTTCCGTCGCTCTCATTAAACCAATGGATCGCACGACGACCTCACTGGTCCCCAGAGCATGGATATGACCGTCTGTAACTAAAGATTTCATTTCGTGGCGAACCGCGCGCTGGCACTATACCTTATGAGGGAGATGCTGTTTTACTTCTGGTACAAACTTGATTTAGACATTCTTACATACCTTTCTTCACCTATCTGGCAGGGCAACCTGACCGGTGGTTCTTCGCTTCTTGCAAATGGGATCGAGCAGGTCCTACTTTAACCAACAAAGCTTTCTTCTTTTCTACCTTCTGTCTCTCCCCTCGTGGTGCACTTTCTTGAAATCTTTGTATATCGGAATGGCCCTCTACGGTCCACTGGGGTTACGGTCAAACAACACAAAGGGGACACCAGTGAGAAGGGGAAAGTCGTATGCCGGAGTTGGGTCTGTACAAAAGATTCTTTGGCCGACTACGGGAGTAAGACGTCTGAACCAACCTGCGACGCCAAAAAAGAAACATGATGAACTCTATGGATATGGATATGAGAGCGAATTATTCCGATATGTATCTCCTCTATGACAGAAATCCACAGGCTTGGGTTAAGTTTACATTTTCTGCACATGAGTAGTTGTAGAGAAGAGCCACGTAGATAAATTCGGTGTTCTCTGCCTAGCTTGCGGCAGTTATAGATTAGGCCTGCGCCAGCTATGGACCGAAGAGCAAACTAGACATACGCATATATTACACGTAATATCTCCACACTATATATACAGATAGTAATATACATCATAGAAATACAAACAAAGGTCCACCATCAAGCCATTTGCACCACTCATTCACTCAATTAGTTTTCCAAAGCCCCAACCCCCTCCCGCAAGAGACGATCCCGCATGATATGCCAATCCAACCACGTCACGCCCTGCAACAGACAATCCGCCAAATCATCCAATTTCCCAATATCAGCCACACCCACCGCTCCCCGTCTCCTCTTCTTCCCCTTCCACTTCGCCAAATACGCCTCAACCCACCCCTGTAACTCCTCATCCCCCGAAACAGCCACCTTCAAGCCCCGCTCCCCATCCGCAAGCGCATCATCCAACCACCCCCCAACCAAATCCATCTTCACCTTCTTCCCCTCCCTCGTATTACTACTACTACTACTACTACTACTACTCCTCCTCCTCCTCCCTTCCTCCTCCTCCTCCTCCTTCTTCTTCTTCTCCACTTCCTCCCCGCCAAGCCGATCCCCCCAATACCGGACCACGCGTTGCGGCTCCACGCCGAGCACCACCGGCGCAGAACCACAGGAAGACGTTCCCCCCCGCTTCCCCCTTGCCCTCTCCCGCCGCAACGCATACAAAACAGCATACAACATACCCTCAAAGACACCGACCCGCAGCGTCCACTCCTGAACCGCACTGCCGCCTCCTGAGCGGAATCTCTGTCTCTCAATGAGGACATGCGTAGGTTGGTATTTCTCCAGGAGTGTAGTAATTAGTATATACGCCTGTTTGGCGTATGGCGAGGGATGGAACATCTCTTTTCCATCTTTGTCCTTTTGGCATGCAAATTCGCTTAGTTCATCGATATCAGATGAATCTGTGCCTTTTATTGACCCCAACTCTGGTAGAGAGGGTGACGGTGAAGAAGGTTCAGGACCAGATGGTAGTAGTAGATCCGAGACAGCTAATCTGCGCCAGGCGTTTAGGGTTGGTGTTGTCATACTCGCCGTCCCTCTAGTGGTAGATTGGGGACTAGGGACGAGAAGATGAGCGAAGGCGAGGTTGCGGATGCCCATGTCAATACTGAGGATACTTAGATTTTGGTTCTTTGGGTTGGTCTTGGTCTTGTTCTTGGAGACTAAAGATGGAGATGGATACTCGCATTGGGCGAGTTCGGTCTCCAGTCGGTTTATTAGGGCTGCCTTGGGACCGGCGGAGCGGATGCCCGTTGCTTGGGCGATCTTTTGGAGTTGGGATGCTTTTAGAGATGAGAGCCATGTTGATGGTGGGTTGAGAAGTGTAGGGGAGTAGCGCATGATATAGTTTGGGGATATTTTGGTAGATGTTTTAGGGGTGTTGGTCTAATCGGATCGTTATGTTGATTTTAACTTGGCATGGGTGATAGATCGACAGGATATGCGATGGATATACAATTGACTTTTAACTTATCTGATCTAACTTACAGAGGATCTCGGGCTTACATAAGACATAGCTGGGCAACCCCACTCATTTTCAAATGCACTTGAGATCCCAAGAAGGCTGGAAATTATCTCATCACACGGCCATACAATCATTCAATAGCAGCAGAAACTCACGCAATTTACTCTTCCCTTATAACCGCTCAAACACTGGATTCGCCATCGCTCTACACAATATTACCTTGAGCATCTGTGTAATACGTGCCTTTTCTGGGACAGCCTAATGCTTTAACAATACCCTCCTCATGCGCATTAATATGTCTCCTTGGCCGCGTAGCTATCATCTCCACTGGCACACCTGTAACCCAGTCCACGAATGTGTTAGCTTTTCGAATGGGGACACTTCCACATATGGACGGATAGACTGTCCTCTGTCCCATCGAAACATGGAAAGCGAGCCTGACACTAGGGTCATTGTCCTGAGCTTCTTTAGCCCAGCAACATGGATGTCGTTTGTCTGGGCAAATCTCTGCCTTGATTTGAATCTCCTCTGGAAACTCGGCTCTACTCTGGCCGGGAAAGGAGAGTAGGATTGCTGCTATGTCAGGAGCAACGTGTATAACCAAGTTACCAGACTTTATGGATGGTTTCCAATAACCTCGATAGGACACACCGTCTAGTATTGCGGTATCTCTTTCCCTTTTTGTTCTCTTCCGCAGAAGATGATTCAGGGGTAGACATAGCGAATTAGCCATGGTTGAGGATGTAGCTAGGCAGCGATCTTCCAGGTCTCTGTGGTCGGAGATTGGAACTAGATCTTTGAGACAGCTGGAATTTGGAATGTCGTTCATTTCAGAGTTTAGTATTTCCACTTCTTCTAGTGAACTACAACCAGCAAGCATATGTTGTTTTCTTACTTCGACCAGTTGGAACATTTCCTGCTCCTTTATTTCATCTGAACTACCAAGAGATTCTTCAATTAGATCGTCCAGCTCGTTTATTTCAAGCGCATCATCCACTGGAGTTGGAATATCGTCGAGAGCATCTTCGGCAAAATCGTTCCCCTGGTTCAGTTCTCTCCAGAGGTCCCTTATGCTCCTGAGAGCATCTTTGTGAAGAATTCCTTTAGCATGTTTACTCTTTTGACCTGGCATGCGCTCCACCAGAGTCCTCTTAAATCACCGTGGGGTTGCTCTCAATATGTGAAGCAATAGCATCAATCCCCGGACTAATGTGCCCCCTATACTTTGCAGCCGGCATATGTCTTCCCTGTTCTGGAAGCCTTTGCGGAAAAGCCAGGCTTCAACAATAGGATCAAGGTTCGAGGGCGTTATAAGCTCAACTCCCTCCATTTCTTCTTGATAGAGACACAAGATCTTATACACGGCTGAAGCTGAGTTGCCAAAATACGGCTTGATTCCCTTGGTGTTAGTTAATACTGCTGCTATTTTAAACAGCTCACTTATACTTTGAGCCAAGGGTCCAGGCGATGCCCAGAGGCATGCCAAAGAGGCGGGAGATTCAAGGTAAACACGATGTAACTCAGTCTCATCCATCTCAACATATCCGATGAGACTCCCACAATAGAGATCAATCGTGAATTGGTTCACAAGGCAATCTGGCGGCAGCACGTCTTTTGCAACACTTTTATCTCCAAGAAGAATTACTTTGAGATTGCTCTCCATGACGAGCCTTCTATGGAAATTAAAAATGACATCCCTTAGCTGTTTATCGTCTGTGTAGGATCGCGGACTCTCTCCAACTTCGAGGGGGCGTGGGTCTGAAAACCATATCAGGGAATTTGTCCCATCAAAACCGCTCTCCCGGAGACCCCATGGTATTCCTGACTCGCCCCGCTGTACGAGAGTCAACCGATAGTTTGGAGTGATACCTAAGCGAGATTGCGGGTTGCCAATTGGTGGAGATAGATTGGTATGCGTCCTTGTGAGTTGATTTACCGAGTGAGTAAACGCCTGTAGCCAACCGTTTAGATTAAGCGCCTGCTGAGTTGATAAATCCTTGTTTCTAAGACATTTGTTTCATTGCCTGAGGAATACGCATCAAGGCATCCTGAAATATGTCCAGGTAGTCTTTCCACTTCGTAACAAAATTACCCTGTTTCCATTGTCGAATACTCTGATCGTACGCCCGAGTTTCTGTTCAAAAATATGGCCAAGCTTGGATCTGGGGATCGGGTGAAGAAGTAAGTCTAGTAACAGATGAATGGATCTCAGTCGCTGGCTCAACTTGGGCCATTGTTACAGGCGTACACGAAACCCAGGTAATGTCAAATATTACTTCTGGGTCAGCCGCCGATATATTGAACTTGTCTGTCAGAATGTATGGAATGGAGCCTGTATGTATAGACCTGTTTAATGGGAACTGAGAAATATGGGGAATAGACAGATGACATGCTGAAACAAAATGGAGACATGTGTTGATATACCCTTTCGCTTATCAGGGGAAATGGCTATATCAGTGAATGAATCACAAAGTATAACTTCTGTTCTTCACAGGGCCATCTAATGACTAGATTGGATCTTGCACAAGATGCTACTCTTCAGCTATATTATATATTATCCTATTCGTAGAGAGCACATTGGCCCTAGATTAACAGGGGAAGTAGATTTCTGGGCAGCTATGCTTGTAGCCCGCCCGTTCCTGACCGAAGAATATTGCCTATTGTAATGAGTGTCACCGTGTCCTTGATTGAAGGCAGCGAGGCAATTATAGTAACTTGCAATGATGTGGATGAAGTTGTATGCTTCATTAGAAGCCATGGTACAGAGTATGCTTGCCCTTTGTAACTTTGAATCCCTTCCGTGAAGAAGGAAGGCACAAGGATAAAGGGGTAAAAAAAGTATTTGAGAAGAAATGAGGGCCCGAACCGCGATTCGAACGCGGGACCTCTCGCAGATTGTGCTGTATAAGCCAGCCCGAAGCGAGAATCATACCACTAGACCATCCGGGCAGATGATGTAATGTTTTCGGTGTTTTATGGTTCATGTTTATAGAATGTTTCATTTCACAGTGATGGAAGTTTTTTTATTCTCTCTGTTACATCAACTCACTCGCAATACTGGAAACCCAGATTAGCTGAAAATCCTGATATCTGATATATCCCATTAGTTGATTGATAGCCACCATGGTGGCCAAGTTGATTTGCTATACAAATTGGTATGGAATCCTAGATCTTGAGGGATTGCATCGATGATCAAAGGCGTATACAAATTTGCAAAGAACCGAAGGCTGTGAAAACTTTAATCCGGTGTTGTCCGTCGTATCGGATTACTAGTATACTACTAATGTAGACAGTACACGTGACATTAGGGATCCACTTTCGTACTTGGAAGGCGAGAAAGCCCTATCCATCCTAAAACAGTAACCACCATTGACTGATCGTCCATCGCCAAGCAATGTTTTTAAAGGCTCAAATACAATGTAGGTACAACCTAAGCCCAGTTTATGATGTGTATGTACATGGAGCGCCATCATTCAGTGTTGCTTTTCGAGCATGAAAAGATGCTCGAAGTACAAAAAGAAAGTTTTGTAGGATGAAGGCCCGAACCGCGATTCGAACGCGGGACCTCTCGCAGATAGAACTGTTAAGCCAGCCCGAAGCGAGAATCATACCACTAGACCATCCGGGCATTTCATGACATTTTCCTGAGCAAATTGCATATAGATCCATATCATAGCATCGCGTAGCAGATGAAAGGGTGAATATAATTACAGACAGGAACATTTCTTCAGGTAATGCAGCAGTTAATACAACTAGGTTTACAATTCAGAGTATATTGCTTACTTTATCTTGACTTGACTCATTCAATACAGGTACTTCTTGATGGCAATAACCACCTATTTTCTATAGGGTATCAGAAAGAACCCACTAGTATTTTAGGACTACACTACAAGTCGACCTAAGTGACTAGTCTTTCGTTGGCTGCATATCAATTAATTAAACCTGCACCACTAGTCATATTTGAGCTATTAGGATTATATATAATTATTGTACACACTTTATCCTCTGAATCAATGCGCAGGTAAACAAGGCCTCTCACTTCTATTCAAACATGTCCCAAAGTGCGAGATGCCAAAAAGACGAACACCGCCAGATGCCAATCGGCCTTTTAATGTATGGAAATTTTCCCCAGTTGACGCCAGAACCAATAACTACCAATGCAAAAACGCTGAATTGCATGTCACGAAGAGCGAAAATAAAATAGGAAAGCAAGGAAACAAACCCTCGGATGAAGTAGAGAAGCCTTCATGACGCTATGTGGGCACATCCGCGCAGAGCATCATGCCATGTCATGATTGCTCATCGCCACGTCGGTGGGCGACACACTTTCGCGTACGTAGAGAATAGGTGCCCAGACTCGCCAGTGGAGGACACCCATATGCGCGAGTCTCATGGCAACCCGTTCAATACCATAGTGTTGCTGTGATACTGGCGAGTGGGGATGGCTTCGTTGAGACTCGCAGATAGCCAGAGGTGACATGGTTAGGTACTGTTGTGCAAAGCTCATGGTGGCCGCCATTAAGTTTTCGCGCCACAAATTCTGGAAATGTTGGAAGAGTTCTGACTCGCCTAGCAGATGGGTTTCCAGCTGATTTTCAATACGGGTCATGACGCTATCTGGGACCATGGTTATATCGCAATTATATGCCTTACACGCAGAATGCGCGATTTCCAATGCAATGCACCGTATATTTTTCATCCATTGAGGCGACCGTCGCCTGCAGTCCTCACTCTCATCGATCAAGGGCTCGATGCGAGACCGGAAGGTAGCGTATGCTTGTGCCTGAGCTGGATGATATCGTTTGAGCGGATTAACGCAGCGTTGAAAGACTTCCCAGCAGATGTCAAGGGTGATAAGGCTCTGCAGACATGCCCGCAACTGCCACAGGCGGTCAGAGTCGAAGATAAAAGTTTCTGGGAAACTTTCCGGAGTATGGAACTGTAGCAGGAGGTCTGATAAACCGCCAAACAAAATCGCAAGGGGTCGGAGGCTGTTCGGCTTTTCCATCCTGCTCAAATCTCGTTCACGTAGTTCTTGGTACCATAGTCGTGACGATTCCACGCGGAAATTATCTCTTTCGACTTTGCTGCGAAAATACTCTTGAAGAAATGGTATAGTGTCTTCTATAAGTAGAACACGGAATGCGCGGATTTGATGGTTTGCAACGTCCTGTCTCAAAGCATTAGTGATTGGTTTCTTCCTGCCCTAATTGTACCCGCCGAGAGTCCGATGCCTTACCAATTTCATAGCCTCTAATATCGCAAACAGCGTTTGGAGACCACGAACAATCTCCAAGGAATTCTGCGATCGTGACCCTGAACTGATCTGTTCAACCATACGGTCTGCCCATTCATCGCGCATTGGGGCGCAGTGTGTTTTGAGCAATGCTGCAAGCCAATTTGCCACGTCTACCATATCAAGGACACCCTTCCGAATTTGTTGCATCAGCAAAGGTACCTCGAGATTTTGCATCACACTAGGGTGATCCCGTTCCGGGACGAGGGTTTTCAGAACATCCTGCAAGGTGTCAAACATAGACGGTAGTCGAGGCTCAAAGGTTTGCTGCTGGTCTGCCCACATATTGTCGCATGGGATGAGCGGTTGACGAGCGGCACAGAATGCGTAGATAGTAATCTCGGTAGCCATGGCTTCCCAGTAGTCAGCAGCTTCCTGCCTTTTTCGCCGACCTTTCTCACCGTCTAAATCCGGTTTGAAATGGAGATCGCGGTCGAAGTTCGCATCCATGCGAAGGTTGATATTGCTCATGATACAGGGCAAATCGAGCTCGCTCAGGGTGCTTTTGGTGACTGGAGGGTATCTCTTGGCCGTGAGCAACAAGTTATATTCCTCCACATTGAGGCCCAGCTCCTGAGGAATGCACATGGCTTGTGAGGAAGGCGAGGGGGTGTTACTGCAGGCGGGCTGTTGAACCTCCGGCGAAGCCTGGTGAATATCATGGTCGCAGGCAAAAGGACCCTGACGTTGCTGGTTTACCTGCGCCGGGTCTTTGTTTTTATTCGTATCCCGATGATCTAGAGAGTCGTTCTTGGGGGAATCTTTGGAGTGGCCGTTGCCTCCGTATGGTTCCAAAGGACCCTCCGTGCTGTCCTCCTGCTTCCCGGGAGCGTCCCGCCGTGCCTCTTTGGTTCTTTGAAGGTCCATTTCCCATCCAGTCCCGTTGATAGCCGGGGGTAGTCGCAAGTCTGGGTGGTTGAGGAAGCTCGTGGAACCCGGGGAGAACAAGTCCTTAATCAGTAATGTATGAAAGAAGTGTGGAGTGTTAGATCGTGGGGGTCACGGGCATTTCTCTATTGATGGACGCAAGGCACCGCAACCCTCCACACTGTCGGCGGGGCGATTAGATGAAAGAGATCCCCTTCTCCAACCCTTTCAGTTAGTCCTTGCCTGAGGCCGAAGGGGGCATTACGGTGAGGAGGGAGGAAATAGTGCTCACCTGATGCGGGTTACCCGATGTCGATCAACCCCCGTTGATACCAAGCAACACCCCCCAAAAAAAGAATGATCTTCAATCCTCTTCAGATGATCTGTCTTTGGTATCGCACGAAGCTGCAATGGTTGCTACTTTCTTCCTTGTTCTCTTTCTTCCCCTTTGTTTTCCCTTGCTCTTTTAGGGCCCTTTTCGGTTTCTCCCGCACTGAAAGAAGTATAAAGGGCACGAGCACGTCAACGGCGACCAGGCTCAAGTAAACTTGTCCACGAAGTACTCAAACCAGGAAAAAGCAAAGTTGAAGAATAGCCAATGGCTTTCTATGCGACCACTACCAAAAACTAGACAGGTTGAACGAACAAAACAAACGGTAGTGGGTTACAGTAATGCCGAAAGGGAGTACAGGTCAAGCCACTTCGGTAGCAAAATGGACGGGGATGGAAGAGTGTTGATATAAGCCAATGGTATGGGATGGAACTTAAACATAAGATCTGAATACAGTCATGGGACGGGAACAGAGGGAGAGAGGGGAGAGAGAGAGAGTAAAAAAAGAAAAAAGAAAAAAAAGGAAAGAGTCGAGAATGATGAATTCCTCCACCCGACCCTAGAAGCATAGAATTCAAAGAGAGAGAGAGAGAGAGAGTAGTGAGTGCATGAGTGAGAGACTGTCGGAAAGAGAAAGAGACGATGTAGACCAACCAAGGGTACAGAAAAGGCACTAATGTAATTGACGCTGGGTTCGGTTTAGTATTGAAATTGAAAGAAAAGGCTGAATGGGAACAGTATGGGATGAAACTATAATACTAGTAAAAGAAAATATTCTTAGCCCCAAAGAGCGCCACTGTAGATAACTTTTTTTTCTTTCGGCTTTTTCCCAGGGCCACGAGAGGGAGGAGGAAGGCAAAGTGAGGCTGATCCATAAAATTTTGGATATGGACGATTGCAGCCGTGACTTTGGAGCAAAGAAAAAGCAAGTGACATACGGAAACGTCCACTGCCGTCGAACTAGTCGCATCGATGATTGATGACGTGGGATGCCGAGCAGTCGGCAATGATTTCAGGTATTATTGTTTCGTTTTCTACTGTTTAACTTTACTTCTGGATCTGCTGCTGGGGTTTAGTAAACGTTAGTTAAGTTGGGGTGGAGACTTAAAATGGAGGCCATCCTCAAAGGGGGGAAAAGATGGATTCCTAACGGTCGCGAAAGGAGCTGCCTCTCTACCCACGGGCGGCGATCCCCTGTCCTTCACAACCTTGAAGGGGGATTTTTTGCCGGTCTCAGCAACATTCCTGATGACAGTCCGCAGGGATTTGAGAAAGCAAAAAAAGAAAAAAAAAAGAAAAATAATCAAATAGAATTCAAAACGGGCACATGGGGTCATGTCCATACAACCTGTACGATCTCAAGGATTCGGCGTGCACCCAAACACAATGCTAATACCCGGCAATGCGAGAGAAAGCGAGTCCGCCGTAGATGCATGATACTACCCGTTTGAGAAATCAAGGATTTTATTAAATACTGTGAATTGCCACCGGCGCCACCAGTTCTTTGTTGCATTATTGCATTGGCCGTGGACAAAGAGAGCCACGGAGGCGATATCAGTAAAATCAAAAGTTATGGAAGGCATTGCAGAAGATTGATACGGTCTTCGTTGCCGTAGTGAGCGTTCGGTGTATTGCAACTTGTATGCGGCCTTCCACAGGTTGTGTTCGAGCCTTTTACCCCTTTAGAACGAGCTTAACGTAGGGGGGGGGGGAAGAAGGTAGTAGAGAGACATTCCAGTCTTAAGCATATCAACTTCTGAGCCCTTAATACCCTCCTCCTCCTCCCTTCCCTGTTTCGCTATTTTGGCTTTTCCCTACTCATGTCTGTTTGGAGCCCTTTGAATCCGTCTCCAGCTGCGTATGCTAGGTATGATTCAGTGCGTCGGTGTCACGCGTGGCCATACCAGAATATGGGGACGGTGTTGGTCTTGTTGTGTACTGTCCAGAGTACTTGGCATATTCCCTTGATGCTAAATGGGGGTTGTCGACGCTTTACTTCACGCAAACGGGTGGCCACGAGCATCACCTCAGGGGAAACTTAATTTTCTTTTCTTTTCAACTTGGTGAACTTGGAACTGTTGGTACTATGCCCACCATCGTGGTCACCATCGAAGTAATTCACACGATCGTATGGTGCATGGGAGACAATTCACCCACCGACAAATTATTTATTTTTTTTTTAGTTTCCCTTTTTCGACATTTTGCAATCGTCTCCGGGGCCCGTCGGCGGGATCGCTTGTGGCGAATGGCGGCAGGGAATAGGAGAGAGTCCCATCTGAGAAACCTTGTCTCGGGGGGTGGGACGATGGGGATATTCCCTGATCCACTCCCCCAGCAGCTTGATAGATAAATCTCCCAGGATTCCAGTCGAGAGTGGATCACGCGCGATGGAATTGGCTAGTCAGCTTCTGCCGCGCTGATAATAACAGCGACATTGTGCTTTGTAGTCGACCTAGGTTGAACCCCTGCAAGTTCCAAGGGGAAAAGTACAGGATGCGGAATAAGCTCTTCATACCTCGAGCGATATAGTACCCGGTATAAGGATGTGGATCGGCACGAGAACTTCTCAAATAAACTCTACCTGGTGGTCATGATGTTTTTAAAAGCTTCTTTGGATTTCAGCAGATATTAAATTTTGTTGAAACCTGCGGAAATGGTGAAAGAGGATCCCCGTATTGCGTACAAAGAGGGATCCTCAGGTGGCCGGAACCCTGACGAGACCGCAACTAATCGAAGGGGCGTACGAAGGAATGGGAGTCGCTTGCGCTTGGCGCCTCACTTTTGCAAATGCACTGATCACAAAAGATTGCTCAGCGCGCGTGGTCGCCTCATTCCGGAGGCCACCGGAGCCACAAAACCCCCCCCGGTTTGCATCAAAATTTCTATAAAAGAGCGGTGTTATTTGATCCCACTCGATGCTCCAACACACAACGCTAAAATGTCTTTTGCTTGACTTGCCCACTGAGTCACTGACTGCACTTTACACCTGTCAAGGCGGGGCCTCCATGGAGAGCATCTATTACATGGTAATGTATAACGGTAGCATTACTCCGTGTTCTGTGCACCGCTTTGAATTTCCTATTATGGGGGTCCCAGATCTCACGTGAGCACTCAGGGAGTTGTGTTCCCTGAGTGATGCGGACGAGACGCACTAAATGCTCACTGACCACTCCGGGAGCACTCCGAGAGCATGGAACACAACGTAGGCTCCGACTAGTCAACGCTCGCATTCTATAAGCAATTTCAATCTCGCTTTTACAAAGGTAGCCTTGGCTGATGGCCTGATACCCCCTCCTGTATAATAGAACATTGCATGATGGACAATCAAAAGAAGTTTGATATGTAGTAAGTATGGCACTATTATGGGCTTCTTTTGCCTGAGAAGCAAGGCAAGAACTATATACCAAATGGCAGTTCTTATGGGGTGGCCGCAGTTGGATAGCTTTTTTAAATCCTAAGGATTTCTATAATCGCTTTTATAAAGCTGTTTCCTGTACCTGTCGGTTGAGCATCCTTCATATAACTCCTCTCGAAACTCGGCATGAAACCTTTTCTTTATCTTGGTGCATAATATGTACTATTGAAATAGAAGTAACTTGTTTATTGCCCTGCTATGTAATATGAAACCCATCCGTGATACCAGAGGTGATCCATGGTAGAATAGCATTTAAAGCATCCCCTGACTGGGACTCTTTCTGATTGCTTTAGTTATGAAGGGTGGCTTTGAGAAATGTTTGAGGTACCCTTGGCTGTGTAGTTCCACGCACCAATTCCCAGCTACCAAGGACGACGAAATAGTGGGAGAGTGATAAAGTCGTTGCCCATGTACTCTATATATCTACTAAGCATGAAAGGTAGTCCTTGCTGAACTAGTTGTAGGATCACTGAACTCGTCATAGATCCTCCTGCGTTGTATTCTCAACAAGGGACTTATGATGACTTGCCCATATTCAAAGTAGGATATACCATACCATTGATTGGCTTATTCGGCACCTTAGGTGTAAGAAGCCAAAGCTTCGAATCGTGACCTCATCTATAGAGACAGCAATTGTCCTCTATCCTAAGCTCGGGCGTAATCCACCAACTGTAATAGAGGGCAAGAGTCTTATGATGTTTTCTGACGCAGTACACAGTCCTCTACCGCTTGTCTTAGTCCTTCTTCGAGCCCAACAAACGGCTTATGCCCGAGTCTTTTCTTCACCTTGGCGATAGAAAAAATATTTGGTCATACAACTAAGCCGAACCTTAGTCCTCGTCAAAGGTGGTTCACCCAACCTGAGTGCCCAAAACACCCATTTAAATATCCCTGCCAAGAGTGACGCCCACGGGCGAGTAATCACCCATAGTTGATCTGGTCGCGTTGTATCCCCAGCATATCGCCAAACTAGCCGCGTAAAATCCCAGAAGCAGCGAGGCTCATGGTTTGTGATGAAGAACGCCTTTGCGTCGGCCTTTGTACTATCTAAAGGCAACTCCTTCTGGTGCTTTACCAGTGCTTTCGGCAGCAAAATAATGCCCATGCGCCACGTTTTTACTCTTTGTAAAACCGAACAGACCCCTATTATCCCCCAACCTGCACATTCGTCCGACCACGATAATATGGAGCCAGTAACCCAGGGAGCACAACCAAATGGAGTGGAGGTGCTAGCAGCCGCGCTGGGAGAAGAACTGAAGGATTTGACTGGCGAGACCGCCGCTGCCGCCGGTTACAAGAACCGTGCTTTGGTTTAAGGAAGCAGATTTCTGGGGTGGGGGCAGTAATAGACGCTCTAGGAAAGCAGTGTTTTTACTATTATTATATTAAAAATCTAAGATATAGAAAGCGGTAGGAGAGTTGAACAGAGGAAGCCACGCACATTGCAATCAATCCGCGAGAAAAAGCAGTTAGCAGGCGGCTCATCACCGTGGCTAACGATCCAGGGATCAACATCAGGCGGAACGGAAAAGCAAACGGTTTTGTTGCTAGACAGGGATAACTGTGGCTAGGTGGATATTGTTCGGGTCCCAGTTGAGCGTGCCTCGAAAATAAAGTACGTATTCAAGTGTTTCAAATGTATTGATTTGCACATCCAATGACCTGACTCTTAGGGATACTGGTCAACTTCACGAGTCATAACAAGGGGATTATGCAGTAAAATCTCGGAATAGGAGATTAATCTGCATCGACTGCTGAGAATGATGGGTCTGCCTCTTTGGTTGTTATATCTCGAGTAATATAATTAAAAGAGTTGTCAGCATGCCTGTTTCTCCTAGCCAGTCTTCCGTCCGCTTGGTAGCTATTTGTACGGAATTTTTACGCGTGATGGCACTTAAAATGGGACCAAAACCTAGCAGGTATTGTGTTTCTTTGACAATCTATATCTTTGACATATCATCTCGCCCTGATTACCTGTCACAGAGCAGGTTCTGAACAGGGTAGCTTTGGGAAGCAAAGAGCCTCGTGCTTAGATTTCAATAGAGAGACAAGGCTCTATGAGCGACACATTGAGTGAGGCCCGCTCCGGCCCTAGTTAGTGCACATACTTTAGTACAGAGTATCACTGAGGTGCTACTGCTTTTATAAGGGAGAAACACGCCTAACAGATATAAGATTAGAGGTTCATCCACCGGCTTGAAACAGTAGTTCACAAAGAACAAAGTTACTTTGGATGTATAACGAACCAGATATATAATCTTAGTATGGATCATCGTTATCTTTGTGTATACACTGATGCCTCAGTTATGAGCATTGCCGTTTTGAGTAGTATATAGTTGAGCGAACAACTTTCGGGTAAAGTCATCTCGAAGTCCTACCTATAGTTACGCAAGTAGCTGTTATAACCCTAACTATAATAATAATAATAATAATAAAAGTTTACCCATCTAAGCTTCACCAATCCCAGCTACTCAAAAGAACTACACAAAAAACCACCAATAAAACCGCTATCATCATATCTCTACTATACCACAACTGCCCAACATAAAACAGCTACTCGATGAACCTCATTCTTAGACTATACCTACCAAGTCTCAAATCCTCTAAGTCCCAATTCAAGTAAACAAAACACTACCCATCAAGAGAACTAACCTCCGCCCCCGCCCCAAAACGAACAACCCTCATCCTCCTCCAGTCCAAAAATCGCTCTTCATCCGCCCGTAACCGCTCCCCCTGCGCCGCCAACGTCTCATGAAACGCCTCGTAATGTGCCTCATCACGAAAGACGACCTCCGCACAGCAATCCCACGAGAATTCCCCGGCTACAGTGCTGGGGATGATGACTCCCTCGCCGGGGGGATGGGGGTCAGTAGCGGTGGTCTCGCCTGTGGATTTGCCTGTGGCGTCCTGGAGTGGCTCCTCGACCCGGGATAAATAGTATCGTTTGTGGACGGTAGGGAAGCGGTTGGGGCCGAGAATATCTTTGAGGAGGGGCATGTGGTCGTTTTCGTAGTGGGATTTGAAGGACGGTTGGAGTGATGCCCGGTTTGCGGGGGAGGAAGGCGAGGAGGGTGTATGACATTTTTTTTTCTTCTCCTTTGCTTTCTCTGTTGTTTGTGAAGGTGATGCTGAGATGGGTTGTGTTGTCGATGAAGGATGATCTCGCTTGAATATTCCGAGACAGGTGGGAAGGTAGAGATAGTGCAGTAGATGGTAAAAAGAATTAAAAATTGCCGATAGTAAACAGAGTCCATGAAGGATAGAGCCCCTATATAGGATCTAATCCAAGCTATCACTTCTAAGCACTAGTTGAGGGATATTTGTTGAGCCATACTTGTTGAAAAACTAAATCCTGCTGGCCGTTGAACCAAGAATCATCCAATAGCCTTCTTTTCCTTTATCAGGCTGTTTGTCCTCTTCTGTGAGAAGCTTAGACTAATCTTCTTCATGTAGCCGCCATCTGCTATGGCCCTTAGCAAGTGTGAAGACATAGCGTTTGCTGATGTGCTCGTCAGTGGGCACAACATCATTGCTCCATCTAACATCTTGAAAATAGTATGCGCTAGCGAACCCCATCCCCTGCAAGCGCTTCTCATCCTTGTTATATCCATTGCTTAGCGCTGACTACACCGTGACGTTCATTGTATTGAACAGGTTTTATTAGTAGCCCTCTACACAGTTCCCCTGAGTAGATATACTTCGTTGATCCAGAGCTTGGATGAGGAATCCCGTATATGGTAGTTGGAATTCAAGATTAGGAGGACTTCAAGGACAAATTCACTTAGGGGCCAGATGTTTTTAGCGGGCTGGATCAGCTAGCTAGGACTCGCTCAGGACACGCACCTATGTGCTCACCCCACGCCCCGGGCCGTTCAGTGAGCAAGAAGCGGAAAGGGAAAGTCACTCGATTTCTGCAGGAGCTGATAACATTATAAATCATCTAAAGTGGATCACAATTGCCTCAGCTGAACTTGAGCAGACAAGAGATAAATAGTGCTTTTGGGCACCTCGATAAAGAGGCACTGTTTCTGATTTAGGAATCCAAACCACGTGATACAACTGATCGACCCTAACCCTGAGCCCTATGCTATGTAGTCTTATTGTAAGCCATTCTTCCAATGCCTTAATCTACGGAGAGTGATATCTTCTGGATTTAATTTCTCAAGAATGACATATAGCTTATATGCCGTATAATATTAACACAATGTGCGATCCTCCACTTGAATAAGAGAAAGCAAGCCGAAGACCATAACTACTACATAAAAGGCAAGACACGGGTATCACTTTTTCAACCAGCCAGTTGGGGACTACTATTACTCTTGATGTAGAGAATACCCAAATTGTTGTTCAAGATATTAAGTGAATTGACAGCGAACTACTACTAGCTACCGTTAGGCGCGCGGGCGAGATGGAGACGGCCGTGCTCAATAAGCCTATTGAGAGCAATATCCGGAAGCTTCACTACCACCACCAGGTGCCGCGGATGTTATGTATACCACATGGCCAGCAACTCTTACCTTCCTTTGCTTCTACTCGTATACTATTATTTAATGACATTTTGGCTAAGTTTACAGAAAGAAATTGGAGAATTTTGTATGGTTGGTTATCTCTCTCAGAGGCACACTAGTCTCGGTGATTCAGAAGCGCAAGCGCAATGAATATTGCAGCCATATATTCCTTTATACATTCTCTATGGGCAGTCCCTACCTTCCTCTTCCCACATGCAGTTCGAGTGCCTACCAATATATCTCAATATGAGGTTCATTCGTTACCTAATACTTCCTTGCCGCTTAGCTGGGCTGGCCGGCTCCCTGTTCCTGAAACGCCTCCAGGTAATTCGTTGTTCTTTTGGCTCTTCGAGGCTGAAGATCCTACATACGATGAAAACCTCATAAGTCAGTTTCATCACCGCGAAACTTTGGTTATGGGAGCATAGTTAATTTGCAATAGTCTGGTTCAACGGTGGTCCTGGTTGCTCGTCCCTTATAGGGCTAACTACAGGAAATGGACCTGTCTTGTTTGATGGCAATTCCACTCATCTTATCCAGAACCCACACTCGTGGACCAAGCTAGGCCACGTCCTCTATGTCGACCAACCGGTAGGAACGGGATATTCGACTGCGAGTAACCCTTATCCTGTCCCCGACAACGACCGCGTAACATCTGACTTCTACAAATGGCTCCGGAATCTCTTCACCGTGTTCCCTCACCTCCGCTCGAAACATGTACATATGATCGGAGAGTCATGGGCGGGAATCTACATCCCCTATTTTGCCTCCGCTATTGTCCAAGGGCAGGACTCGTTCCCCATCAACCTCCGGTCCATCTCCATCGGCGACGGTACCATCGGGAACGCTGCCGCTATGTCCACCATCACAATTGGGTCGTTCATGCGTTCTCAGAAAGACATCCTCCAAGTCCCCGATGATATCCTATCTGTCTTCACAGAAGCGGAAAAGACCTGTGGATTTGACCAAATCCTCGAAGCAGCAGACCAATACCCTCCCAAGGGCAAGATCCGCATCCCCGGAAACCCAGAAAACCGCAGCTACAAACGCCACCAGCACCTCGACGTTCGCAGCTTAGTAGATGAAACATGTAACATCGAGCCCACCACGCCAGACATGGTCCAGACATCCATCTTGAATTCCACCTGTTACGGACCCTGTGCAACCTTCGCTACGGCATTCGATTACCTGGGCGCCATGTCTGCCTCGGGCGCAGGCAAACAGTGTCACGATATCTACGACACCCACAATGACTGTGACACCATCGACCCCCTCGACCTACTCGCCTCGTACTTCAGCCGTACGGACGTCCAAGTCGCACTGAACTTGCTTCCCGCCGCCGCAGAGAAGGACAATGATGGAGCCAAAATGAACTTCGCCCCCTGCAACAGCACAATCCTGACTACCCTTTTATCAAGCTCATCCCCTGTGGCCCCGGCATACTCGATCCTTCCTGATCTCGTCACTACCCATAACATCCGCCTCCATATCTACTCCGGCGAGAACGACTTTCTACTCAACCATTTCGGGACCGAACTGAGTCTCCAGAACATGACATGGAATGGAGCGCAAGGGTTCTCCCAAAAGCCGAACCGACCCTTTTTCAGCGATAATGCTGCAGCCACACATTCCTGCAACAAGGGAAATAGAACCGAGACGTGTGGCGTTGAAGCGGGCGTCTGGGGGTCAGAACGCGGGGTGACTTATCATCTCTTTTGGGGGGCAGGGCACAGCGTGTTTGGGAAAAAGCCACGCGAGATGTTTGCTTATGTGCGTGATGTTGTTATTGCAGGTTGAATGTTTCCCTCTTGTTTTGTTCCTTTTCTTGGTCAACATAGGTTCTTCAAGCCTTCTGTTGTATTCCGTGTGTATGTGAGAGAGGGGGTTTGTTTTTGAAATAAGAACTGCCGAAATGGACACTATGGGGACTGACTGGGGTGGGATTAGTCCAAGTATTCCCAAGTGCGCTACGATGTATGTCCGCTGTGAATTGGTGTGTTGCTTCAGATGGTACTACTACGGCTGGGACTGTATAGTCAGTTCTATTACGGCACACCGGTTCTGGTAGTAAAGCAAATAATGTCTCATTTCGCTATTTTCGTCACGCATGATTACACAAAAGATGGCACGCTATGCAAGGCTATTCCACACTATATGAGTATCAACACCGTACGCCATCACTTTTATCCCTAAGTGTCAGAACACGGAGGGAATGCAAAAACAAGTCACGCAACTAGGTATACATCTTGTAATCGTCCAAATCATACTCAGGTAACAGGGGTGGCCATGTTGCAGACGCAGTCCGACAAGCAATGCATAGCACTTCCTGAGTTTTTCTAATATCATCTGAAAACAGAGGAGTGTCTTGAGAAGGATTTATTTCAAGGTCCTTTTTGATGCCGCCTCTTGAGCCAGTCAAGTAGGAGCACCCAAGAGGTCGTAAAAGCCCTCAAGCCTTGTAGAACATAATAAACCTCACCACAAGAGCCGGAAGGGGGTTTGAGAATAAATAAATCTAGAGTGGAACACAAGGGTATAAATATGCGGCAAACGCCCACCCGGGCAAAACATCAAGTGGGGTCAGCTGTGCCACGTCACCGACGACTGAAGAATGGTGCCTGGTTGGGCATGGAAAGTAGAGAGTCGGCCCTCTGAAACACATCTCCCTCGAAGAATTTGTCACTGTATGCACTTGCAGGGGTAGACGGCACTGTCGCCTGAGCGGCTGGACCAAGAGCAGCACTCAATGGTGTTGCAGGAAGAGTAACAGACTGTGGTGACAGGCTTGTACTGACCTGATGCTGTGTATGCTGTGACTGTAAAGGGGGCCCGTATATGTTTGCTGGTGCGTTTCCAGACGTCATGTCTGCAAGGTACGACCATGGCGAACCCTCGATCAGCCGACCGGCCTCTCTGCTGGCCCTCTGCACCGGACGAAGAAGCACGACAATCTCAGAAGGGAGTAGATCCATGCTCCTGACTTCACGCAGGTCTGTCACAAGATCAACGAATGATTGCATGAATGCCTTGCATAACTGCCAGAACTCGCGCTGGTGGCGCATCCCACCGCCGGGCTCCTTTATCTTCATGTTGGAAAGGCGGAGTCCAAGTGCCTCAGATACTTCCAAGCACACGCGACATCGCCGAATGAGGTTGTTCCAGAGCATCTGTATAACTTCAGGTTCTCGAACTTGTTCTGCCAATTCAAGACTTCGCACAAATTGACGGTGTGCCTGAGGTAGCGCCTGTAGAGCGGCGGCATATGCAGTAGTGAGCTGATGAAAGATCCGCTCGAATGTTCGCTCTTCTTCGATTTCATCCAAGCCAGTCAAGGGGTTAACCCGAGGTACAGCTGTACTAGGCATTGGAGGGAAGGACTCGCCGGAACGGGGAGTCGCAAGGGACGAGGGTATCGATGTGTTTATGTGGGTTGACCGACTACTTGATCGACTCCGCGCTGCGTAACTAAATGGAGTGGAGACAAACCCAGGTGAGCTAATCGCAGAATGGAAATTGGATGCTGTCTGTAGTGGCCCACTGGTGGTGAGCTGAGGGTGCTGAATAGTGGTATCACTCCGGTAACGACGCACCGAGAGAGACGGCGCCCTGCCTCTAGTTGGGGTCACCGTTGATCCGGTAAGTCTATCCGAGGCAACCATCTCTCTGTGTATTTCCGGTATAGGCGGATTGGTGGAAGAGAGACGTTTGCGAGTGTGCAGTGGAACACCGAGGCTCACACAAACATTGCGAAGCTCAATGATGCTGCTGTAGATCATTAGCATCAGCGAACGTACATAGCGTGAATCGGCATTGGCGACAATCTTGCCAAGGCTATTGCGCAGCTGCGCCCCAACGTGAGTGTATGCCATGATACACGTCTCGCATTCCCTTTTGACTGCTTCGTTGGATAGCCGTACCAAGTCAGCATCCTCTAGTTGAGCATTTTCCGCATATTCAAGAGCTTCGTTGAGCCGGTCAACGTGAGTAGAGGCGTTATAAAAGACAATCTCGAGACTGTTTCGCCGGGTATCATCGCGTTTGATCATGTTGATCAAAGCATATACATGAGACTGAACCTGAAAAAGGGCAAACAAGACCCCCTTTCCACACTCGATAATCGATTCCCTTGCCTTTCTTTCACACTTCTGTTCCGGCAGGCTTGACATCCGGTTTACAAAACAATCCTTCAAGCGCCTACGCTCCCTTGGGCTGCTTGGGCTGGACGAGTTACTGCCTGCCGCGCCCGGTGCTCTTGGGCGAAGGATCGACCCATGACTGAGACCACGAAGATGACTGTTCCGATACGGCTGGGTCTCATCCAATCTTCCGAGATCAGCATTTTTCCTGATGCCCCCCATCCGTTTACTTCGCGCGGCAATAGATGCCTGGATAATACCCTCACTGTTACTCCGGTTGCGTTCATTGACACCAGGGATAAATGTTCCAGGTCGCGGGAGGATACTGTTGAACGCTATGCTCTGGCCGGAGGCAATACGGTAGTGGGATTTAAGTGGAATTGGTGGAGGCCGCGACAGCGACGGTGATTTGGGATCGGAAGAGATGTCGCCTGTACTTGGGATAACCGGGAAGCGGCTGCTGATTCCACGTTTGACGGGTTTAGGGGTGTCCCAGATCGCTTCACTATACGCGTCCGTCAGTCTATGCCAATACATCTCAGGGTAAGTGTTCTAACCTTGCATCGTTGCCCTTTTCAATCTCTGGTGTCGTGCTAAGCTGCTCATTCTTCAGGAATCGTTTTAGCACTGCAGTTACCGCGACCTCTTTTTCGTTATCTGACATAGTGGAGGGTGCAATATCTGTTTCTGAAATCTCTAAGAGCTCTCGTAGAGGATTCCGCAAGGGGTTTCCGGCAACCTTCAGGATCTGAAGCTTATTCATATCAGATACCCCAAGGGGCAGATCATCAAGGCGGTTCTGCATCACTGACAGAACCCGTAGAGAAGTCAATTGCTTGATTTCTTCGGGAAGATGACTGATCTTGTTACGGCTGAGATCCAAGATTTCGAGGAGCGGCAATTTGTAAACCTGGTATCCATGTTAGTGTAAAGGCCCTGCTGTACAGCCGGTCATGTATCACGTACACCCTTAGGAAATTCCCGGAAGTTGTTCGCTCTAATGTTAAGGTACCGAAGATGGAAACACTCTGCAAAACGATAGGGAATGTGAGACAGATAATTGTTTGATAAGGAGAGTCTAAAAATGATCAGCAGCCCCTCTAACAAAAGCGATGAAACACTTGGTGGTCCTAGAAATAACCCGGTAACAGATACATACCGCTCGACTTCATCTTTAATTATGTCCACCACTGGTTCCGGAATGCGCACGATGTTCGAATGGCCCAGATCGATAGTCAACTTTGGTTTCACGACATCACTGACCGCTTCACTTCCTGCCAAAGAGCGTTTCGTTTCTTGAATCCCACTATCCACGGCGCAACGAGCAAGCTCAATAGTCTCGTCGGGCGAGAGAAGTCGAGGCCCTGTGTGAGGTTTGCCAACATTGCCAACATTGCCAACCCTGTCACCCGCAGATCCGTTTACGAGCGTTGTTTCATCTTCACTTTTTTCTAGCGCTTCAATATTGGATGAAGAGGACGACGATGACGAAGAAGAAAGAATATTAAGTTCCGGAATTCGCCTGCTCGCATCTTCCTCGTCAACGTCACCACGGTATGAGCGAGGCATTCGGATCGAATCCTCTGGGCGTGTCATAGTGGAAAGCATGGCGGCGGACGAAAGTGAAAATAAATAGGTAAACTAAAATATTAATAGCCAGTCCGTATTCAACGGTCAATTAATGAATTAAAATATCCACGAGACAGGCGAGAGTATTGAGGTGAAGCATGATCGACTAACGCTGCGACAGCAGGATCATGAACGCATGGATAGGCAGTCGAGATCCCTTTTGTTTTGTTTTTTTTTTTAATTATTCTCCTTTCCTTCCTTCGTCCTTCTCGGGTAGAAGACTTAAGGCGAATGCTGCGTGAAGAAGGCGGTTACTTCTGATTTCGACGGAGGCGCGAGACAAAGCCCGATGATCGCCGATGGGTTTCCGAATGGCCCAAGTTCGCTCGATTCGTAGAGATCGGAAGGCAGTACTGATCATAGAACCAGGGCAATTGAGCTGTCAATCTGACAGGTTGAATGTGAGACTCGAAATCAGGTATCGGTGGTTGCCGGGCCCATGAGATCAGAAGAAACCGGAGATAGGAGCGAGTGCCCTCTGTAACTGAACTACTAGTAGTTGAAACGCGGAGAAAAAGTGCAGCTGTCAGATCAAAAGCCACCCCAAACTGATTGATCGAGTATGCACACCAAAGATCAATCCGATAGTAAATAAAATCAGGGTAATGTGAGGGGTTCAAGGGACGAGAATCCACTTGAAGACTGAAGATCAAACAGGCGCCGTGATTTCCCAGGAGGTTTCAGAAAAGGAAGTCCGGGTCAGGATGAAGTTGAAACACCAGGCGATAAAATGGGGGACGCGATAAGTTCCCCCCGTTGATTGGCCGTCACCCGTCACAACAACTTTGGGGCAACTGCTCCTACTTAGTACGTAAAAGGTCCATTGTAGCTTGATTTCAATTTGATGTTAATTTGTCTTTGTATTCTTTCTGTCTTTTTTTCTTTGGTTTCACTCAATCTTCTTCTTCTTCTTTCACTTCTACTTGCTATTTTTGTACGTGTCTCTCCCTATATCAATCTCGCCATCGATCTCCACCTGAGCAGCTAGCCTGGAGACCAAACCAGTGTATTGGATGGATTATGGAACCTTGTGAACCCTGAAGCGGCCCTTCTGTACAGATTCAATATAAAATCCTCGGCAGAATCACGGGGCAGTTGAGTAGTAATTGAAGAAATACATAAACAGTATCGGAAAAGAAAATACATCCAGTATTATACATAACCATCGAGATGTCCGGTCCCAAAATACCCCCTGACCAGTTCAATCGAGTTCTATCAAGATATTCATGCTTTTATGGTCTACGCCTGCTGAGGCTGCTTCTCTTCCACCCCTTCCTCTAGCCCCAAGCTATCGTCAGTACTTGGGATCTCCGGAGCACCGGTAAATGCTGCTGTCCTCTGTTCCTGGACCTGGGCTTCCGACTTAGCCCATACCTTCCAGCGTTCGTATTCTTGGTTTTCAAGTTCCATGCCGACTTCAAGGCGGGTGGGTCCGAATGTAGCACCTGTGGCTTCGGCTTCTTCGGCAGCGACTCGCCGTTCAATATCTTCCTGGAGACGCAGGCGATAAAATTCACGGCGCGCAATATCATAAGCGGTACTCTTGGTCATATCGGGGACATTGTTAAGGAGCCAGAGCTGACGCTGGACGACACTATTATGAGAGAACAGGAAAAGTTGTTAGCGTCCGACAATACAATATACTAAGATGGCATTCATTCTGAAAGCAACGAGGCAAGGAAAAAAAAAAAAGAAAAGAAAAAGAAAAGAAAAGAAACATACCTCTCACCATCCAATCGCTTTCCTGGTTGCTGGAGCCGGCTCCAGTCATAGTTCTCATAATCCTTCCCGGTACTTTCAAGCACAACTCGGGGTCTCGCAAGCTCCCAGGGGTGATCACGGAAAAACTCCTTTCGCAACAGGTCCTCTTCGTACTTGATCTCGGTGGGCAGGAACATACGGCTGGCTTTTTTCGGTTTCACACGCTTCTCCTGAGCTTCAAAAACGACCTGCGGCTTCGAGGCTCCAGGAAGCGTTTTCACACGCTGTCGGACGAGCTGGTGCTGTTGTTGCTGGTTTCGCACGAGGACCTGGGCGGGGGGGATATCGCGCACAACATTAATCCATTTTGGGATTTGGTGAGTCTTACCGGCTTCCTTCTGTCGAAGCGCCGTCTGTCGGACTCGGAGAGCTGTGAGGTTATATTTGCCCATGGCGGGATCGGAGGAAGGCGGCGGCCAGAAGGGCAGCCGTAGGGTATAGGCCGATTAAGACGGTAGGATTGAAAAGGACCAATGGCCAAGTAGAACCCACACGTAATTGTCCAAGGCGACTCTCCTCCGGGGGGCAACGATGGAGACCTTTCGGTACGGTTGATCGTGGAGTTTTGGTGATGGTGGCCGAGCGCGCGGGTGAAAAAGAGGATTGGCAATGGGCGGCTCCGATTGGACCAACCGTGGCTCCGCTCCGGTGCAAAGCCAAAGAGATTATTGAGAGAGAACATAATAATTTGACGCGGAGCTTCACCTTTGAACCACCCTTCCCCCCATTCTCCTCCCCAAATTTTGACTTTGCTTTCATTCGCGACCTGCCACGCTCGAGGAGCAGTCTGCTCGGTTCTTTTCAATCTGCTCGAGACCTCCTCGGGATATGCACGGTTGACTCGATGCCACGATGTCTGCCGTCTCATGCCTCATCCCAATAGGTTCCAGAGCTCGCCCAACCTGCGACTGCCCCCTTCGCAGGGTTTGGATACGTGCTTGTCCGTCAATTGCAATTCCATGTCTAAACCAGAATCATTCTCCTACAATGCTTCCATCCGGAGACTCGGCGCCAGACGCCCTCGCCCGTCCGCTGCCTCTATAGCAGACCTTTTCGTCAGCTCGCTGGTGATGGCAGGCTACTGCCGGGAGCACTCCCCTCGAGGACGAGGGCTGTCAACAATGTCTGCGAAGACTTCGAGGTGCGAGATGGCGAGATGGCAAGACAGGGGCATGACGAGTACGGGGCATTTGTCGAAAAGACGCCTGGTTTATCCAGGGTCGCCGGCGAAGTGCCTAGGGGTGGTACATCGTCCAAGAACACAACGGATGTTCAACTCCGGCATTGCGCAAAAGTTAGAAGACGACGAGAGCGAAGACATACGTATACCAAACCGATCAATAGAGAGACCTTCGCCTAGGATACATCACAAAGAAGCGGAATCAGATCAAAAGCCACATTTAGACAGGGGATTACCACCATCGCAACACACGCCCAAAGACTTGAATTGCGAGTCAGTGACGGGCACCTTGACTCCAGAGGATTCAGAACACAACACATCTTACGCCGTCTCCAGAGAAAACGCACTTGACCGCCAAGTAGATCTGCCTGCGGTACCAACCATATCCCGCTACCACGGGAAGACGAGCCCGGCTAAAGAATTACACGATGCTACCTCAAAACTATACCGTTCTGTCTTTGGAGATTCCTTGGACTGGAAGCAGGCTGTTGACACTGTTGTTGATGATGGGCAGGCTGACTCATCGTCACCTCGACCTGTTGTGCTTCGTAAGGATAATAAAGAAGATGCCGTGGAGCTCCAGTCGGTCGCCCTATTCGTCGAAGCCATGTGGGATGAGAAGAAATCCAATCAATATGTTTTTCGACTGTACAGAGATCTTCCATATCCAGGAGTTTCGTACTTGTCGAAACGGTCACGAGGGGCACTTTTGCGGCGGTTTGCTAACCCTCCTAACCGCCGGTGGGTTGATGCTCGCCGCTACCTAGGGTTAATAGAAGACATGGTGGCTGCAAAACTTCCCGTGTCGCGGTCATTGTGGAGTTCTGCTATCCATCTGGCAGGCCGTGCGTCCGGCAAAGTATGCAAAAGGGATCTGGTGAGGTCTATCGGTCTCTGGCAGCAAATGGAGCATGTGGCCGGGGTCAAGTCAGATGGCGTGGTCTTTAACATCCTCTTCGACATAGCCATCAAAGCTGGCCAATTCACAGTAGCAGACCGCCTAATGGAGGAAATGGGGAAACGTGAAATCACTTTTACTCGCGCTGGAAAGGTTTCCAAAATGTACTACTGCGGAATGCAACAAGATGCGGATGGCATCCGTGAGACGTTCGATGCATTCGTGGCTAGTGGGGAGATTGTTGACACAGTGGTACTGAACTGCCTGATAGTATCCTTTCTTCGGGCTGGAGAAACGAAGACTGCAGAGCAATTATATCATCGCATGATGCAGGCGCAGAACACAGTTGATCTTGATATTGAGCAGAGGCTATATCATGGGCCGAGTTTGACCTCAGAGTTCATCGTTTATCGCAAGAAGTCCCGGAAGCTCAATCGACTTTTACAAGTATCTGCTTCTCTTAAGGACCAACTCCCTGAGCACCATCGAGCTTTGCAGGAGGCTTTTCCTATGACACCCGATACGCGGACATTCCATATTCTTCTTGCTCACCACGCCTATCGGTCGGGCAACTTACACGCTTTCATGTCAGTCATAGGTGACATGGAAAAAACTTTTGCAGTTCCACCGCGTGGAATGATATATTTGTTGCTTTTCGACGGATTTGCTTACAACGGCCGAAAGAGGAAAGGCTGGACTGCTGAACGGCTGTGGAACGCATGGCGAGCGTATCTTCGCGCTCTTTACGAATCAAAGAACAGATTTAATGACCGCTTTCATCTTCGCACGGCAAAGCTCGTTTGGGAAAATCCTCTAGGGAGTAGCGCTGCATTACTGACAGCACAGCCACCTACACTGCCAAGAAAACCAATGGGTTTATACACCCCATTGCCCTCGGGCAAGTCCGAGGCAAAGATCATGCCTGAGGAACATCAGCAGGAGCAGGTGGATGAGAGTGACGAAGCAAGCAAGGAAGATGCCGACGAATTAGGTGTCAATGATGCGACAGCCGAATTCGATGATGACATTGATACCGACGAGTTGTTCAATTACCGAGGCCGAGACCAGCATGCCGAGGACGGTGAGCTTGAAGGGTTGGAGCGCCAGATTGACAATGGAGTATTTCTAGGGCGCCGGATGATTATTATCATTCTTCGAGCATTCGGTGCCTGCTGCGGACCTAAGGAAGTAATGGAGGTCTGGCTGCATATCGAACGACTTTGGCAACCCAAAAGGCGCAAAGCGCTTGACGTCATGGCTGTGAAGGAGGAGCTCGAGAAGCAGATAAACAAAGGCAGTAGGAGGCACTGAAGCCTGACTGAATAAAATTCAGTGCATGTACATTATAGACCTGTTATATATACCCTCCAGGTGCATACCATTTGATGACAGCTATTAGACTAACTGCACTATCTTGATCCTGTACAGTGAATGTTTTTGTGACATCTAGTTTTAGCAATAATAAATTGAAATTCAAAAGAATTGAACATCTAGAAGGTAGACGAGATAGTAGAGGTGTTTATTACCATTACTGCATCAGGAAAAGTAATGACTGACTGCCATTCCACGTGATATCGCGTTACGTCTTCTACTCCATCGCGTTTCGCGGATTTTCCCGAAGTAAATTCAAACAACCTTTCTCTTTCTTTCATTAAAACCGTAAATACCTCGATCTAAAGATGCTGCGGAGATGATAAACAGCAATCTGAAGCGTCGCAAGGTAGACTTGGACTTTTATCTACACCGGGTTTTCCGAAAGAAGTCATTCCGGTAAGTTTCGTTTACTCTTGGGCTAGCACTTAAAACTAAATTAATGCTCTGAATAGTCCTCTACAGCGAGAGGTAATCACAGCAGCCGTGGAAGGCCACGATGTTTTCTTGCAGGCATCTACATCATTTGGAAAGAGCCTGTGCTTCCAATTGCCTGCTGTCATCAGCCATGGCGGTTGGTCCACCTCCATCACGTAGACTTAGGTCTGAGATGTTCGATGAATTCTAAATGTTCCTCTCTTATACAGTGACTGTCGTTGTATGTCCTCTCCTCGCATTGATGGTAAGTTATAGCAGATGCAATGCCAGAAGCTCAGGTCATTGAAGCAACACACCTACAGACAGATCAAGTAAACGCGCTGCAAACCCTAGGAGTAGCAGTGGCAACAATCAATTCGAGTACTTCACTTCCAGAGAGACGCGAAATCCTCGCAGATCTTCTCTCAGGACATCCCCGTACCCGCCTTCTTTATGTAACTCCGGAACTATGCCAAACGGAGACGTTCCGGCGAAATCTCCAAACTATCCATTCCCAGGGAGAGCTTAATCGTGTCGCCATCGACGAGGCTCATTGCATCAGTGAATGGGGCCATGATTTCCGTCCAGCGTACAAGGAACTCTCCTGGTTCAAGCGGGCCTTGAACAACCCCCCAGTTCCGATCAGCGCCTGCACGGCGACCGCAACCCCGCGTGTCCGTCAGGATATCATAAATCTTCTCGGTTTAGATCCCGGCCGATTGAGGATTTTCAATACACCCTCAGCTCGCCCAAACATCCATTACGAGATCAGATATCTCCAAAATTCTACCGACGATTCAGGAGACTCTGGAAATGCCCAAGTTAGCGACTTCGTCTCCTGGCTGAAATCCATCCAGAGCCGTCGAGAAGCCAGAATAGGGGGAAATGACACTAATCTTCCACCTATATCCGGTATCATTTACGTTTCCTTCAGGTCAACGTCGGAGAACCTTGCCGGAATTCTGTCGACATCATGGGACGGCAATATCCGAGCGGTTGCTTATCACGCCGGCCTTTCCTCCCAAGACAGGACCCAGATTCAGTCCCAGTGGACTTCCCCGCCGTCACTCTCAGAACCAAACGACCAAACCCCGGCGTTCTACATAATAGTTGCAACCAATGCGTTCGGCATGGGGATCGATAACCCCCATGTTCGATTCGTAATCCACTGGAACCCTCCCCGAAGCTTCGAGGGGTTTGTACAGGAGTCCGGCCGCGCAGGTCGCGACGGCCGTGCCGCCGCATCAATCGTATACTATAACACCCAAGAACGAGATAAAGCACTAGATCGCCTCCGACGAGACGTTGAAAATGCCTACAATCGCGCTAACAAGAAATCAGCGAATGGAATACCAAAGGACGATCCTAACAGCAACCTGCAAAACCAATACGCCCGGTTGCGGAGTTTCCAAAAAGTTGTTCGCTATTGTGAGTCAACTAGCCGCTGCAGGCACGAAATGATCAAGGATTTCTTCGGAGACCTGGAACTTGAGAGGATGGGTTCTCAGGCCCCAAGCTCTGAAATGAAAACAGGCTCAAGTGCATCGCCGTGCGACTTTGCTTGTGATTTCTGCAAGGAAGGCTCCAGGAGTCTAACGCTTCGCAAGGCAAAAATGGTTATTGAGAATGAGTTGATGGACTGTACGCAGTGGGATTACATGTCGAACATGGAGGCAATGTATCCGGACGCTTTTTCTGGCTTTGACTAGGGATGAACTGCAGCATGGCTATGTAACCTGTGCTCTTATGCCTTAATGACATGCAGGGGTAAGAGTATATACAATTAGATCAATGCCCTTGCCAGAGATGAGTATCCTAAATGTCGGAATGTCTGTATAGGGACGACTTTTGGCTTTGTGTACCTATTTTATCCCTTCCTCCAGCAATCGAATCCGCACGCCATAGCCCAGAATCGTCAATACGGGGTATTCAGAGAATAGTAGCAACATGTGTTATATGTATGAAACCTCCAAATTCATGATCCCCAGATATATTATTCATCCGAAAATCAAGGATCTCTACTAACTACAGACTATAGCTTATTAAGTATTGCACAAAAGTAAGATATGGAGCTGAGACAGGAATTCCAATCTTTTCTAGCACGAAGACAATATTGCCCAAATCCGAGTTCATCAGATGTCAAACTTGGGGATAAGCTATAAAGTTACACCTGGCCAATAAGTAGGTATATTTATCGGCAACGGTACCAAGGTAGGGTGTTTCGATTCCTCCTTCTTTTGCGGTTGCGTCCATCTCAAATAAATAGCGGAGGACAGGTTCACAGGCCTGGTGGTGGTGGGACCTATATCATGCCGAGTCAGTAAGGGTCTCCCTTTCATGATACTCAAACAAAGTACGTACTGCACTGTAGCTGCCGCCGGGAGGAGGTGGAGGGGGGGAACCTGAACCAGGAGGCGGAGGAGGCGGCGCTTCGCTAGTCGGAGGAGGTGGAGGGGGAGCGGGACTTTGGGACTGCGACTGTGGCTGCGACTGCTGCTGTTGTTGCTGTTGTTGAGCATATTGCTGATAGTATTGATAGTAGGCGACGTAGTTTTGATATCCACCATAGGCAGCGTAGGGATCGGATCCGTAGTACTGTGCATACTGTGCGCTATAGTCGGCTACGTTATGGCCGCCTGATGTTCCTGTTGCGCCTTGCGCGGCCGGGCTACCAGACGTCGAGGGCGAGTTCTGGTGCGAATGATTCCCATAACCACCACTGCCACTGCCACCCCCATTACCCCCACCGTAGCCTCCACCATAACCCCCTCCCTGATAACGGTCTCCACGCTGGCCATATCCGCCGTAGTTGTGCTGGGGTGGATTCTCCTTGAAGCGCTGATACTGTTCTCGAACATTGGCCAAAAGGTCCTCGCACAGCTCTTTAGCGCTCTTAACGTCGTTGGGATCGGGTCCACTGTGCGTTGTTATGTTTCAGCGCTTCGAGATGGTGGGATAAATTACTTACGCAACATGCAAGAACATCGGCTCCTCGCTTTCTCTACCGGTACCAGGTTCCATGAAGCCAGAACCCCGGCCTTTGATTTGAACCTTGCATCGAGTTCTCTGTTGAATATGCTTTACGTATGCACCACCCTGGCCGACAACTTGGGCACGAAGGTTAAAGCCAGGAATTGGCTCAAGGTCCACTGGGATCCGCTCCTCGGGCCATTTACGCTGAGAATAGTTAGCACACGTCTCAGCCCTATGGATATACTCCTGCAATTTCATACACGGCCATATTCATCACGTTCCACTTGTTCCGGCTCGCGTCGTCGGAATCGGCGCTCATCGACCAGATTGGGAAGTTCCTTTTTCATGAGCTCGTCGATCAATTCCACGGCCTTTTCAAGACCCTCTTTGTTCGTACTCGTCACATGTAGGTACAGCGGGGGGTTCTGTGAAGAGTGAAGGTACCCTGTCAGACATTCATTCGTCACGGTGCGTTAACAAATTCACATACCGCGGCAGTAGCCATGCTCTTATCCGGGTAATAGTTTCCTCGAGTCGTGACATCTTAAAACAAAAATTAGAGATGAGCTTCTTTCTTCACTAAGTAGTTGACAAGTTTAGCATGGAGTGAAGGCGTACCGGCGCCAGTTTCTTCCTTGATCTAGATGTCACGCAGCGGAGGTCAGCAGATGCAAATGAGGGGAAATGGGATGCTATGGATGATTAGGACTGGGTAAGCTTTGGCCACGACCCTATGCGGAGAAAGGAAAAAAAAGATAAGAAAAGGCAAAGGGTGAAGGGGCGCATGGCCGCAGCGGAAGCCAGCTTGCGAAGGATGCCTGGAATATCAGCGGATGCAACAGGAGTAATTACCATCTTCTGAGTAGAGCCCTTGGTCAGTGTGTAGCGGTTTCGCAAGTCATTAATTTCAATGTCCTTGATATAGTCTCCATCAGCAACGTAAATGTCTGTGTTAAGTTTCGTGGATGCGTCTCCAGAGGACGGGGATGCGGCTGCCGGTGCGGGACTTGTGGCCTACCAGTACAATTAGTTAGTTGTATATGTTCCTAAGTTGAGTGATAATAACCACGCATGATATACTCACCGAACGGATAGGTGGAACATCGACATGCTGAATACCCTTCTTTGCTTGCAACTGAGCGTTGATCTTGGCCGCTGCGGCAGCTGCATTGTGTCAAGGTGTCAGCCTCCTATATCCAATCCAACAATTTCTTCAAACGCATGAGGGCAGCCATACCCGCTGCGGCAGCAGGGTCCGCACCCCCAGACTTCTTCGCCGGGTCTGCGCTAGGGCTTCGAGGTTCGCGACTCAGAGGACTCCGAGTGCGAGTAGCTTCAGACTGTCGCGACGAGGGAGATCGAGAACGACGATCGAAACGAGAGGCCCGGCGCGGCTCCGGTTCTGTTTGATCAAAGCGTGATCGTTTGACACGGCGTTCGTCGTCAGCCATGATGAACAGGCAATTTTGTATGTTGAGGCTGAACAAGTAGGAATTGGAGTAATCGCAAATGCGAGTGAGATGCTCTAAAGACTGGTACCACTGCAAAGGACTTCTTTGAAGGCGGTGGAGAGCGACGGATCAGCTGGTTGGACGCTAGCGTAACAATGAGCAACTAAACGGGGGTTCGTAACGGTGGGACCAATGAGCGAGAAGATGTAACTAAAAAGAAGTACTATTTGGTAAGAGACAAGAGACAAGAGGAAATTAATGATCTCTCAATGATGACAGATATTTCAGAAGGAAGATGATCGGGTAGTGATCTGAGACACACAGACGCACCAACAGCAGGAGTCGCGAATGAATCTGGGCTCAAAAAAGCAAAAAAACGGTGCAGCATCGCCAACGATCAGGTGCCAATGCTGCACTGGGACCAAAGCGGTATAGCGGTAATGCTCCGGAGTCAGTGACCTTACTCCGTACCAGAGCCTGAGTCAGCACCCCGACCTCGGAAGTCTTCGACTATAAAATGCGATTTATGACTACAATCCCCATCCGTCGAGTGTGAAGTCACTGCCTCTATCGTTTCCTTCGCATTGCCTGCTTTTACTTGCAGGCCAATTCGGGAGACCATGGCTTTCCGGCGTCCTTTGATGCTGTCTTGGACAGCATCAGCGCCTTTTTCCTCCATTGCTGGCAGAACTGCCCGAGTAGCTGCGACTCTGCCCCGGTTCACCACAGCTAGGGCCTCTTCCAGCTCGACCTCCGCCCTCGCCTACAAGGCGCTCCATCGTCGCTCTCCTCTTCCTCTTCCTGTGTCGGACTCCTCTCCACAATGGGACGCCCCAACTGCCGTCTCGTCGATTCTGTACGAGACTCCGGTTGCGCCGACCAATCCCCCGAAGCGCCATATCCTGAACTGTCTGGTGCAGAACGAGCCTGGTGTTCTTTCGCGCGTTTCGGGAATTCTGGCCGCTCGTGGCTTTAATATTGACAGTTTGGTCGTGTGTAACACCGAGGTCGAAGATCTGTCCCGCATGACCATCGTGCTGCAGGGTCAGGATGGTGTCGTCGAGCAGGCCCGTCGCCAGCTGGACGATCTTGTTCCTGTCTGGGCCGTCCTTGACTACACAGACTCTGCTCTTGTGCAGCGCGAGTTGCTTCTTGCGAAGGTCAGCATCCTGGGTCCTGAGTTCTTCGAGGAATTGCTTCAGCACCACCGCGAGATCACCACCCCCGGCGAGATCCTCGACGGCCAAAAGGATAAGGCCGAGGGCCAGAAGCAAATCACTGAATTCCACCCCCGCAATCTCCCTCCCAGTCAGGCATTGAGACACAAGCACGAGCATCTTGATGCCATCACCCGCTTGACCCACCAGTTCGGCGGCAAGGTTCTTGATATTAGCAACAACAACTGCATTGTGGAAGTGTGAGTAGTCATTCACCATTTACGCATTGGTGCAGTCACTGACGTTTTGAATAGCTCCGCCAAGCCGTCTCGTATCGACTCCTTCATGAAGCTCATCGCTCCCTTCGGTGTTTTGGAGTCTACCCGTACCGGTCTGATGGCTTTGCCTCGTTCCCCTCTTCACGAGCAGGTTGAGGAGCTTGAGAAGGAGGCTGCCGACGTTGTCGATGCAAGCACCCTTCCTCCTGGTTAAAATGGATATCCGAAATGAAAAGAATCGCAATGAAGAAGCAAACTTGTTTTCCTTGGAAGTTATAATATTTAGTGTAAAATTTAGCAGTTTTTTCTTCTTCTTTTTCTTTGAGTCATACACTTCTCATGAGTACATTATCTATGTTTCCATGTCGTTGACTTGAAACTTGGTGCAATTTAGCTTCATCAGCCTACGCAAGCATGTATTTCTTAGCGTGGTAGTTGTAAGGTAACTTTCGTAGAAGGAGAGGAAAGATGGAGTTGGTAAGTCAATTGCTCAACCTATCCCGAAATCCAAACCCGCGAAACCAGCTTACAGCCAATACCGTGCCCTCTATACCCAAACGCCAGCCCATGTATTTTGAGAGGGCAGAAACAAAATGCCCAAGAGAAAGGAGTGATTGCTTCTACCAGTCACTCGCGAAAGCCACGACACTAAATCTTCACCCTTGCGGTAATCCCCTGGCCATAGTATGTTATGGTAGTGCGATAGCTTCGAATCAGAACGCCAACCTTTGCTACAGCATCCAATTTGAGTGTACCCCCAAGAGCTTTCCTCAATGCGTCATATCCAATCCCATTCAAATTTAACTCAACAGGCAACCGTGGGGTTATAGAGAGACCCGGCGGCACCAGGAAAGGAATATAGTAATCGATACTACCGACCTCTTCATCTTTCTGGTAGAAGGCATTGGCTTCTACCGACGTAATCTCTATGGTCGTATTGGGAAACGGGGAGGACAATGTGAATTCCGCCGTTGATGACCATAGGTGTAGCTAGTAGCAGGCAAAAGTTAGCAAGACCAAAAGCACCTTATAGAACCCTGTCTTTACTTGGAAGATGTTCCCCAGGAGAACATATCATTAATAGTGATTGTCGTGTAGAGAAGCGGCTTCCATGAGAGTAGACAGTACCGTTGTGTCCTGTATAAACTTCGGCTTTCCATCCTTATCACCAGGATGTCCAGGAACAGGCACTCCAGGGATTGGGACTTCAAGTCCTAGTCTGGAGAGTGCCTGTCCAAGTTCTGGTAGAGCCGGGAATGTTCCCTCGTGACTGCGAATTGTTACGGACGTGTTGTAACCTAGTAGTGATTAGGCAAACAGACCCATCTAACAAGATCCCCAAAGCAATACAAAACTCACCGGAAACATATTGTGAGAGCATCTCTTGGCCAGCAGTTACACCAGCCGAGCCACCTAGTTCGAGTGGATTCCATTGTAGGTCGGCATGGATACCAGAGTTTACCCCAGGCACAATCACAAGGTCTCGGGCAGTTACGTGAGCCACTTTGGTCTCATTGTAGACAAGAATTAAATCAACAAAAGGTACCGACGCAGAGTATGGCGACGGATTTGTTATGTTGATTTTCGCTTTCATTACGAGTGACGATTCAGTTGTAGGTCCCAGTGCTATCGATTCAACCCGTGGACTCAGTCGCTCGAGTGAGTCACCATACGGCGCTATTCAAGCATCAACAAAAAACACGCCTAGTCTCAGAATTATTGCCACTCACGTTTAACGTTCACGGCACCCTCGGCTGGTATTCCACGAACAGCATAGGTTCCAAGCCCTGTAGAGACTTCTGCATCCACACTTGCAGCAACTGTCAGTCTCACAGGTTGTCCTTCAAAGAGCAAGGCTTGTAGAATATCTGTCAAAACATCCCCATCAGTCACCTGAATTGGCGCATGCTTCATGGAAAAATTAACAAGCAAAGCTGGAGCTCCATTAACGTTTTCCAGCCGAGTGGAATTAGCTGGCTGCCATTCTTGCAGATTCAAAACACCGAGCTTCTTCCCATGGTAAAATATGTCAGAGTTGGCACGAACACGAGGGACATCTAGGTGAAGAAGGTTTAGTTGCTTAGGCAACCCAATCAAGACATTCACCAAGGCTGATACCCTAGGCTGAGACTCGGGCGTATCAGGCTCGGCGAGGGGATTCGGCATGTCGAAATGCACGTCCGTCATGGTGAAGTTTTTGACGAGATTGTCCAGAGCATGTCCTGTAAAAGCCAAGGGTACTGTCACGGTCTTTAGGATGTCTACCACCCACTCAGGCGTTCCCAGGGACGGAACGTCGGCTCCACGAACATAAACTGTAGTCTGAAGGCCTTCCATATAACTCTTCACTAGAAAATCCAAGGGAGATTTCTCCTTTCCAGGGCAAGTCTTCGTTAAGTCATCAGAAAGACCCTGGACAATTCCAGCAACGTCGACAGACGTCGGCTGCCCTGGATATATCGGGAATCCTTTTGTGGTGACGTCCGCTACTGAGATATATGGGTCGCCTGGCGAGCAGTTTGGCACGAGCACCTCAAATCCAAGCGGAGGAATATTCAGGCCAAAGGGCGAATCGACAAGAGCAGCCACTGAGGCATCTACTTCCATAGCTCCATTATGTCCGGGCGTATCTGTATCGTGCACATTGAACTTTGTAACATTAACCTTTGGAAGTGCTGGGAAATCACCCTCTACATACAACGTCAGAGATCACTTAGCGAAAGAAGAATAGCGTGACTTACCATGAAAGGTTATAGAGTCGGTTATGGTCTGTTCGCCTAAACTCAGAATGCCAGATTTGAGTGGCACTGTTGCTTTTCCCTGCACTCGCAGGCGGCCAAGTCTCCCTTCTAACCAATCAACCGCTACCGCGCGGATACCAGGGATATCACCAGCGACTAGGTCCGCCAAGAAGTTGACATGGTTGACATGGCCGTTCTGAATGTTGACCTTGATAGAAGGTAGAGATGCTGTTCCGAGGAGTACGTTGCCGTACTCTGGTAGATACACTTCGACTTCCGACTGACCTGTCTCGACTTCTCTACCGATCCATGTGGCAAAACGACCAATATTCCGCACTGGTGCTTTCTTTATGCGACCCGCATCAAGTACAAGGTCTCCCTGTATCCTCGCCTGAATTCCATCTGCTGTGGCCGACTCAACCGAGACATTAGTTGGGGTGAACACGATAGCATCCACTGCATACTGCTTCACTACAGCCGGCGCGACAAAGGCGAATATGAGGATTGCTATGATCCCAATCAGAGATAGCAAGACGCAGAAGATTGGCCATCGTACTCTGCCTCGTGGTTTCTTTGTATCATTGGCGGAGAGAAAGTCTTCTGAGGCTGCCGAAGATCGTCTGGGCGCAACACCTCCATAGGTTGCCAAGTCCTCTTCCCGAGTGAAGAGTAAAGGGGTGGATTCGGAAGATAATTCGAATAGACGTGCAGGACTCGAGTCGGAAGATTGTTTTTTGTCAGTCGGTGACGAAGGACGTGAAGAGGGCCTGGACCCCTTATTCAGCAAAGGTCTGCTTGCCTCTTCAGCCATGATGGCTGGGGGCGGATATGCGGGGAGATGGGGGAAAGAAGAGGTGATGTGGAGGAGATAACACGATAGCAATACGTTATGAGTAGATAAGAGTGATAAGAGAAGTTATTGGCATCCGTAGATTGTAAGAAAGAACGCTACCGATGGTTGTGAATCGGTGAAAAGGGAACGTAAGGCTAAGAATAAGAAGAAGAATAAGAATAATCAACTTCCGTATGGACAACGCACGCTGGATGAATTGGCCAGACCTGGAAGTATAGCCTATCAGTTTAAATCAACGCTGATGATCGGCAATCATACCACGCTAACCAGAAATAGAGAAGGCGTGGTGTGGAGACGGAAAAAGCGGATCACATTGGAGGAGTCACACTTACGCTTTCAAGCTAACTGACTGACTCGAACGAACAAAGCTCAGGTACTTTCTTTTTCTCTTTCTTTTCTTTTTTCTTCTTGTTGTCGCTGTTGGTGACTCTTTCTTCTAGTCCGATAAGAATTGAGTCATTTCAATCCTCTGGTTCTTGCTCTATATATTCTTCCTGTACTCAATTGCTTCACCGCATACCTACCGTAAATTATCTCATCATGACTTGCGGTCTGAAGCTGGCCGCCGCTCGTTACGGCAACCATACCTTGCGCCAGAGGATTCCACTCAACGCTGTGCGCCGATACTCTTCTCAAACTACTCCTTCTACGACTCCCCCCACCTCACCGTTCGCTCCTCGCCATTTTCTTTCCATCGCTGATCTTACCTCAACCGAGTTCGCAACCCTCGTCCGTAATGCATCCTCACACAAACGAACCATCAAGTCGGGCTCCATCCCTCAGAATCTGCTTGGCTCTATGACTGGGCAAACAGTAGCCATGCTGTTTAGCAAACGCAGTACCCGGACCAGGATATCTACTGAAGGGGCTGTGGTGCGCTTGGGAGGGCATCCAATGTTTCTAGGCAAGGATGATATTCAACTCGGAGTCAATGAGTCCTTATATGACTCTGCAGTTGTAATCTCCTCCATGGTCTCTTGCATTGTAGCCCGAGTCGGCAAGCATGCTGAGGTTGCAGACCTTGCCAAGCACTCGACGGTGCCTGTTATCAACGCTCTCTGTGACTCCTTCCACCCTCTCCAGGCCATTGCCGATTTCCAGACCATCCACGAAACATTTACACCTAAGGCCCATCGCTCTGACAGTTTGGGTCTAGAGGGCCTCAAGATTGCCTGGGTCGGTGACGCAAACAATGTTCTATTTGACATGGCAATCGCTGCTACCAAGATGGGTATTGATATCGCTGTTGCGACTCCGAAGGGCTATGAGATTCCTGCCCCGATGTTGGAGCTCATCAAGCAGGCCAGCAATGGTGTGTCGAAGCCAGGGAAAATCATTGAAACCAACGTTCCTGAGGAGGCAGTTAAGGGTGCAGATATTCTGGTAACTGACACCTGGGTCTCCATGGGACAGGAGGCAGAGTCGATCAAGCGGTTGAAGGACTTCGAGGGCTTCCAAATCACTCCTGAACTTGCCAAGCGTGGTGGTGCTAACGAAGGCTGGAAGTTCATGCACTGCCTGCCTCGCCACCCTGAGGAAGTCAGCGATGAAGTTTTCTACAGCCCACGGTCCTTAGTCTTCCCCGAGGCGGAGAATCGGCTGTGGGCTGCGATCTCGGCCGTGGAGGGCTTTGTTGTCAATAAGGGAAGGATTGAGTAAGGCTTAAAAAAGAAATTAATCATAAAAACATATATAGTCTAAATATGGAGTCCCCAATGAATTAATGGACTGTTGGTTGACGTTTCACACCGACATATGTATAGAATACCATAAAGATGCAAGACACGTCGATATACAGAGTACATAAGAACAAGGTCTTATAGAATCCGATAGTTCGAACACTGACGTGGTGATATCCACCGGATTCTAGTAATCGGTCAAAGGAAAATCCAACCAATTTACCTAACAGAAAGAAAACAGCCCTCAGTTTAAGTTATCGAAAAAGTCCAGAATGGAGCAAAAGCCGTTGGTGCCCGCATTCACATGTCACGGGCGGAGTTGCCGACAAAACAAGGCCAACAACCCTCCAAAATCTCATGAGCTGCTGCATCCATCATACCATTAATGAGCTTGCCACTGCCTTAGTACCCTCGCCCGATATTTATTGTCCTTCGTGGCCCCAGGCATCCTAGATGGAGGTATGCGCTTCCCTGTTAACGGGTAGTAAATAAATTACAATATAATGACTCCACTACAGCTTTCGCAGTCCGGGGGCGGCTTTCGCTCGCGCCGCTCCTATCCCTCACTAAACCATGCTTCCCTAGCTCCATTAACATCTCGTTTCCCTATTGACGACGATGCCGATCACCAGGATTACTTTACTCCAAGAGCTGAAGATTCTGAGTCCTACTACAGCGCCCACGATATCCCCGCAAGGACCTCGTATCTTTCCAGCTACTCCGTCCCCGGTACCCCAGGTCTCTTGTCTCACTCCCGCAGCGGGTCCAGGGCCCGACACCACCAGCGGAGTAAAAGCTCGACCCGCGCACACCTGAGCGATACCAACCTCCAGGGTCAAGATGATGCTCAACCATGTCACCACCAAGCGTCGAAGACGAAGCGACAGCCACCTCGTCATCACCCGTCAGACTCAACTAGTCGTCGTGATGCAGAGTGGATGCTTCGAGCTGGGATCGCACTAGCTTCTTCGACCCGAGAAGAAAAGGGTCAAAGTTGGCTCGCGAAGCGGGAGAGCTCGACTAGTCTGCTTGATGAAGGTAACTATGACGTGGAGTCCCCTGGTCACTTTAACAAAGTGGCTAGGAAATCCAGATCCGGGCGGTCAACCCCGGCGGCAGCTAGGTCGCGCGTTGTCAGTAGAAGAGGCAGTCGGCCTGACCTTACCATGGCCGGCCTCGAGATGACTTCTACTAGACAGGGTGATAGTGGCAGTCTTGAAAGTCCTGCACCTGATGTGCGACATTTCGTGCCAGATTTTGTGGACGAGCGTATCCGTGCAGAGATGGCGATTATTCAACAAGAGGAATATACCTCCGAGTCTGACGAGTACTCTGACTCGGAGGATGACATTGATGAGCAGGAGATGCAGCGCTTGACCCGAGAGCGCGGCTTTGGGTTGGGCGGTTGGTTCGATCGCATGGTGGAATGGACAGTATTTGGTGTTGACGACTGGCCGCTGTCTTATTCCAGTGGGCCTGTTGACCAGGTTCCCAAGAATGTTGAGTGGGCAGAGCCTAGTGCCGCTGATGAAGACGACGACCAGGTATCCATATCAGGACGGACTGATAGGACTGATGGTGCGTCGACCATTAGCGATTCTGAAGTCCCTGCCGTGACAGAAAAACCAGGCGACAATGGAGGCTGGGAAGATGCATGGTGGCTATTTGGGGTTATGAGGCGTGCGCTGTTATGACTATGATTTTATTGCTTGAGCAAAGCATGAGGAAGCGTATAGAATGTCAGATTGTGGCTGGATGCTTTTTGATATATATAATTGTTCAACCTAAGGCATGGATATGAAGACTACACGATCATTTCCTCGTTATGTATTGTAACGCACATGATATTAATTTTAACAATGTTCTAAATTTCACCTCACAACTCCCCATTTCGAAACTTTACATATTTGTTAAACAATACGTTCTCTCGGGCAGACATGAAGTCTGTCTTGTAGTAATGCTAGCCTTATCCCTCCCCAAATTGATGCTGCCCAGCAGACCCCTGTCAGCAAATTGTGATATTGGTTCCATGGGTGCAATCCATTCGCTCTAGAACACCTGAGGATATTGCGCAGATGCCCACGTAATGGGGCCGATGGGTCCTCTGAGTTGTTCAATTCATCTTGCGTCCACTGCTCTTAAAACAGTGACACAAGTCAGAATTTTTTTTTTCTTTTCTTTTTAACCTTTACTTGACACGTAACCTGACCCGGTGACCGAAAATTTCAGTATATGACTGAGTCCTCCCAAGATGCAACAAGAGAACAAAACACAAGTCACACTCCAGTAAAATAAAGAAAAATATAAAAGGGTATACAAGACATGTAGAAAAGTCGAAAAGATGGAAACCTAATGAACATAGTTCGCAGGAAGTGGTGGAAAATTCAAGCAACGTCCGAAATGTCGATCGTGGTAGTATAAAGAAAATCAAAGGAAATGTATCAAGGAAGGACAGAAAACCATGCTTATTCTTGATGATACAATGACATGGTGGTAATAAAATGAAACTTGGGCCACGGGCTGATATCTAAGGGAAGGCAACATACAGGTGGATTCTGACAGGCACAAGATGAAAATGAGAGGGAAAAAAGAGAGAACAAAAAAAAAAGGGGGAAAGAATAGAAAAAAGGAAGAATTTCTCTTTGCACACTGTAAACGCCAAGTTGACCCTCAACTCTCTAGTTCATGCAGTTGGTATCGTGATCGTATCATACGTAGATGTGCACGGTCGAGGATTTAGACAGTAGTTCTGGGGATATCGAAGGGTGTCTCTAGGATAATCGTAGGGTATAAATAGGTCGTAGAAGCGGGTGGGATTACCATGGCCCAACTCTAACAGGAGTCCCCAGTCCGTATGTGCCGGACAGAAGCTGCTCCCGGATGGAACCAAAGTCATTACCACCACCTGGGCTTGCATGGCTTTGGGTCTCAGGTCCGTGCATCCATCCTAAACTGGCTCCAAGCTCGTTGACGGCCGCCTGCAGCTTACCACCGGAGTTTTGATTGTGTTTTGCCAACTTCTGATCCCAACCACCATATTGTAACTGAATGCCTCCGCCACGTTTGGCAGCCTCCCGGATCACAAGGATCCAGGCCTTGCAAATTTCATCGTATGCAGAGTCCCGCTCTATGTTGTTCTGGGGTGTGTGCCATCGTGGTAATGCGTGAATGATTTCAGTGGCGCCATCTAGGTAATTTAGAGATAAAGAAGGTTGAGTTTCGTTAGGTGGTAAGAAGTGTGGTGTGAAGTCGCTCAAGGCATCCAGAAGATTGGATAGAGGTTGTCGAACTCGATTATAAGCGTAGTCGGATGCCGGGTTGCCACCCAAAGGGAAGGAGGATTGGAGAGAAGATTGGTAATTTCGAAGCACCTGCAGAGCAGAAGACACACTCGGGCGAGGAGCAGTATGAACAACTTCATCAACTAGTCCCGGATGGCGTTCACACATCGACCGAAGGACCCCCCGGAGAGCATCTGTATCTAAGGTCTCTAACAAACGAGGAAGTGACAGGGGTCGGCCGCTGACATTCGGGCGGGCTCGTTTCATATTTCGGCTTGGAAGAGACCTTGGTGTGAAGGCTGGCGAGCTTGTCGGAGAGGCGGACATTCGTCCATCATGATCGTTACCATCGTCGTCGGCTTTCCGCTTGCGGCTATTAGGGGTGTAGGTTGGTGTAGACACTGGAAGATATTTATCAGCAAATTCGTTATCTCTACCATCGGTTATCAATGTAAGGAGGGGGTTCTTACTTGGACGAGGGGAGGAGAGACGGGAATATTCGTAGAAGTGTGGAGGCACAGGTGGTGTAGCCACCAAGCTGTTCATGATGACCACGGACAGCTGGTGGGCGGAGAGATGAAGAAACCTGACGCTGACTGAACGACGGTGATATGGGGTATTATAAAATATCCGCTACAGGGCACGAGGCGAAGGTGCAGAGAGAAGAGATAATGCAAGGGAAAGACAAAAAATGCAGGAAGAGAGACTGAAGGAGTGAGGGAGAGAAGATGGAATTGGTGGGGAAGAGAGAAAGAAGAGAAGCGGTGGACTGGAAAAGGCGGTTGCGGGAGGCAACACACACCTTCTGCGCAGGTCAAGTATCCATAATGACCACGACATTATTCCTTCTTATCGTCACTTTCTCTTTCTGCTTCAACCTCACTCTCGAAAGTTTCTGAGAACACAAAAAGGGACTCGAATCTTTTGTTTTTGTTTTAGATTTATTTCCGTTGCTCTGGTCCCCCTTGCCATGATCTCCGTTACCATTATCAATCATCGTAATAATATAAAGTTTTGAGGGGGTGGGAAGTATACGCAATTTTTTTTTTTCATAAATATTTAAAATTTATTTCATTTCGCCATAAACATATGGTAAAGTAATTACACGGAAAGCAAACCAAACGATGATACCTTGTTTTTTGAGCCCTCCGACGCCAGGGAAATGCCACCACCACCACTCACCATGACAATTTGTCATAGATGGGTGGAAACACGATGGTTGGAATGAAAGTAATATCGCTGTAATGGAAGTAAGGTGGTAGTAGTAGTAAGTCGTACGTCTATAAATACAAGGACTGTGCGGCAACAATGTCCCTGCGGACCTTGGTCAAGGCGGTCTCAAATTTACTCTCAAGTTCCTCGCTCCCCATGACCTTGGCGGCCTGTGCCATCTGTCGTAAACATTCTTCCAATCGGCGGAAGACTCGGATCAAACTGCCTTCGTAAACATCCGTCATTTTACTGAGGTGATGAAAGAAAGGAATCATTAGCGTCTTGTCACATTCCCGAACTAAACGGTGGCAAATAGGGACTTACCAGATATCAGCGAAGGACTTGCCATTCGCCCACTCATATATAACTTCCATCAACTCCCAATGGAAGCTCTGCACATACTCCTCTTCATTGACAGCGAGCTTTGACTCCTGGGAAACCTTGGCAACGATCCGGGCTTGCGCCTGGATCTCCTTGAGGGGCTTCGCCAACTCGTCCCGTGTTAGGGCAGGGGTCTCCTTGGACTTCTCTTCGAAGACGAACACACTCAGCACCGAAGCAACTTGTTCAGGCGTGAGGTTGTTGAAGAAACCATTGAAGAGCAATTCACTGAGCATTAACTCGTCACCCGTGCTAATTTCACAGGCCACACGGGCTTTCAACTGTACGACCTCGGCTTCGTTAATGAATCCAAACCGACGAAGCACTCGCTTACGGCACTTTAACTCGTCAAGCTGCATGATTGACATAGCCTCGGTGATCTTCTTTTTGGTGGCCTTGATCTTAGACCCAGTTTCAACCTTGTCCGAGTACTGTCCATAAAGTTCCGGCAGACGTGGCGAGTTGTGCAATGGGTTAGAGAGGAGACGAGATTCAAGCACTTCAATTTTCTGCAGTTTACGTTAGCACACCTGAGACACCCATTCACAGCAAGGCTTATCTTACCCTAAGCAGCTTCTTGAAGTTTTCATCCTTGATGTTCATATTTTCAATCGGATCAAGCACAGCAATGCCATCTGGGAAGCGTTTTTGCACCTCATCCAGAGCCTTCTTCACCCCATTCCTTGAATCCGCCGAATGTAGATCCTTCGGGAGGAAAATACGAATGTGAGAGATAGATTGGATACAGCTGAGGACTACCGGCACCACTTCCATACGGGAGTCTTCGCCCTCCTTTGGCGGCCTGACGCCGGACGGCAAATCTTCAAAGGTCTTAGTGCCGACCGACGGCCCAACGGCGATCCTCAGTAAAACGTCAACAACATATTTCTGGTACGGCGTAGGTTCTTCAGTCGAATTTTTCGGGGGTTTGCGTTGTTTGTAGTTGACAACAACACCCCATCCGAAATCCACATCCTTGTGTTTGATGCTGATCAAGCGTCCAGGCTGAATAAAGGGTAGACAGTAATTGGGATGGCTTATAACCGCCTGCATGTCATCGGTGAATTGGCGAATTTGCTTCCTCAGATCGTAGTATTCACGAATGGTTCCTTCGTCAGAAATAGTCATGTTGGCCCTCTTCTCCTCCAACTCAACAAGCTCTGTACTAAGCTTAGCAAGATGCAATAGTATCGACACTTGCATATACACATACCTTTTTCAAGAGTAGCAACGCCGGCGGTATTTTGAAACTGATAGAAACATCTTTCCAACATGAATTCAGGTGAGATACCCTCTACACGCATGAGGTTTAGAATCATGTTGTAGCCCAGATGGAACGCCGAATTCAGTCGGTCTTGTTCACCACGAACAATCTCCTTCGCTACAGCGGGATCCATCTCTTCACCGACCATCATAATAACAATACCTCGGTCATCGAGACCTCTTCGACCAGCACGACCAGACATCTGAATAAATTCTGATGGGGTGACCCAGCGCTGACTGAAACCGTCGAATTTGCGAACGCTTGTGAAAACAACGGTTTTTGCGGGCATGTTAAGACCGATGGAGAATGTTTCAGTAGCAAACAGGACCTTGATGAGACCTTCTTGGAAGAGAATTTCAATGGTCTCTTTCAGGATGGGAAGAAGACCAGAGTGGTGGACACCGATACCTCTGCGCAAGAGAGGTAGAATATGTTGAATCTGGGGGAGGTTCCTGTCCTCCTCCGAGAGCATTTCAATCGCGCTGTTGAAAACCTTGGAAACCATTTCCTTCTCAGAGTCGTCGTTAAAGGCTAGGGTGCTCATCTGTAGAGCACATGACTCGCATTCACGCTTGCTGAAACTGAAGACGATCACAGGATTGTAGTTTTTGATCATAATCATCTTGACAATCTTGTATATGTCACTTGGGCCCTTATTTCCACCTTTGTTCAACTTCTTGTCTTTGCCCTTTCCTTTCCTCTTGGCCATGGCATCCGCTGGGTCGTCGCCCTTTTTGTCTGCAATAGTACTCATAGCCTTCTGGAAATTTTCCTCGCGGAACACGCCCTTCTCGTCTACAACCAGGTGAATTCCATCGGCACCAGCAGGGAAGAAATAATGTTGTAAGGGTGTCGGTCTGTAATCAGTATAAACAACATGGCACGGTTGGTTGTGCATCTTGACGATCCATTCGGCGAATTGCATGGCGTTGGGGATTGTGGCGGACAAGAAAACATATCGAACCTTATCTGGAAGCAGAATGATGGTTTCCTC